TGGACAAGGTCTGTCTTACATGCCTTTGGGGTGCAACTACGCCATACGTGTCTCGATTTACAATCCCCCTGATCACTTGTGAGCCCGCGAGGGTCCCGAAATCATGTACCCTGAAAGAATTAAACTTGGGAATCAAATGTCAGAGATTTTACAATCACAGCTTGATCAACTGACATTTGATTTGAGACCCATGAAGGGTGCGAATCAAGCACCGCCTGTGAGTCCACAATTCCATAGCCTCTATTCTGATACTGATCGAATACCCTAGTCAAATAGTCTCTCTCAAGGCGGCCTCCCCTTCACTTTGACAAATCGGGAAATTCGAATGGATTCACCACTAATTCCCCCGAATGGAAGCAATGCTTCAGGCCAGATCCCGGAAGTGCTACTAGCACGAGCCAAAGGTGATTTGGCAAGTGATGTGGAGATGGCGATAGCTGCACCCTCAACACCCAAGCTTACGATTTTCCGGTCTGTGTGGTTCCTGGCAAGCCTGCGATACGCGTGTCCCAAGTACGTATCATATTCCTCTCTTACGGATTAATATTCACATTGTTTAGCTCCGTACAGGGGGCCCCTCACACATTCATGCCGTGCTGATTGCCTCCCGTTCGTGGCCCGTACGAATGGTCTGCCTCCACTCCCCGGGTTCCCCGTTTGGACCCGAATGATCCTAAGGGAGGAGACAGCCGCCTACGTTCTGGTAGGTAAGTCTAGACACTATTTGCTTCACATCAACATACACTCAACCATTTTTTAGCAGGACTATATTCTCACAGCACCGCAGTGGGCTCTCCACACATTCGTTTCCGAGGTGACTGTCGATCCTGGATATATCAAACATGCGAAGGATAAGCGAAGGGTTCCCATCAAAACTGAAAAATCCACCAAGGTCCAACAGTTTTAGACCACATTCGACGCAGTCAATGGGAGCGATGGGTACATGGATGCAGATCAGCTGGCATGTCCCACATGCCATTCTATAATTTGTTAAGCTGATCATCACCATTGCACTTCAAACGAATGTGGATGAATCTGCACCATCTGAGATGGAAGTGAATGCTCAGAAAGGCAAGCTACGATCAACCTGGAGATCACTTAAGATATCTTCACCCCGCCATTGCGCACAGATGGTGAAAAGACCGTGGAACAATTCCTCATTTTCCTGTACAACCTTCTGTTCTTTCCAATGACCATATTGGAAGCGACACTGAGGATCTGCGCGGTCGGCCTTTGCAGTCGCGCGACTCGGTGAAAGCGAGATGGTTTTTCATTGACGAGATACCCTTGACTAAAAAGCTCGATGTATGTCACTGAGAGTCCAGTGCGAAGCGTGGACTCGGCACAAGGTTCAGAAAGCGCCTGAGTCAGTCTCTCAACAGCTCGTCCGGGTGGGGAGCATGGTCTTGGGTTTATCACTGACCGGAAACGGACCTGTGTTGCAATGAGTCGAATAAGTCTTGGGTATCTGACAGCCCTCACACCTGGGCTCGGGCAGACTCCCAGACCCTAAGGATTAGGGCAATCTATGCAACCCATTACGAACGCTCTTGTTCTCCAGTCTTGTATCTTGGAGCAGGGCCCAGATCTCGGCGTTCATCATGTATCATGACATGGAAACTCATAAACACAACTGCTATGGGTGAGTTTTATACCCTGACCACTGCCATACACATCTGGATATTAACACGACAACGAAGTTGCTTGTGGGTCGCACAGTCCAACCGTCAATTATTTACCAGATGGCTGAAACCAAGGCAGCGATTTCATTCCCACGGATCAATCAGTCACTCACGAACGTCAGTGAAAGTAGAATTGGAAGTTCAGTAAGCCAGGAGATAAACGATGTCCCGATTGCCGGGGATACCTCAAACTCGCCGTTACTGACACAAAATTAACAGACGGTGAACGATTTTCTGATTGTGTTCCTCCGCTCCTTTCCGCCACTCTGGCCAAACATGAGATGCCAGTGGAGATCGGCCCGATCGCCTTTTGGAAAATCACAATTCGGCACTAACGAGATGGTTGCAAGAACAGATGGATTCCTGGAGTGTAACAAGGAAGTCTTTGGTATAGTGGAGGTCAAACCTTGGAATCGATCAAGGGAAAAATCCCCCGAGGGGTATTGGCAGAACACTGCTCACATGCTGGCTTTTAAAATGCATGTTGAGAATGCGGGGCATGGATACACTCTCCCACGGTGAGTTAAATAATCTGATCATAGCAACAGCAACTTGAATGCTAATATTTCTATATAGTTATCTTCTTGTCACGCAGACTTGACAGGAGGGAGACTTGAAAAGAGAGAGAGGGAGACAGGATTGGTCTGGCTGCCCCGGCAGCGCCAGCTGCCCATCCTCCGCCCACCCCCACAATACCTCGCTGGTCATCCCACAAACATGAGATTGTTTGCTGAGATTGTCCTATACCGTTGCCTGGAGGTATCCCGCGAGATCGAACGGGTACAGCACGAGACCCATGAGGCCCAATCGGCTTACGATGGGCTCGGTGGCGTGTGATAAGTTGTGAAGACGGACTCACGTTGCCTCTTACGTACGCAACCGAACCCATGCGAAGGACAGAAACAAAGCCGAAGCTGCCGTTGATCTTCACTTGAAGACCTCGTGGCTTAATTTACAAGAGCTCTATCTGAATGATGCAAGAATGGTATTTTGCATTGCATCAATTGCTGGCCGGAAGGTGCTTCGTGGCTTCCAACTTATTTACCTCATCCAAGAAGAAGCCCTGCGGCGCAGGAGGAAAAGAAAGAGAGAGGTATAAAGAGAACCGGCTCTATCTACAGAGCATGAAGGCACTCCAAAAAGAAGCTATTCGAGAGGCCCTTGCTCCTGGAGAACACTTTTCGAAACTCATCGTGGGACCACCGGGGACCGGTAAGACTGCAGTTTCCACGGCAATCATCGAGTATTGCTTCGTTGAAAAGATTCCTCTATTTTTGATTTGTGGACAAAACCAAGGACTCGACGTCATTGCACATCGCTGGTCGTCAGTGGATGGGCAAATGCACTCGGACATGGCAGGGGTCTACAGATTCGGAACGGAGTTTACCGAATCTGTGGATAGTCATTTCCGCGATGATCGAGATTTTCGCGTGCCACAGGAGCCAACTCTTTGAGACGGCTTCCGACAGGCCGTGAGAGAGTTGAGAAACCCGGACATCGCAGAAAGAACCATCCGCTGTATCCAAGCAACACTGTCCTTTCCCGCTCGAGTATCAAAACTTAGCTAAAAAAGAGAACACAGCTTGTCAAACCGAGCTCAGTTCTTCATCCTTGTCGCTAGTTGAAAGTCGGAGATTCTGAATTCAAGGCTGAAAGGCTTGCTGCAATTCCGAGCCCCCGGAGGAAACGCCAAAAGACTCGACGCAACAGACAGATTGTGAACCAAGTAAGCCACAATTTACTTGAGCTAGAGAGAATACTAATTTCAATGCATGTCAGGACATACAGCGTGGCAAGTGCAAGTGCATAGTATCGCACAGCAACTCCATTCTCGGGGTTGCCCACTCTCGGTATCGGCATCCAGCTCAACCGAAATTCCGCCGGCGACGAATTCGTCCGAATTACGGAAACCCTCGTCCGTGACATTCCCCCCTGTCTCCTGGAAGGCTCGGTGCCTGAGATAACTTACATCCTCAAATCAGTTATGGCCACGTCGGTACAAACACCAAACTCTCAAGGCCGAGCCAGTTTTGCTATGAGCGAGATCGAGAGGGATCTCGAATACTCTGATTTCTTCCATCGGAAGATCAAGCCACGAGGAAATTTCAAGAGGATGATTGTCCTTTTCGACGATGAATCAGCCTTGTTCCATTCCAAACAGGAACCCAGAGCGACCACACAACTATGGTCGGTGATGATCTCTGGAGCTGGATCCAGATGTTTTGGGGCACAGAGAATTGCGCAAAATGGAAGTCTGCTGTCATGAAAGGGAGTATCGTCGACACAGAAAACACTGCTCAGATGCTGGCTTTCAAAATGCATGTTGAAAATGCAGGGCATGCATACACTCTCCTGCGGTGAGTTGAATAACCTGATCACAGCAACATCAACTTGCATGCTAATATTTCTATACAGCTGTCTTCTTATCACGCAGAACAATCATCCGATTTTTCTTCTTTTCTGTTAAGATCACATGACGCCTGCTCCTGTATCTAGTTAGCGGCAGACGCATGGATTCTACAGATCGCGTCGGCGATAGGCACAAATGAGCGAGCAAAAAACGCCTTACAAGATGCCCTTGAATGGGATACGAACTTACACCACTTGCACGAGGGTATGCACACTCTGAGACGCTTTGAGCATTTTTATGACCTCAGCATCCAACAATGGTAGCATGTCCATTGCGATAAATTTTGTCCGTTTTTACGACAAATTTTCGTGATCCAGGTCCTGAAGCTCTTGTCAGCTGCTAGCTACCGTGGTCTGCCCGGAACGCAGCGCTGATCCCTGCTCCCTCGCATCCACTTATAGCACCTACGCCAATCGTGTGTGGGCAATATTACTACTGTCATATCCGAACGAACAACAAGGACTACCAACCCCTCAATCGTTCAGGCTGACGACCTACTTGTACTCATACCGTGCGGTCACTACTGGCTGTCCTGCGTGAGCGAGGTCGAGGACTGGCCCCCTGACACGTGATCGAATTACCCCTAGCACGTGACAACGCGCCCCTCTTCTTCAGTTCGCGTCGTTTACATCTGAACTTCGCGTCATTCACTTCCGACCGCTCACTCCGATCTCACCTTTGTCAAGCTAGCCGTTCCTGGGAACCCCGCTGTCGCACCATTCGCATGACGGACGTGTACGACGCTCTGGGTTCACAGCTAGCAACATATTTTGACCGAAATCCGATACCTTCCAGGAACCCCGTGCTTGTCAGGTGACCTGACGACTGCCCCCTATCTTGCTAGCTAGCCAGTTTTAGAGAATCCAACGTTTTATGACCTCAGCATCCAATAATGAGGCCCTATTGGCTTAGGGTGGGTTCGGTGTCATGTGATAAGTTGAATAGTATTTCTCGAAGGCATCCTCCGTGCTGCTTATGTTTGTCAATACCTTCCAACGCCCAGCACCGTTCCTATTAATAAGTCTGCCACTGGCAGCATGAGCTGAGACAAGGCTGGCCCAACTCTTGTACCCGGCACCTTGCTTTGCCGCCCCCATATAAGCATGTCCAACAATAAGCAGACCATCTTGGCCGCGACTTGGAGCAACGCACTGTCGATTTATATTGGCAACAAACCCAAGCCCATTGTGGCCTGGTCGTGTGGTTGACAGCAGGACGAATGGACTCTCACTGCCCTGGGCCGCATCGACACTCTTGATGCTAATGCCTTTCAGACCCATGCCATTGTGGATACAGGCCTCAAGGGCCCCGCGCTCTTCTGAATAGAACGACAGCACCAAAACATTTTCTTGAGCGATCCCCGCGTCTTCAATTTCTCTCAGTACCGAGCAGATCTCATTGATATACTGGGGATTCACAAACGACGTACAGCCTTTGCGGCGCCATACCGATGAATCTGCAACGGAGAGGAAAAAGGAAGTGCCAGCGGCGCAATGGAAACGGGCCACCATCACATCACTGAACACTCTGGCCTTCACCCGGCCCTTGCAGGAATCATGTGTGACGAACGGCGGGTTGTAAAACGTTCTGCTCACGTGCGCCGCGATGCCGGGGGCCATTCGATATTGGATATCTAGCTGTTATGAGGATGCCCGGTACGTATCATACGCTCAAAGAAGGACACCACTTCGAAGTTGTCACATTCGTTCGAGCCTGTGGAGATAACGGTGGGAGGTAATTGGGCCATATCGCCACTCAACACGACTTTTCTCAACATGTGGATATTTCTGATGACAGCGTTGACGGTCTGCCATTCGACCATCTGAGAAGCTTCCTCGATAACTAGATAATGAGGCTGAAAGGCTCTAACAACCTGTCGACCTGCAGTCGAGGCGGTGCAAATGACGACTCTCGCCTTCGCCAAATATCCCTCTTGTAGGTCTGACCAAAGCGCCTTTTGTTGAACAGTGAGCTCCTGCACAGTTGCACCGAATGTTGTCATGTTTTGAAGAGGTCTTCGCATTTGGCGGGCTTGTCCCTGTTCTGCTGTGTCTTTTGAGCGCTGTCGCAGCAACTCTTGACAAGTCAAAAAATCCCAAAGGCATTCTCGCACGTCGCCCAAAGGTAGACTGTCCTCATCACCGGACATCAGTTTCTGTAGATCTTCGGTAATTCTTGACACGAGCGAAAGATTGTGCTTCGGCTCTACCATAGACTCTAGTGACGAGATAACCATGTGTCTAAGCTCTGAACTCACTTTGCGCCGGCGGAGTTCCTTCTTGATCTCGAGATATCTGAGGGGAGACCGTTGCTGTCGTTCTGGGTCTTCCTCTTGTTCCTCGTCCTCGTTAGACGAGAAAGAAGGCATGCCCATTCCGTATGACTCCAGTGTCTGGGTAGACAGACGATAAACACCCTCCTTCGAGATGTTTTCAGCTTGCAGATACTGGCCGATGCGGTTGGCAATAATATCGAGTCCCTGGTTTGATGCACAAACAATAAAGAGAGGCCATCCCCTCTCTACGCAATGAGCCGCGATGGCCAAGGAGACGTAGGTCTTTCCAGTGCCCGGGGGGGCAGTGATCAAGCAATCAAAGTCCCTCCAGCTACTGCTGCTGGCGAACACTGACCGAACTGCCAGGGCCTGTGTGGCGTTCAATTTTCTGTTCGTCTGAAGGAACTAATTTGTTCTCCCGTCAACCGTGTCATGCCGATTATGGAATTGGAGAGTCCTGTTTTGCTTGGCAAGGAGAAGTTGCTTCATCTTATTGTCGCTTGAAATGCCGAACGTCTCTTCTCCCCACATCGCATAGCGGATGGCTTGACGTGCCTGGCTCACCCCTGAACTTGGGCGACCAAAGCTCACAAAACCGGTCAACTTCTCACTATCTGCCGCTGGGTCCTTCGATGCCGGTCGTTTGATGCGGAAGAAAATTGCGTTGAAGGGTTTAGTTTCTTCCACGACACTAGAAATTCCTCTGGCTGATACCACCACGCCTTCCCAAGCGTGTGTGCCCTTTCCTTCTTCTGCGGTGCATTCGTCAACTGTGACAGCTGTTCCTGGCTCGGGAAGAGGGAATTGCCGTTCGTAGACTTCCTGGAGAGCTCCTTGGCCTGTGAGCTTCAATTTGGCCTCGATAACACCATAAAAAAAGCCATGCAGATCGGTTCGTTCAGCTCCATGCACCTTAAACGCTTCGAAGATGTTGAAAGTGTACTGTCCGTTCCACTCCCGAGTTGCCGTATCCTTGGTTGCCTCGGCCTCACGAAGAATCCCAATCATCCTGATGGCCTCGTACTCTCTCTCATTAATGAAGAAGGCGAAGGGACTTGGCATCTGGTGAAAGAATTTCGGCTCCGGACTGAACCCTCCATGCTCCATGCTTTGCCAGCCGTACTCCCGATGCCGGTGGTGGTGTTGAATGGTGACATCCTTCACTCCCGGGATCCGTAACATCGGTTCGAACAATCCTGCTTGCTTGACATATGCGCAACTGTAAAATGGGTAGGGTGCCAGTGTGGGGGTTGGCATTGCAGTCATCGACGCCCAGCATTGCTCGGATGAGATTACTCGGATCCTAGTTACAACCTGCACCAGTATGTCACTCTTTTGTAGCCCCATGAAGCTCTCCATAGCAGAGATCTGAGATTCCGAAAGAAGTCTCGAGCGGGCTGATCTTGGGAGGTCCAGCCCAATTGCGGCTTCGGGGGGTGTGCAGGAGATCCATTCCACGCGGTACCCTGGATCACCAATCTTGCCATCACAGGGGTCCGCTTCTTCCTCCGAGAGGGACACCTTTCTGACATTGGCCTCTTTGACGGACGCAGAAAACGTGAACTTGGATCCATCGGCCGGGGTTGAAGTGGAAGTGCGGCTGGATCGGACATTCTTCTCATTCTACAAGGGCCAGATGAAAATGCAATCATGGTGCACATAATTCGCATCGTTGGTTTTCAGCCGTAGACGCAGGCTAAAATGAGGAATCTCTGTACCACCTCCGATGGAAATGCTCACGAGCGCTCCTTTCCGGGATTTTTTTATGGTGGATACATCTTTCCCGCTCTCTCGCCAGCGGACGCCACAGGCAAAGATGCTGGCATACCGTTGAAACAAGTTAATAGTCGGGGTGACATGTTGGGTATTCCTCAATTCTACTTTAGGGGCTCGAAAGAATCACGGCTCGTAAGAAGGGACCGCATTGTACCACTCAAGCTCTTCACTGTGCGGCGTCATTCGATCCGAGAAGTTGATAACAGGTGGCTGTTGCCCTGCCGCGCGTTTGGCGGCCATGATGTGATCGATAGCTTGGTGCAAGAGGAATCGAGGAGGAGGTTTCAAATGATTTGGAATATGTGTTGAGAAGTTACCCGCGTCGGATGCAGGGTAAAAACTCGAGGGGAGAGCGTAGTACTTCAGTTCTCATTGGAGGCGATGTGAAGAAGAAGTGGCTGATCAGGTTGAAAGGTTGAGGGATTGAGGGGGGAGGGGGAAGAGAAAAACGAAAGTGGACGGGGGAGGTGCCTTATTGATCACCGGAGCAAGCCCTGTCTCTTGGTCTGCAACTACTCAAATAGGAAGGCGTAAGGAGCTATGGATGGCCAACTATGATCAATCCGAAATGGACATAGAGGAAATGCGCGGTGTTTCCCCAGGTTACTTTACACTCGTCTCCTGTGGCGGTAATCTTGAAGACGACCATGAGAGGGTATCATTCCTATAGGATCCAAGATTAGCCCGCGTCCGATGAGAATCCCTCGAAAGGCGCAACGGCATGTCAACTCGGAGTCTCTGCCCCCCCTGGTTCTATGTAGACCTCTTTCCTTTCCTCCTGTGGACTTTATATGAACATTCATCAGCAGATTCATAGATAGAAATGAAAGCTTGGCGTATGTAGGAAGACAAACCTTAATCCGAATGTAGTTTCAAACGGGACATTGTTTGAAGAAGTAGAAGGGTTCGTTCCAAACTGGCATAGGAGAGCTGTACGGCGATGGAGGAAAACTCCTGTTCGCAGGCACTTTCAACGTGAAAAGCATCGTTAGATGGATAAAACCCATGGTATGTCTGCTTTCTTCATCAAGTAGCTTTGGGTTCTGATTCCTGGCGATGAAGAATGGTGAAGTTATCATTGGAGCTATCATATACAAAGCCACGAGCGAGGTTGCTGGTTTAGCACAGGCATACAATACCAAAAATTGAGCGGAAACTAGAACATTGATTTGAAGCGACCGCGAAAAAAAAACAGAGAATTCTTGTTCAAAGTGATCACAGCCTGGTGTTTCTGAGTCGACGCCTCGGCGTCCTGGGTGATCGATCTTGAGAACGCGCGGGAGAGACAGACGTTGAGGGCGGCGGCCCCTTACGAGGGGATCCAGTCGGCGACAGTAACAACGTCTTTCTACCCTCAAATGCTGATCGGTTCCGAGAGGGCGTCTTCTCACGAGACGAAGGTGCCACCTAGTAGTCTAAGCGCCCACGAGCTATCGCGCAAGGGGATGAAGAGTCGAGAGAGGGAGTTCTATGGCGGGGAGCCGTGTCACAAAGATTCAACCTCTCGACAAATACAAATGGCTCTTCTTCATGCTGCTCATAAGACACTGAGATGGAACGGACTCTGCTATCTGACCGGTGAGAGGGGGACACAGGATTTGAGGGTGCATAGTCCGGGATTATATGAGGCACGGGGGCGCGGGGACCCGTCCTCGAGCCACCTGATCATGAGATGAAGAGCGCTCCATTCCCAAGGGCCGCTCAATATCCGAGACGAGAGTCGGTCTCCCACGCAATTCGCTAGTTGGTGAGCTGGTACCGGAGGGCGTACCATCGCGAGACTGTGTCTTTCTTGGTCCTGCTAGAACAGCAACAGTGTCTTGATCAGAGAAATCATCTTCGTCTTCGTCTTCGTCTTCGTCATTGTCTTCGTGTTTGTATTTGTATTCGTGTTCGTCTTCGTCTTCGTCAGCGTCAGCGTCTTCGTCATCGGCCGCCCCTTGGAGTGCGACGATCCTACTCATATGCCACCGCATCAATAGCAACTCTATCGTGGGAAGTGGAAATTGGACGGGGTCATCAGTCGTCAACTCAATAATTTCCCCCGACCTGATGGGGCATTCTGTGCAGACATCCATTATCCCGTGGGTTTGAACAGGGGCCTGGGGCCATTTATCCATATCTTCCCCAAATGGGTGCAGAGTGCTCACGAGGTCCTTTCGCTTGATCGATTCGCTGATGCATGGCAACCAGTGAAGAGAAATCTTCAGGGCCTTCTGATCGTCACTAAGGCTGATTGGTCGAAACGCGCAAATAGCCTTGACCCAATACCCATGAACATGATACGCAAGTGTTATGAGATTATAGAGCTTCTCTGTGTCGATGATGGTCCCGGCCATGACCCCAGATGTGAGAATCGGGGGGTTGGGTGCCTGGGGGGTAAGGCATCCACACCCAAACCCAAGAACCCAACCCTCCCAAATTCTCTCAGTAGTTCCCTTCCTCCCTTCTTTCTCTAGCTTTAGTCTCCTTTAGTGAATGGACCTTCCTCTGAAGCCCGCCGCGTCACACCAGAGTTCCATTTTGCGCAACTCCCTTCGCCCCAAAACACCCCGATCCAGCTCCAAAGTACAGAACCGACCCCACTTGTGTCGGTCTTATGGAACTTGAATGGGAAGATGTGGGCAGCCTCGGTAATGGAGTTGCTGTGCGATACTACGCACTTGAAATTGTCACGTTTTGTGGCCTGAGATGCATTGGAATAAATATTATATCTGGCTGGAGTAATTTCTGGCTTACCAGCTTCACAATCTGTCTATCGCGTTCAGTCTTTGGGCGATCCCTCGTTAGACAATTTGTTTTAGTGGCAGCAACTGTTGGAGTGAATTTGTCAGATTATCTTGCCGAATAAGTGATTCAGGGAGTGTATAACTTACTCATCCCGGCAATATCGTATTGCTGGACGGTCAAGAGGTATGGCTGCCAAGTTCCGATGATGGATGCGCCCCGCTCTCCTCGTGTCCAACTTTCGAGAATCGACATATCTGCCAGCCACAGAGGTATGACATTTGCCCGTGGAAGACTTCGCAAGGCGGGAAACTTCGAGATCAGAGCAGCGATCAAAGTCTGCCGTTTTTTGTCCAGAAACTCTGCGAAGACCGGATCGTTCGCGATCTGCTGCTGTTTCTCTGGGCCCTGGGCTGGGACCAGATCATTCGCAATCTGCCCCTGACTTTCCATGCGCTCGACCTCTTGCGGGAAAGCGTCATTGACAATCTGCTTATCTTCTTCCATATCCTCCATGGAATCCGTATCCTCTATATCCATGACGTCTTGTGAGACATCTTCATAGACGTTTGTTTTGGTCATGGCGCAGGTTGTGTGATTGATTGTGAAGAAAGCCTAATGAGAAATCGTGTTGCTGGGTGACACGGAGAACTGGCCAGGGGTGAAGGTGGTTGTTCTTTTGTGTGAGATGAAACGACGCGCGGGCCAGTAAAGCTTAATAGAAATCTAAGAGTTGTAATGGCTGGCGATGAGAAGAGAGAAGAGCAGAATTCGACAGAGGGAAAGTGCAAGAGAGTCCACTGAGGGCTAACCACGGATCGATACCCGCAGCCTTTTTCTACTTCTGTCAACAGTAAGAACTCTTCCTTCCTCGGAAAGAGAGAATCTTTATTTGTAGACTTCTTGGAGAGCTTCTCAGCCTCTGAGACTCGCTTTGGTCACGATGACACCAAAAAAGAAGCCATTTTTATCATTTCGTTCGGCTCCATGCACGTTGAACCCTTCGAAAATGTTGAAAGTTGTAGGGTCGCCGATGTCAGGTGACCGCCTGCTTGCCTTCTAGATAGACCCATCTTATTTGCTCTCTCTCCCCCCTTCATCATCTGACTAACACCAAGTACCAACTGATCGATGGGTCAGTGCCTCCCTGAATTATCCTAGAGCTCTAAGACTCTTGACGAAAGCGCAGAGTCTGACTTGTAGAAATAACTGCAATTCGATTATTATGCCGTGGTGTCTTGTAAGTCAGACTCTTGCAGGCATCCGAAGGCACCGAAATATTCATTGGACCCTTCGCATGGGTTCCTCGCCAGGGGGGGAACATGCTTTCTCTTCTTACCACGTCGATATGACACAAAAGCATTTGATTTCACCCAACGACCTTGACAGGGAAGTTTTGTATAGCCGTCCGAGAAGCCTCCCTTTCGTCAACTCTCTTCCAGTAAGCCAAGAAGTTTTCTCGGCCAGGCAATAACATCCAATCACAAACTTTCATTGACATCATCTTCATCAACCCATAGAAGTGAATATCTGCTGCCGAGAACCTGTCTCCGCATAGCCATGTCTTTCCCTCCAATTGATCGTCAAGCATGTTCAAGGCTTGATTGATCAATACCTTCTGGTTGACTCTGGCCTCCGGCGTCGGGAGTCGGGTGCCCTTGTAGAAATCCAGAGTGGCGGGATCGTTTCTGAACCAAGAGATGATGGGTTGACAGATTTCCAGGTCCATTCTTCGGAGCCGCATGCGAGTCTCGGCACGTTCTTCAGCAGTGCTGCCGAATAGGGATGTGCCTCCAACGGCGACTTCATCGAAGTACTCGCAGATCGCGGTGATCTCTGTAAGGACTGTTCCATTGTCGAGCTGCAGGGCTGGAACTTCTCCGCGAGGATTGATTTTTCGGAATGCGAGACGTCGGTTCTGAAGCCTCATTATATCGACAGTTTCGACATCAAAGTTGAGCCCGCCACGTTCCAGAACGAACAAACGGACCGCCATTGGGTTGGGGGCGGGAGCATCGAAGAATTTCATTGTTGCGATGCGGTGATTGAGATTCGTACTTTTCCTGGGATCTCAACCTTCGCCCGTATCTGCGAGGATCTTTATACATTCAGAGGAAAGAAACTGAAGTAGAAACTAGTATTGGCAGTTGCGGAGTTAAGGATGCGGGGTTAGCATTAACCTTAACCCCGCGAAAATATCCATGGATCCAAAATGCATAACTTAGTGCATAACTCACAGTGGGATTTGCTGCTTCACTTTCTACTTTGCGTTCAACTCCAATCAGTTCTCCAAAAAGTAAAAATAGACAGTCCAGGTGCTCTGGAGGCAATCCTCGGAATCTGAGAAGTTCATCAGATTCTTGTGATCGATCTGGTCCCTCAGCTGTCAGGTACATATTCCGGCAGTACTCAACTTGGTTTTCTCTCACCATGCCAACTCAATTCCTTCAATTCTTTCTTCTTTTCTTACCATTCACTTCCCTCAAAAAAAAAAAAAAAAAAAAAAAAAACGAAGTGGATATGTCTTGTTTTACCGTTTAGGCCTTCAAAGCCTGCTAAATGGTCACAATGTACTCTGTACACTGCACTGTACAGTAGTGAAAGTAGTGTGAAAGTAGTGTGAAAGTAGTGTGAAAGTAGTGTGAAAGTAGTGTGAAAGTAGTGTGAAAGTAGTGTGGTAGGGGTCAAAGTCAAAATCTCCATCACACAGCAACATTCAAGTCGTGTTCCCCAACGTCTGACTGCAGTTCGCACGCAGAGACCCCTGTGATTAGAGCTGCACCGGACTTCTTTTGGCTTCTACTCGTAGTTTGTAGATAGTCCATCCTTAGTAGATTAGAAGAATGGAGCCAACAATACGAGTAATCTATGGATAACTTGACTGTATACGAGCATAGGTCTCAGGATCGGCCCCTGCATGAGAGGATCCCCAACTCATTTATGATCTTTGAGTTTACCAGATTGGGATCAGGATCGGCCGACGGTGGAGATCAGCGCTTGGAAGACAGATGTGCATGGGCCATGTCAGCGGTGGATCCTGAGACGGTTAAGCACCGAGAAACGGAAAAGTCGCAGGTAGATTGGAGATGTCTTGGGGTCGAAGGTTTCAATAGAGTGCCCGGGGAGGACAATAAGGGGGTGATTGGCCCAGCCCCAATTTTGGGGGGCAAATTCACCACTTTAGCACGTTGACCGCTAGGTACTCTGCTAACTACTACTCGCACAGAGTAACTACGAGTAGTGTATGAACGAGTACGCAGTATACTCGTACATAATCATTTTAACCCGGCAACCTGGGTTTTCTACTCCGCCACTTACTCGCACTGTGGCGTCAGGCGCCAGGACCCAACATATCCGAGGATGGCAGCCTGCAGTTGAAGCGATGCACGGATCTTTAGATCCTTGGACCTGGAATAGTTCTCGACTCGTAAGTACCTAGGCAATGACGAAATCTAACGAGGCTGCAGCTTTCATCGTGCATCTCTATATTTATTTATATTTATTTCAATTTTCCATAATACGTGGACTACATGGAGCCGGAATTCTATAGTGTAGGCGTTGTGTCACAGGGCCCTGGTAAGGTCTGGAGCTTGGAATCGCCCGGTTTTGAAGCTGGGCCAGCTGATTTGATCGTGCAGCCTATCGGGGAACGGCATTAATGTGTTTTCCGTAGGGGTACGGAGTATCTACTAGTAGGTTCATACACTACTCGTAGTTGTAGGGTTGGGCTGTGTCGGAGGATAATCCCCAACGATCGTCGAGAGGGGCTTTCCCAATACCAACACTTGGCTTAAGGATCAGCCGACAGTGCCACTGCATTTCCTTTCCATTCCACTTTCTTTGACTTTAACCTTCAGTTATTATCCTCTTTCAAGGAGTTCATACTTAAGTAAGTATACATCCCTATGTAGGACGGAGTACTCCGTACATCGTACATACTCAATCCAAGATCATCAGATTGGCTGAAAGGAAAACAAAGACGCACGGGGACTAAGGTGACCAAAACATGCGCATCCGATGCTACACCGTAAGGGGTTGATGACATGGCGCTAAGGCAAGCCAAATTGATTTAGCCCGCAGGTCCCGCTGCATTCGTTGAGGCTAGGAAGGGGAACCGGGCAATCATAAACCCCGACTTTGGAACGTCTGGAAGGACGAAGGAAGCTGGGATCGGCTCCGCCCTCCCAAAATTTAAATCCAATAGTGGGCTGATGAGAGGATTGTGGGGATTGTGACCTGAGTTCATCACTCCGAGGTCCCCCAGTGGATCCTTGTACGAGTCCATCTCATAGGCTGTTTCGGGGGTTACTGAAGGAGTGGGCCAAAGAGGCTCCTGGGTTGTGAGAGCTGATCAGGACCCGATATAGTCTGGTCTCGGACAGAGACCGGCTTAATTTAGCGCTGAATAGACTGTACACCATGTCGGCAGACTCGTATGTCCGCACTGGAGTATGGCTTACAGAGAAGTTATCGAGTATACGAGTAGGTATTAGGCAGAGAGTATAGAGTATGCGGTAATGTCGAAGTTGGATCTGAGGCATGCCAGTTCCAAGTTTTTTTTAGTGAATCCAACGGATATGGCCGTGAAGGGATCAGACCGGGCTGGATCCTTAAAGATACCACTGTGACGGAGTGCAAATTTGTACGAGCCTTGAGATCGGCAGATTCAGGCGGTTCCACCAGAACTCTGTGATTTGGTCAAATCAGAAACCCCCCTGGCCTTCTGGAAATTTTGTACAAAGTCTCGTATATTGTGTACGAGTATGTAAATTATTTCCCGTTTGTTTCTGGCTATGCAGGAAGTGGGTCGCGCCGCAAATGCGTTCCGGTACTCCCTGCCGTGTAATGGGCTTGTGTTTTGCAGTCTGGGCATATCAAGATCGACTCTCAGGTGCAGGTGCAGCTACAATGACATGTCTGATTACAATTGTACTGTATCGGTGAGGGATGAGTTGTTCCCAAAGGCCAAAAATTGAGAATTGTGGAAGCCAGTCAAGTTCTGTGTACGAGTAAAGAGGATAATACGGAGAAGGGAGTAGGCGAAATGCGAGAAAGCCCCCTGAAAAGACCGAGTCGGGGCTTGGCCTGTTTTTGGCTTTTGGCAGAGAGCCCTACTCGTAGGCACGATCAGATCCGCCCGGCCACGTTGTAAATGGCTCTCGTTTCCTGATCGGTGACACAAAGTGGATTTTGGGTCCATTTTAATTTTGCCTCTCTCTTTGACCTTTGGTGAGGGGGGGATACATTGGCGCCAACCTTAGCCTAGCAAAACACGATGTTTTAGCCCGGATGAGACTAATCACTTTTGTCTGGAACTTGGCCGCACGTCACTGCGGGATCAAATTAAAAACCCCTACGAGTAAAATCGCCAAAAAAAACCCCTAGAACTCAAATAGCTCCACGCGGGTTCAACGCTTGGGATAGCCGAGCTTCCCGCTTTGAGCCACGCAAGATTGGCTATGGTTCTGGGTCATTTGGTGGCGGAATTGTACGAGGAAACCGATGAAACAAGGTCCACAAACGTTGACTCGGATCGATACGCTACTACAATTAGACCCATTAGTTCCCCTCCTCGTACATACGCATACGAGTATTCCTGATCAAAGGCAAGTTTCTGCCCATGCGGTGATTGGATGTGATAGTAGTTTAAGGGATCGGAACATTTTTCAATGGGGACGCTACTTACGCATGCAAATCCAGAAAGATTCGAAATGAAAACAAATCAATAATATTACTACGAGTACAGTAATAGAATAATTATAGTAATAGTAAGGATTTTAATGCATACGCATGATCATGTACTCCGGATACTTTTTGAAAGCCATTAAAGAGGACAGATATAGAAATGCAAAGACCTCACATCCGGGTATGCACGGTACAAAGGACCCAGATTCCCTAGCACAGATTAGTCCAACGATGACGGTCATCTTTAACTCCACTTATACCCCCCTGTTCAGAAAAAGCAGTGCCCATCACATTGTAACCCTTGCGTAACCGCTATACATACAAGTACTTGTAGTCAAGTGACATTCTTTCAGTAATTGGCCGCAGATCGGGCCGGATCGCGGGTCGCTCAAACAAGCAGCATTCCATGGGCGGTTAAGGGCCAAGGTTCCTGTCTGTTGGTTTTGTCTTTCCTGTTTGATATTTATTTCTCTTTTTTTTTTCCCAATTTCTGATTTCAACAATTAAATTAAAAGAGGCAAAGCCAATCAACGGGTTTACTAACGCCGTTTGGGGAACTACACTAGGTAAAAGGGGGTTACGGAACTACGAGTAATCAAAGAAAAAAAAAAGAAAAGAAATCATCTGTAGGCCCGTGTGAGATCCATTCCATGGACTATTTGCATACCGGTTCTTATTCTATACTCCATATTAGCACCTCGTAATCGGTACTTACTTTACTAGTAAATTATTATTGTTCAGTCTGGAGCACTCTATCTGTATGACTCTTCTGTTCTTAAGCTTATGTTCCATGTTCCATGTTCCCACAGGTCCGATCCCTGCTTATTTGTTTCCTATTTGTTTTCCTTGGATTCGGTTCCAGGTAGCCCTTTATTTGCGTCTAGGCTCATTTCGTTAGTGTCAACGTCGTGTCATCTTAGCATGTGCGGTGGAATCGTGGAGCTGGGGCGGGTGGTAGATCGTCAGGGCTCCCTGGATTCCCTTCTTATAAGGTCCGTCGACCTTGCCTGATCTTCACTGGAAATACTTGTACACCCTTTTTAGTCGCTGTTCCGCAGGAACGGCCCTTCTAACACCTGTGATCACCCTTGTGCTTTCCTCTGCTCTACTATTCCCGTAAGCCACCTCTTTCTCTCCCCACCTCTTATATACCAACTAAACTCCCCCTCTTTTCCAGTCTACACTTTTCTCTCCATCAGCTCTCTTGCCTTTTTATATTATATTATATGGCCAATTATCAGCACTCTCAGCCTTATCCAACTGGCTCCCAATGGATACATCCTGTTTCAACTCATAATCAACCAACCATGCAGGATTTGGCCCGTGCTTTCCCTCGGCCGAGACACACTCGGGTCATGAAGCCTCGTAGTGCGGGCAACAGTCCTTCGTCGGCAACCAGGAGACGATCAACTGTCAATCAACATGTGATGCAGGCTATGCCATCACAGTACCAATCCTCTCTAGAAGAGGCTCTTTTCGCCTCTCGGAACTCACGCCCGATCAGCTGGCATCCTTCATCGGCAAGAACTCGGGGCCTTTCAAACCCGCAATGCTATCCCGATTTCAACCAGGATAGCTATGCTAGCATGGGAATTTCGGGGCAATACCTGCCCCAAAGTGTCTATGGTGACAATATGATGTCGTACCCCATGACCGCTGATTCGACCTTCTCGCCCAATAACTACTTTCCTGTTTACTCGGAGATGCAAGAAGACTTGCCACTTCCACAGCAGACCCCGGCGCTTTCAATGGCTGGCTCGCAGGTCGAGCCGATGGGTTGGGATTCCGCCATGCCCGATTTCTCAGCGATGAACCCGACCTCCGATAATTGGTCCATGGAGATGCTATCGATGGGCACCAACATCCCGCCACCAGAAACGAACTGCCCAAGCTACGTCAACGTTCCTTCACCGGGTGAAATGAGCGGCCCATCAACCCCGGACTTCCTTCCCATTCAACAATTCGAAGATCCCTTCCAGTCCCCCGTCGAAACTAAGAAAGCTGGAAAGGGCGAAGAGGAACTCGTCGGTATGGGTCTCTACAGCCAGCCCAACGGAACACTGGCCAAGGCCCCCCAAAGCAAGCCCGGCACCGGTCTCAAATTGGAGGAAACTTTTACTCCATCCGACGAAGACAAGGATGCCGAGGGGGAAGAGGATATCGAATGCGAAGAACAGCAACCGTCGCCTCAGCCATTGTCCCGCGATGAGCCTTTGCAGATGCCCTCCCAATCGAGCTTCTTTCCCAAACAATCTAAGCAAACTCTGAATTTGCTTCAGAGATCCTTCTTTTTCGACCAAGATGAGGATCAACAGGCGATGGCTGCCCAGCCTTTTGCAAACCTGAACCAGCCTTGCCAAAACTACGGGTACGGGTGGATCTAGGATGCCCCGTTTGAGGATTGGGGTACCACTCGCCTTTGTTTTTTAACTTTTTTTTTGTAACTCATTACTAGCGGCATAGCGTGGCGTTTATTTTTTTTTTTTTTTTGTGATTTCTTTTGGCTCGGCGTCGGATACAACGGAACGATACCCTTGGAACAACTTGCATCTAGCTATTAGCTACTATCTACATTAGCCCAGGGTGATGTACTCAATACATGATCAATACACACAAATTAGCTTTACAAGATTCACTCTATTTTCAAGAAAAACTAAACACAAACTTACTAAGATGTGGGCCTCACTGGACGAGAAGTGGAAGTATACATAGTCATCCTCTGATTGGCTGGAGAATTGAGGATCTCGGCAAAACTCACCTGATGGAACAATCATTTCCCGAAATTCTTTGCAATCGGCGCAAGGTTGGTTGAAGTCGCAGACAGCGAATTAGATTTCTAGTTTGTTGTTCTAAAACTCAGCAGAATGGCCAAGGTCATCTTCACAGCCTGGAAAACCAAGGCTCAGTTGGTGGAGGTGCGGAACGAATTCTATCCTCCGCCTTCCTACGCAGGGTCAGACTTGCGCTCTCATGGTTGCGCAGTGGTATGCAATATGAGTTCTCTAGTACAACAGTCTTTTTGCTAATGCGGTACAAGGTCGAGGCTTGGAAGTTACGCGGCAATGTCCCGCACCATGTTGAGGCTACCGCGTTGTTGACGGACGCTATTTTGCATGATGATGCACAGAGAAATTCCATATTCTCGATTCGGGCTACATACTCTGCTGCCTTTTGTCGGTGAGTCACTGGTTGAACTTAATCTTTTTGATCAACGTTCCTTGGGACGAGAGAGGGAGAGCATGTCTTTTCGTCTTGCTGCCTGGTGTTGATCACATACAAACCATAACTAACCCCCAGAACAGCTTTGTAACCGGTCTTGTGGATACCAAAATCCATGGTGTACGGCGAACAATGTTCCAAAGGGCTACAGATCTAGGTCTCCCAGCTTCTTTTGTGGAACTACGCCACGAAGCAACCCACCGTGAGCCCCCGTCGCTGGTGGTACTGCGCAAAGCAGCAGAGCGGTCTCTCGAATGGCTCTGGGATAATTTCTGGGCCGACATTTGTGATGAGCCTGGGGCTACACCTGCATTGGCCCATGATGACGGTGTATCTGTAAGGGCGGCCTTGTGCGACGCTTTGCAGCCTTTAGCCGGCGGATCGGCGGAACCAGTATCCAAGAAGCGGAAGTATGATCGAGCCATCTCGGTGGCTATGCGGCTTGTTTCGATCTGCAATGCTTCGGGGCCCGGTATCAGGCTTTTGCCGGGTGTTTTGCTTGAGCAGGAGTTGTTGGTGCCTGCTGGACGGACGTGAGTACTCTTTTTGGTTGTGTCTCGGGTGTTCAGCCAGGGATCTGTTATCGGGGAGTACACGCTAACAGATTTTTTTTTCTTCTCTTCCTTTCACAGACTTGGGGATCCGTTGAATGATACTCTCAAAGAATGGAGTACTGTGCTTCTCAAGGTTGCTGAGAGTCATCCTTCCTTTTTAAGGCATCTCACAGAGGACATGGTCAATGATCTAGCTTTCAACACCAAGGATGCTTCCACTAATCCACACTCCGAGGCACTGTATCTGTGGCTCGTTCACATCCTCACATCCACGACTTGGGAATTCCACAGGCAATCCTGCCCTCACAGCTATGTCCTTCAGGCTTGTGACGGGAGCCCACACCACTGGACTACTTTGCTAGCTGAACAGGTGAAGAAGCAGACTAAGAAAACCTCGGAATTACCCGTCGCTCGATCTAATGCCCAGACTCGAGTTTCAAAGCCTCAGACTCGACCACAGTCTCAAGGCACTACCACCCAGCTCTCGGAAAAACTACTGGCACACGGGTGGGGTCTGTTGGAGCAATGGGATAGTCGACCTCTGGGGGTGGTCGCGAGTAATTAGATAAAACAGTCAAATAAACATGCTGCTGGCAGCGAAGCATTTGCCTTGAAACGAGGAACCAATCAGATGCCACGTCATTACTAAGGGCTGTCAAACGGGGAAAGGTTCCTCCGGATGACGTTGGTAATCAACAGCATCTTCCAGAGCTCCCCGCATTGTGTTGGAGTAATGAATTTCCTCCGGACTCAAATCCCCAGAGGCTCTCGTTTCTTCAGATCCCAGGCCAGAGCCATGCATATCCAGTCGATTCCTATGTGTAGGTCGATTCCAGCCTGTTCCCGCATATACCGATCAAAGCCGCATTCAAGACTGGAACATTGGCTGATAGTAGGATAAATCAACAGGGACGGGGAAGGGCAATAACTATGCCTACCTAGTGACAGATGAACCGACCAAGCAGTCGGTGATCATTGATCCTGCCAACCCTCCAGAGTGAGCTTCACTTTTTTGTTGGACAATTTCCAATGCATGGTGCACAAGGCTGACTTTGTGGAATGACAGGGTTGCGCCAGTGCTTAAGTCACAGATTGAGGCCGGCAATATCAATTTGAAGGCCATTGTCAACACTCATCAGTATGTGAACAGATACATCATGAGCTGGAGCCTAGCTAACGTTCGCTGTAAAGCCACTGGGATCATGCTGGCGGCAATGATGATATTGTATGTTTGACATTTTGGCCTGCTTATCTGACATAGGACTGACATCTTTTTCAGTTGAAACAATTCAAGGGCCTTCAGGTCATTGGTGGTAAGGACTGTGCATCTGTTAACAAGACTCCCGCCGATGGGGAAACATTCAAGATTGGAGACCGTATCTCTGTCAAGGCTCTGTATACCCCCTGCCATACACAAGACAGCATCTGCTTCTACATGCAAGACGGGGATCAGCGCGTTGTGTTCACTGGTGACACCCTTTTCATCGGCGGTACGTTCACCAATTGATCACCGCATTATCGCCATAGGTGATGAGAAATATCAACTGACCTTTCGAGCAGGCTGTGGTCGATTCTTCGAAGGCAACGCAAAGGAGATGCACAAGGCCTTGAACGAAACCCTTGCAGCTTTGCCTGACGACACCAAGGTTTACGTATGTATTTCCCATCGAGATCAATCACACCACTTACACCGACTTTTCACAGCCCGGTCACGAATACACCAAAGCAAACGTCAAGTTCTGTATTGCTGTTTCGCAGACTGAACCGATCAAAAAGCTCCAAGCTTTCGCAGAGCAGAACACGGAGACCCAAGGAAAATTCACCATTGGAGACGAGAAGGTTCGCATGAAACCGAGCTTGTATGAAACCGAAGCTAACAGATATCTAGCTCCATAATGTGTTCATGCGCGTGAATGTAAGTACCTTGTACCTTATCTCTACATCTTGTACTGATGCGAAACACCCAGGACCCCGAGATTCATAAGGTCACCGGCAAGACCGACCCTGTGGAAGTCATGGCAGCACTGAGAGAGATGAAGAACTCTATGTAAAATTACTCCGTAACCCAAAAAGTGCAAATCAGTGTAGATCACCTCCCAATTCCCAATATGTCGTATTCTCGCGAAAAGTAAGCATTTTCTCCAGGCCAATTCACTGTTAAGAGATAATTTCAATCCTCAGAAATGAACTGTAGATCTTCAAAATTCCCGGGCAATTCGACGGAAAGGCGGGCAGATGCCGCAGACAAAGGAAGTTGGGTTGCTTCTGGACCGACGTCATACCCACCTTCTTTTCAACCCACCGCAGACGAACCTCTAGAGTATCCCAGTGATGGACAAGTCTGTTGATGATGTATGTGGCCATCGGATCAAAGTGCGACTGTGAACTGATCAATGTCACAGGGCTATGGAGGAGGGGCAAGCGATACGGAGGCTCAAAATCATCTGGAGGTACGTTGCTTCAGTCCAATGACGGCCTCAAGCTAATCGCTTCGGAGCAGGTAGTCTTCTACCCAGACTCCAATCATCGCCGCAAGTCTTCCCTCGTTACGATGGACAAACCCAAGGTCCGACCTCATCCAGCTCAGGAAGACAAGACGACCGCCTGCTATGTGCATTCGCTTATCGCCAGCGAGTGGACCTCACCCCCTCACGATCTCAAAGACACAGAAGAAGTGATCCGAACATTAAAAGATGACGAAAATGAGCCGCCGAAGTCCGATCCAACGGCCGCACATCCAGATGATCTGGTCTCAGTGATAGATGGCGATACCCCAGGCGCCCGCAAACCGACCCCGACAATAATCCAATCCCGCCATCTGACAAAGAGACAGCTGTCAGACATGGCCTGGAACGTGCGGAAGCTCTCCAAGAAGCTCGGCAGTATCAAGCTCAAGTTGACCGTCAAAAACATATTCGTGGTTTGCAAAGCGCAGGACGAGTCACTAGTCAGCCTCACACGGAAGGTGACGAAATGGCTACTCTCCAAGGACCGCGACTCAGAATATATAGTCTATGTTGAACGCCGACTCGAGACACATCCAGATTTTGGTGCGCTTCAATTGATCCAAGATGAGCCCTCCGCAGAGGGTCGGCTTAAGTACTGGGACCCTAAACTAGCGCAGCAACAGCCTCACCTGTTTGATTTTGTCATCACGCTGGGCGGCGATGGCACAGTTCTCTACACCAGTTGGCTCTTCCAGAGAATCGTCCCGCCTGTGCTATCCTTTGCGCTAGGCTCTTTGGGCTTTTTGACGAACTTTGACTTCACAGACTACCAGAAATCGCTTGAGAATGCGTTACGGGATGGTGTTGTCGTCAGTCTACGATTACGATTTGAATGCACAATAATGCGAAGCAAGGCGCGCCTGAAGGAGCATGATGCAAGAACATTGGCTGATCGCGACCTGGTCGAGGAACTCATTGGCGAAGAGGGAGAAGATACATTGACCCATACACCAGACCGGGTGTACGAGATATTGAACGACGTCGTCCTCGACCGGGGGCCCAATCCAAGTAAGATAAAGTTTTGAGCTTGACATCAGCTCTGTGGTTTTACAGACAGCTAACGTATACCAGCGATGTCGCAAATCGAGCTGTTTGGGGACGACGAGCACTTCACCACTTTACTTGCTGATGGCATCTGCATCGCGACACCAACCGGCTCAACTGCTTATAACCTTGCGGCAGGCGGGTCGCTTTCACATCCAGAAAACCCCGTCATTCTTGTTACTGCTATTTGTGCCCATACACTTTCATTCCGACCCATTATTCTACCAGACACCATCGTTCTGCGGATGGGTGTGCCATATGATGCACGCACCAGCTCCTGGGCTAGCTTTGATGGTCGCGAGAGGTATGTATACATATATATGTGTATTATCATATTTTTAGACACTGTCATTAACCGTTGTTACAGGGTTGAATTACATCCAGGCGACTATGTGACCGTGTCAGCATCCAGGTATCCCTTTGCCAATGTCTTGCCCCCTGGGGGACAAGGCGAGGGTTGGGTGCACAGTATCTCCAAGACTTTAAATTGGAACTCGCGCCAGAAGCAGAAGAGCTTTAAGTAGCTGTTCTTGTGCTGCGTTTTGACCCTTGGAATCTAATGGCTCAGCTATGCTCAACTACAGAGCATCATGACTCGAACCAAAATCTTTACCAATTAGGATCACAGATCTGAGACTATGATCCAGTCGAGTTTTCGTAGATTTGTGTACTTTGTAGTGTCCATAGCAACGAAGCTATCCACTTGAATTTTTTTTTTTCGCTAACACGATGGGTCACGGTTTCCGGGGCAGCTCCGGGCTATAAAAGGCCGTCCGGCCCGAAAAACTTTTTCCTTCTTCATCCTCTTCAACCATCACTGAGTTGTCTTAATGTTGACTCTCAGAGGTTTTCACTGAGGTTTTCACTCTCGAATTGCAACTTCTCACTAACTTGGTATGTTCCACACTATTTTTTCCTTTCCCCCCCAAGTTCAGCCATCGGCGCAAGCCGTTCGATGATGAAAACTTTCCTACATTCGCAGTTTCCACGCTAGTCATCGCTTGAACCCAATCAAGGTGGCGCTGAGCGGAATATCTTCCTTGGATGTCTGAGATAATTTGGCTGTTCTTTTTTTTGGATCACATTTCAACCAACTTTGCAGTCGAGACTGTTGCTAATTGTCTCTCAGAATAGGTTCATACACATGTTATCACGGTCCGGATATCACCCAGGAGGTTCTGTCGCAGCAGACTAGTCTGTCCTAGCCTGGCTGCTAAAGCTGCAGGCTATGAGTTGCTTGTCGCTCGCGTTCCTCCAGTGGGAGTCTGGGATCCGAAATCTAGCATCAGTCAGATCAGTCTTCAAAATATACATGTCATTTTTCAAACCATCTCTACCTCGTAGTTTCAAAAATGTAAATCTGTAAAAATCCAGCGTAAATGCGATCACCAAAGTCTTCGTCACAATCCTGCACTCGAGGCGGATGTGCTCCGCCGTATCCACTCTGAGCACCTCTACTCCGTCCTCCGTACCTTAACCTGTTAAGCTTGGGGAGACTCGAATCCCCTACTCACACAACATGGCGGCGCCACCTCGACATGCGACAATGCTATCCATCAGCAATGGGGACAAACCAGCACAGGCTCAACCTCAAACACAACAGACCACACTACCACAATCCCCAGGGCTCCGTGTACCCTCCAATCGCAAGACCATTTACGACCGACACCTGAACCGCAGTCGCAATGCGGAGTCCAGCAGGGCAAGCTTCGCCTTTCTCTTTGGGGAGATGGTCACATACGCCCAACGGAGGGTAACCGGCATCCAAGATCTAGAGAAACGGTAAGCCTCCTACAGACCTACCGCTGCGATTCCCGCAATTCATCATTCCATGGCCATCTCGACGCTAATAACACCCAGTCTCAACGAACAAGGCTACCCTCTCGGCCTCCGTCTCCTCGACCTCCTCTTCTACCGCTCAACCTCGACATCCTCATCCGCCCTCTCAAGCTCCTCAACTTCCTCATCACCCCCGAACAGACCCCTCCGCATCATCACCCTGCTACATCTGATCCACGGTCCTCTCTGGCGCCTCCTGTTCGGCCGTGCCGCAGATGCGCTCGAACACTCTGTGTCCCCAGATACCCCGAATGAGTACATGATTACAGACAATGACCCACTGGTCAACACGTATATTAGCGTGCCGCGGGAAATGAGCATGCTCAACTGTGCGGCTTTTGTCGCTGGTATTATCGAGGGTGTCTGTGACGGATGTGGCTTCGAGACCAAGGTCTCTGCCCACAATCAGCCCACGGATCTGTGGCCCAGTCGCACGGTGTTCCTGGTCCGGTTTGGAGATGCTGTTATGGAGAGAGAGAAGGTGCTAGAACGGTCGGGCGTCAAATAAATAATTCATAGATCTGGGGCGTTTGGCGCTTGAGCTTGTGGGTGGTCAGATGCTTTTCGTTCTGGGCTCGGGTGATTGCATTACGGCACTGGTACTCTTACGAATTGATGCAAGCACATGTTTTTTTGGTCTGAGCCCTTGTTTTGGCCTTATGGATACCATGTGTGTGTACAAAACTCCACGGTTGGCTGTCAAATATGACAATAGAATTCCTCCAGGAGAGGGGTGTACTTGTACATGCCCTGAAACTTCCAAGGACTAGGGTAGATCAGAGTGCAGACATCAGATGCAGAAAATTGGCATGTAAACGGACCCAATGCCAGACCATACCAAGATTGAATCATGAACCCGTCCGCCGACGCTTCTCTCGATCTTCGTACGGGGATGGGCTTCGTTTCCTGCGCTCCCGGGATCGACTCCGCTCCCGACCGTTGTCTCGATCATCTCGGTCCCGCCGTGGTGATCGCGACCTCGACCGCCGCTTAGGTCTCACAGCACTGGCATTCGCACCCGTAGGCCCACGGTCCCGATCATCACCAGGACGATCAGGCATAAAGCGCTCATCCGTAACACCCTGCGGCGGACCATCACGGCGTCTTCGGTTCTCCAACCCATCACCAAAGCGACCCGTGTCCTCGGTCTTCAAATCCCTATAGCGCGTGCGTCCTTTCTTGCCCAGCTTCGTCATATCCCGAACCTGCATGTATTGAGGCAAGGTATCACGATTGACATCATCTTCGAATCGTGCACCCATAAGCTCGCGCCGATCAAGGCCCTCAGCCTCAAGATCTCCGCGGAAGAAAGCACCCTTGTGGAAATAACGTTGCATGAAGCCCGTCTGGCCACGAGTAGCATCACGATCTTCCTTCTGCTTCGCAATGAACTCGCTATCTTCACGCTCCCGCTCTTCAGCCGTAAGGTTACGACGGCGCTCAATTTCCTCGCGCTCTTTCTCTGTTTCTTCAATAGCTTCGCGCTCGCGCTTGACACGCTTCAATTCACGCAGTTTCCACGCGGCAAGCTCTGCCTCGGCATCAAGACCATCTGTATCATCGATTGCTTCTTCGTCATCAGCTTCAACAAGCTCGTCATCGTCCCATGCCCGAGTGGCAGTTGAGCGTGCAATGGCTTCTTTTTCAAGTTGATCGCGAATTAACATATCGGCTTTTTCTTGTCTCTGTGCAGCGCGCTTGGCTTCTTCTGCTTCTGCCTCTGCATTGATTTGTGCTTGCGTCTGGCCTGCAGACTCTTGAGTCGTGTTGCGCTTGTCTTTTTTGATGAAGGTTGGTCGGATGAGCATTCGGCGAGGCGCTTCATCTTCAGAACTGCTCTCTTCTTCAGAGCTTTCCTCCTCTTCCTCTTCCTCTTCCTCTTCCTCTTCTTCTGCACTTTCAGCTGTAGCAGGTGTATGTGTGGGTTTTGGCGTAGGCTCTATCGCATCCGTAGATTGGGTAGTTTTTGGCGCGGGCGCGGGCGCATCCTCCTCGTCAGTAACGAATCCTTCTTCATCGTCCTCTTCAGTCGCTTGTGCTACCGCCGCAGCAGGGAAAGAGCTAGCTTTGGGCGCTTGCTGTCGTCGACGTTGCGCCTCAATTCGCTTGCGCCGTTCCTCTTCTCTTTGCGTTTCCTCATTATCCTCTTCCTCTTCTTCTGACGATTCCTCTTCCGGCACGGCCTTTCCAGGGCGATGGCGACTGGGCTTGAGGGGGTTCTTGGTCATGCCCTGGTGGGAGGAGGGGAGTGGTGGAGGCATTCTGGCTTGGTCGAATCGAGCGGACTAGGAAAGTTGATTGGAGAGCACTGGAATTCGGGCAATTTGTCCCCAGAGTCTTGGCACAAGGTGGTTGGCAGGAAGTACTGGTATCATATGGATTTCAGCTTTGTGGCTCCCTCAGTTGCAAGGGCCTCATATAAACCTTCAGTGCTCAAGTGCTGGCGGCCTTTTTTTGGAGCCATCGATTCTGACTAATCTTGAGCTGTCACGTGGTCTGGAGCTTTCGTCGCATTCACATTCACATTCACTGTTTCGTCTGAGAGCTAGCTTGCAGTGTATATGATAGCTTGGAGATTGTGCTGCAGTAGTAACAGTAAGCATCATAAGCAATTTGCCATTGAATTGATCGTGGACATACCGTTCATTCATACTCCGTAGAATTTCCTCATTACAGCCCGCAATCACCACGTGACCACGCGTTTCCCGCGCGCGAGCTGCTCCCCGCTGATACCCAGTCGTCTCATCCTCAACTGCCACCAGAAAAAACCCCATTCACCGAGTCACAAGCATCTCCTACCTGCCAAGATGTCATCAATCCAGACACCTCGTATTCTCCCTCAACACCTCCCAGCCTTCCACCCCTCTCAAGCAGGATCCCATACCTCATACACCGTCCGCCTCCTCGGAACAGTAACCGCACTCAACGGCGCCAGTGGAACGCTTTCCTGCGGCAACACCGGTGAAGTCACACTCATCTTGAAATCGGAAGGGCGCTTGCAGATCGGAAAGCTATTCGAGGTCATTGGGAAGGTATCAGAACTAGAGAATGGCCAGGTATGAACTGAGTTGCTGAAGATAGGCGAGCTTTGGACTAACCGTGATTTGCAGCCTGGCTTTGGACTCCGTGTTCTCGGCTGTGTTGACTGGGGTAACCCAGCTGATTGCGGTATGTCATGTTCTTTCGTGCTGGGTACTTGAGCTAATGGAATGTAGACTACAGTATTTATGAGAAGGCTGTTGACGCCACGCATCACTGCACGCCGATTTTCTACAACATTGAATGATTAATTAAATTGCATACCCAAATTCAATTCTATGGCTTGTGGCTTTCGCTGCTGAATTCAAAGGTTCTTGCTCGTGTATTGAAAGCTATAGTCAGCGTATAGATGTACTTCGTAGAGTCTGTGGTTTCTTGACTGGTCTCTGGCCTGGAGAAAAGTAACCCTCTTCTCTTGGTATGCCTGGGGGTGGTTATAGATCCATTGTCACCATTGGAAGGGGTTCTGCAGCGGTGAAGGAGGACCTGTAGTGTAGGATAGCAAAACCATCGAGTCCATGAGGTCTTGAGGCCTCGACAGGGACTTGCTTATGCAGTCAACAGCCCCAAGTGATCTTTAGTGTAGCTGCTAGGTGTCGTCCCAAGTGTTCTGGTGGTCGGCATGTCCCAGTTATAGACTTTGAGGCAAGGACTTGCTTATTCACACGCACAGCCCTCTCGAGAGTAGCTTTTAGTGTGGCTGTTGGGTGTCGTCCCATGTGTCCGGGTGGTTGGCATGTCCCAGTTATAGAGATTTAGGCAGGGACTTGTTTGTTCACACGCACAGCCCTCTCGACTGACCTTTAGTGTAGCTGCTGGGTGTCGTCCCAAGTATTCAGTGTCGTCCCATGTGTTTAGACGATCGGCATATCCCATTTATAGCACCAGAGCCCTGGGTATCAGTCCAGGCCCTGCCATGAAGGGCCTCTTGACGCACAGCCCTCTCGAGTGACATTCAGTGTTTCTGCGGTCGGCATGTCCCAGTCATAGCATCAGAGCCCTGGTTATCAGCCCAGGCCCTGCCATGAAGGGCTATTGTGTTCTGTGACAGCCCTGGGAGACTCCTGAACAAGACCTTGGGCTTTAGATGCTCTGCAGATGTTCCAAAGGTGTGACACCAGGATTATGCTCTTGCAGAATAGCGATTGACCCCTTTGTCAGCTCGTGATGCCCCAGTCATAGCATTATACCCCTGGAGATCAGTCCAGGCCCCATCACGAAGTGGCCATCGTGTTCTAGGACGGCCCTGGGAGGCTTCTGAACAAGATCTTGCGCTGCAGATGCTTTGCAGATGTTCCAGAAGTGTGACACCAGGCTTGTGACCTTGCAGAATAGCGATTGACCCCTTTGTCACCTCGTTCATGCTGTGATGATGAGGATGCATGTGTTTACATAATTCACAGCCCTCCAGACGCTGAGGCCCCATCGGCTCCCACGAGCAGCTGAAACTGCAAATAAGATTTTTGCGATTGCTGACTCGGTGAAATCATTCCATTTGCTGCAGTCGCAACCTTCGACATCTTCGTGGGAGGCTTGGCGTTGTCGGGCGCTGCCGTCGGTCTTGGGAAGGCTTGGTACGGTCGCAAATCGGCTCGAGGGGCTTATTGGGTCTCTAGATGTCGAGATTCTTGCGATTGAGCAGCATGGCTTCGTAGAATCTTCAGTATTAGCCATTCCACTGTCTTCTGTGTAGGGAAAAGCTCATGTGGAGAGGGTTGGCCATGCTGAGAGTGGATCCCGTTACCCCAGACCCGCCCCACGCCGCACCGAACTTTATCTATAGTTGCATAAGTACCGATGACTTCGTACCACCCTGATCCTCGACGCTTTGCGACTTCTAGCTATATTATATGATTACCAGAGATCAATTCGAGGGTCTATTTTTATAATATGCAATAAAAATGACCCCTTCACGTATAAAATCGTGGAGATCATGGCCAAAATGTGCCCGACAGACATGTACGTTGATTTTGATGGTTCGTCGATATTGTCGAGGCCCTGGGCATTCATCGTCGATTTGGTTGATTTCCGATCTAGGTAGGACCAGGACAGGTATAAATACAGTAGCTTTCACCCTGGAGCTTGTTCTCTTCTCTTTCTTCTTCCCTCACCTCAATCGAAGCTTCATCAATCATGGGTTATTGCTGCCGTGCCTGTCCTCAGGTCTTTGCGACCTCTGGCCTCCGTGACGGTCATGAGTCCGACACTGGCCATTACCGTTTCAGATTCCCCTGCCTCATGTGTGATCAGGTCTTTGAGACCCGCGAGGAATCCGCCCACCATATGGACTCACTCATGCATTACGAGCACAAGTGCGACCAATGTGGCGAGCATTTTGAAGAGAAGGCTCATCTCACCATGGTATGTATCTAATTCTAGTGTCTTTCGCTGTCTTTCGCTGTCTTTCATTTCTTTTTTTTCACTTTCGTCTGATGTTCTGCATACTGATATATATTTGCAGCACCAGAACTCTCCCGTGCATCGCCCCCTGGTGCACAAGTGCGCCTTTTGCCCCTCGGTTTTCGGCACTCCCTCTGCTGTGGTTCACCACCTTGAGTCCAACTGCTGTGAGGTCGCTGTTTGGCAAGACATCGATCATCTCTTCAAGGTCATGAAGAGCATCGACAAGGAGAACTTGTTCACGATCGCCGCAACCGAGCCCGACCACAAGGTCTCCCTCAACTACACCATCCACGGTGACTACTTCCACTGCCCTCACTGCACTTCTCGTTTCAAGAAGGAAGTTGGTGTTATCGCGCATCTCAAGTCGCCCGTGCACCGCAAGCGTCTCTACCATTGCCTCAACAGCACCCAGCGCTGTGGCAAGACCTTTTTGACCCTTGCTTCGCTCTGGAACCATCTGGAGAGTGGTTCATGCGGTTATCTTCTCTTTGATGCTGTGGAGGAACTTCACGCCATCATCAAAGATGCAGCCACGCACCACCGTCCTCTCTACTTTGAGGACCTGGCGCTGTAAGCGCCCTTGTGTTCATCGCGGGTCTGCCAGTTTTCAGGGGATGGGGCATGGAGTTATTGTTATCCAACCTGCGATGAATTGACCATCTTGGTCATGGTTGCTTTCTTATTGTCCTCCTTTCTTTTTTTTTTCAAAAACCCAAAAAAAATCTTGCTATCAGGTTACTTTTTCAATCGTGGAGGACAATAGTTATTATCATTTTCAAATGAAACTGCAAATTGCAAAATCCTGCTCTTGACGGTCTGCAAAGGACCATGTAGTATGAAGTCTGTACAATATGTAGTCTATACTAATGAAACCATCTGCATGCATCACAGGCACATGGCCTCAGGATACCTGCTTAAGTAGAAAAACAATCTCAGATCATATCTACATTTCGTCCTATGTTTTGATTACTCTGGGTCATATATGTTGCGCTGGGATTTCGTCCAAACCCGTTTGTAGAGAGCTAGCCCACTTTCGTCTCATCTCCTTCTGCCCTCTCATCGCAAACACATCATTTTGACCGCCTCCTCACTTTCGTCCGATTGTCTCAACATTTACACAATCCAGCTCTAACACGCTGTTCGCCTCCACTGTCGCTGAGTCCCTACCCTCGCCGAGTCCCAATACAAGAAGAGAAGAACCAGTCCAGCCCCAGAGAGAAAGACAGTCATGAGATTTGGCTAACTCTCCCCTGGTGTGGGACTGTCACTCATGGATACTAAGGCACAAGGGCCTGGGAGGAGCCAACAAATGGGATGCCAAGGGCGGAATTAGACTTCAGGATGGGAGCATGAATGTTTCTCATCTTTACAAAGGTCTACAGGTGGAAAATTGCAAAATATACATGATGATTTACTTGTGGATGGGTTATTGTGGGCCTTGGTTTTGGAATGATTGAGTCTTGTTTCTAACGCTGCTTGTCCCCAACTTTGCAAGTACATGCTGTGGAATCTCCAGATCTCATTGATGAAGATGAAGTAAAGATGCAGTGTCACATTGGCTGGTAGCACACTTGCTTTTTATTTTCCAAGTTGGACAATGACTTCAGGAACTACACATAAAGCTACAAGGTTGTATGACCTGGACATGCACATAATATTGATTGATACAGCAAAGCTGCTTGAATTGTTTCGTAAATCTGTTTGAGTCAGGAACCGAGGTATCCTGCAATAATAATCTGTACATAAATCGACAGTGTCGGGTTGAGCTCCATCAAGGTAACTCGGTCGTTATTTTGAAGAAAACACGTAAATCTGTAGAGTAAGTGTAGGGACTGTTGCTTCATGCAACAAGTCAAAAACCAGAACCGAACGCCGTCGCTAAAAAACAGGAGGAAAAAAAAAACAGCATGATTAAACGGGAGAAGTGGCATCTGTATCTCCAATCTGGGCTTTGGGCGCCTCGTTGAGAGCGTCAGAGCTGAAGAATCCAGAGTCGGGAATGCCAACGTCGTTGAAGTTGAAGGGAAGGAGAGTAGATTGGAAGTCCTTGTCCGCATCAGCGAAAAGAGACTTGAGGAGATCATCGGCTGGGCGATTGTCGGCCTCAGGTGATCCGGTAGAAGGGTTGAAGTCGCTGGGAAGCCAGTCAGCCCAGTTCTCGCCGGCGAACTTGGAATTCTCCAGTTCGAAGTGGGTGTGGTCGTTTTCGTCAAAGATATCAAGCATCATCCCGTCGAGGGAGATGTTGGAGGAGAGGCCGTTCTCGAACTCGGCGGACTCTGCCTCAGGCTTGGCCGAGGCTTTTTGTGACCGAGGGGATTGCCCGTGGAGGGATTGGATGCGTTGCAGGCGCTCTGCTGACAGACGGGCTGGGCTGGTGACCCCGAGATCCTTGCGCCTTTTGAAGCTTGGAGAGTTTCCAAGGATGCGCTTTTCGATTGCGAGACGCGGGTTGCGACGACGAGGAGTAGGGCTTGCAGAGTCGAAGCCAATAGATGGACTTTCAAACAGGTCATCGAGGTCGTCCTGAGTGTTCTCCTTTTCAGTGGTCTTGTCCTCCTTTGTCAGGGCAATGCGCGGACTACGACGAGGAGAGCAGCTGTTTACCATAGAAGCATCAAGTTCCTTCAGAGGTCCATCTTTCTGAATCTCGTGGAAGAGTGATCTTCTCACAGACTTGGGAGTGGTGTTGACTGCACTGGTGCGGGCTTCGGTACGCCTCGCAGGGCTTGATTGGGCCGCTCTTTGAATAGCGTGTTCGGCATTCAGCTTCGATCGACGGCGTCCTGGAGTAACACTCGCTGGGTGCGGCTCCTCGCTGTCGCGCGGCTCCTCTGTGGTGAAACGAGAATGATCATCGGGAGTATCGCCAGTTTCATCCTCGTCATAATGGACATCCATTTGGGGCGTTTCTCCTTCAGGGTGAACCGAGGACAGATCGGTAAATGCCGGAGAAGAGGCTGCCACTGTGTTTGCAGGTGGTGCGGATGTTCCCTTCTTTGGGACAGCCTTGCTCCGAGTCCTCGAGGCAGGGCAGGCATTGAGTGGGCCATTGGCGCGAGTCTTCGATGGACGCTTTTTGCTCTTCTGGCCATTCTGCAGGGCTGGCGGTTTGATCCACTTGGATTCTGGGCGCATACTCTTGAATTTGTAAAGCCACAAGCCACAGGGGTTGCAGAGGAGGAGCTGGGCCCACGAGTCATCATCAATCTCCATTCCCTTCTTCATGATCCTAAACTTGACGACCTGTTCCCGGTCATTTTTCTCAACGGGTTCCCAAAGTAGCATCTGGGGGGAAAGCATCATCTCTTCGGCGAGTTCCTCGCCACCGACAATTTCCTTCGCCCAGGCTCGGCGCCAGCTGGGAGTTTCGATTGCACCGCAGTTCTCACAATAAGGTGGAATATGGCCGTTAGCGAGAGCAGCCTCGAGGCGTGCTTTTCCATTGGCCTTTTTCGAGTTCCCCTTTGACTTTGTTGCCGGTGGTAGCTTTGCCTGCATCTGTGGATTGGAGCTATCTGTCTTGCACCGTAGGAATGTGATGTCGACTGGCGCAGCAGGAGGGGCATGTTCAATAGAGGCAGTCGGACCGACTGGATCACTGGCTGGAGCTTCGGAGTGCGGCTCACTCAAGAATGGTGGTGCTGGTGCGAGAGGTTTGGGCGCAATACGCTGCGCACCAGAGCTCGAAGTAGGTCGTCTAGAGGGTGCGGTGGTGGGGCGAGATGGAGCACAAGAACTGGATGGCCCAGAGTTGGCGCGAGCCAATGCAGGCACTGAATCTTTGGGAGGCTGTGTGGGTGCGGTCCCCCCGATGGTGACTGGATCATGGAAAGTTCCCCGGGCAGCACTAACGGTGCTTACCGGGGAACTCGCCTGCACAGTAGTGCGAACAGATCGTTGGTCTTTAGGGGCCTGCGCTCTGCGATCGCTTTGGGCGAGGTTTTCGTCGCCTAAGATGTCGTCCAATCCAGCGCTCATGAAACCAGAGTCAGTATCCAGGGCCATGGTAGGCAGCACGGGGCTTGATCGATTGTGGAACCGGCTGTCAAAGATCGGTGGGGATGAAGGCATGTTGAAGGACTGTTCAAACAGTCCTTGGTAGCGAGTATCTTCCGGGGACGGGCCGGCGGCTTCTGTAGTTGGAATATCATCACTCATTACATAGGGCGAGGCGTATGGATCAGGACACGAGGCGACACTGTTAGTGGACGACTCCCGAAGGAGACTGGCTGTGGGACGACTCCGGCGATGGAAATCAGAAGGACGAGACATGGGAGTGGGTGGACGAACAGGCTCCTCGTGAGAATGCTCAGTCACGAGGGCAGGGTTGACGGGAGTTGGGCGGTGGATTCGAACAGAAGCTGCGGTGCTGGCTGCGACTCGGAGTGAACTTGGCTGCCTTTCAATATTGGCACCCGATTTCCCCGGCCAGCTAGCTTGGTACACCTTGGCTCTCTTTCGGGGTGGGGCCTCGGTGAGTTCCTCGTCTCCACTGGCGTATCCCGACTGGATTGAGCCTCTTCGAAGGTTGTTGTGTGACAGTTGTGTTTGGTTATCGCAGTCTCGCATAGATGCACTAGATGAGGGTCGAATCATGTCACTGTGAGGCACGCTGTGCTTGTAGGATTGGTAATGGGCTGGCGTTGAAACCCCACTGGCGGCATATGAGTGTGAAGGCGAAGCTGAGCGAACCGATGCATTGGAAGGGAAAGTGGCAAACTCTCGTGGCGTGGAGCCTTCGCTCAGAAGCTGGTGAAACCTTTCAATACCAGATTGATTCATCGGAGAACCTCCACGGTCATTGGTGCTTTGGCTTCGCTGCTCCAACAAGGCCGGGTTTTGACGGACGAAGTTAGTCCATGATTGCGTATCAAAGTCATTGTGCGTGGCGGTTGGGACAGGCACTAGGCGGAGTTTGACTTCGAGAGTCTCCTGGGCGCCCTTTGAAAAAAGACCGCTGAGAGGGCTTTTGCAAACCCGGCCAGTGATCATAGTTTTTGAAGAGGAGGCCTCGGCTGAGGAATTGGCCAGAACCCATGATAGCATGCCTTGGCCAACAAGAGGGGTTTCAAACTCGGAGTAGTCGTAGGCGTACACGGTGTAATCCTTTCCTACTTGTCCCACAAGCTCAGGACTGGAGTATATTAGCAACTGCTGTTCGTTCAGCTGGAAGAGACAAACCTAGCAGAGACAATGGCTTGGATACATGTTTTCAACTCAATCACACCAACCGTAGTGTTTTCATCCAACAAGGCAGTTTGGAGATCGAGAACATGTGGCCACCGAGCTAGGCAGTTGGTCTTGTTCTCGTTGTCGAATGTGTAGAGAACCTTTACTGTAAGAGGAGATATGTTTAGTGTTTAGTTCCTACCCAGCAAATCCGAGTCTAGCGGTGGGAAAACATACGCCTCATAGGACGGACATCGATACCGTCCTGAGATTCCATCTCATCTGACATTTTCTGGCCACCATGTAAGACAAAAGACCAAGCTTGGTGAGATGTGATAAGGAAGCAGAGAGAAGTCTTCAAGGAACAAGTGTGGAACCGGAAGGTTTGAATTGTCGACAGATAAAATTGTGTGGGTTGGTGAGGGGAATTGAATCAGTACGCTGATTGGAACTGTCGAGCACGTCTTCAGGATCGGAATGGAAGAGATGGCGGAGATCAGCAGGACATGTCTGAGATTTCGTTGACCGGGAGAATGGTGGTTATGCAGGAGTAGGTAGTGGAGGGGCCGTTTTCTGCAGGGCTGGAATGTTAGCAAGTGCTTGACGGGCAGCAGCAAAAGCACAGGCCCTAAAGGAGAGAAAAATGGATAGACCGCTTCTTACCAAGAATAAATTAAATAGAAAAAGGCAATGGTTACTACACTAGCTCTGCATGAACCGATAGAAGTGGGAGGAAGGGGGATGTTAAGTAGAAAGACGCCTTGCATGCGCGGTAGCTATCCGAAAGATCTCTAAACAAGCGTGACGCGACGTGACCGTGACCAATGGCGCGCGCCTTCCGGAAATGGGTTGGAAGCTTGGTGCCGTGTTGCCTTAATCCACAGGCATCAACTTTCATAAAATTCAGGCGAAAATTCAGGCGCCAATTCACGTGACTTCAACTCTCCGGCCATCTCGACCAAAGCCAAGTTCGCCATGGATAGTCCAACCTCAACCTCAACCTCTTCTCAAGCCACCACCATGTCTACAGGACCTGATTCCAAGATCCAGTAAGTCGCTGCAGCAGTCAATATCCAGCCGGGAGGTCAATTCGCTAACCCAAACAGAGATCTTCTCAACAAGCCCAAGAGCGAGCTCACGTAAGTCAAGGCGTCAGATCTTTACCTTCATCCCTTTGCGATTACTCATTCCGAGCAATCAATGCCCCTCTGTTTCTCTCTGGTCGGGATCAGCGGGGTAGTCCACGACGCCCGCATCTCGGAACCTTTTCGCGACCGACATTTCCATCACATTCTCATGCAAGCTGCGCAAAGCACTACAGGGTGCTTTAACAAACGTGACTTGAAAACTAATCTTGCATTTCGCATCACAGAGAGTATGAGGTTGCTCAGGTTGAGGAGTTCGAGCTCACTTCCGGCCCGCTGTCCCTCCTCCACACCGCATGCCGCAGCCACACCCAGGTCCTGATTTCCTGCCGTAACAACCGCAAGCTCCTGGCCCGTGTCAAGGCTTTTGACCGACACTTCAACATGGTTCTCGAGAACGTGAAGGAGATGTGGACCGAGAAGCCCAAGGGCGGCAAGGGCAAGGGCGTTAACAAGGATCGCTTCATCAGCAAGATGTATGTGCTCCGGCCTTGGAGAGATCTGCCCGGTTTCGTTTGAGACAATTCCTAACATTTATTTTCTCTAGGTTCCTGCGCGGCGACAATGTCATCCTTGTTCTGCTCAGCTGAGCTCGTTTCTCTTCCACTCGCACGATACCACCCCGCCCAGGTTACATGATCCTGGGATCTCTGATTGCGGAACAACTTGCACAGTATCTCGGGGCCAAAAAAAATTCCCATGAGATGCATCCACGAGTCGTGTAATCGAGATTGATACCCTTTGTTCCTCTTGACTTTCTTCCAACCGCCTTTTTATCCCTTGCTCCCGGTCCCGCCAGGATGATCATGCAATGCTACATCTGATACCTTGTTTGATATGGATTCTCTTCAAGTCGTTGCATGCATTGTGGACTTTTTTGTTTCTCACCTGGGGTGGAACCAAAACCTTCGGCGTTCTGTTGTGGGCTCCTGTTGTTTTTAGCAGATGGATCCTTAGGCGGCGTCAACCTGGAGCAAAGCTGGCTAGTAATGGAAATCATGAAAATTATGGCTACTTGTACTTCGTAATGTGCCTGTACTTGTATCTGGTCTTTAAGTCCTCGGATTTAGTAGTACTAACCTGCTACCAGGTGCTGGGGCAGCGGAGTGACGAGTACTTGGTATACTTCAGCCACTTCATTTTATACCCAGGGTCATTTCAATGGATGGTTCCTTAAAGCTCTGGGATTTACCTGTAGCCAAGGAAACATGGTAGATAAACTTCTGTTGCCGGATTTCATGTACTTCACATGTTTCCTTGAAAGATTTGACATGGCGGGATAAAACGCAAGTGAGACATCTACATGTAAAGCGCACAGCTAATGCAAGGGGTCATATAGCCCTAGCACAATTCTGGAGGCCAGCTACTCGTATGGCCTTTCAAGGTTATTCAAGAATCCAATGATAAATGCATTATAGAGTCCAAGGTCTCAACTTTTAACCAAATATCTGGAAGTCCAACCAGTGAAAAAGTTATCATAAATCAGCCCTCACCCTTGTGAAAGCATCAAGACGCCATTAGTAGAGCCAGTACGCCGCTATGAAAAAAAGAGAATCAAAAGAACTCAAGTAGAACCATCAATCCCCTAGATAGCCTCCGCAATGCCGGTCAAAAACTCCGAGAGTCCATGAGCACCAGGGTCAGGAATCTTACCAACCCAGCTCGACTCACCACCAACATAAACACTCCTCCCCAGACTGGCCTTCATAGCCTTCGTAGACTCAGTACCCTGCTGGGCCGCAGCAGCCGCAACCCTCACCTCACCAGTCTCAGACAAAGTCTCAATGAAAGGCGCCAGCGCATCAACGAGTGTTCTATCACCCTTCTTAGCCGGTGTGTACTTGCCCAGAGCTTCGATGGATGAATTAAGAGCCTGTGCCCAGATTTCTGTAGTCACAGGCGCAGGAGATGAGGGGTCTTGTGCACGGAGACCATGGGCCAGGGCATTCAGGAAAATGGCATAGATGGCACCGGATGTGCCGTCCATGACGTTTTCGACGACAGTGACGATGCGAGCCAGTGTCGAGAGGAGGTCGGATGTGATTGGGGTTGAGGTGTTGTTGAGGAGGGCGAGGATGGCCTCGGCACCACGCTTGAGACCGATTCCGCAGTCGCCGTCGCCGACGATGGTGTCGTAGCGGGTTACGTCTGCTTCGGCGCGGATGACGCGCTCGAGACCTGCGCCTAGTACCTTTTGGAGGATTGATGGGTCGACTGGTTTATGTTAGTATTTTGTTTGTTTTTTTTTTTTTTTTTTCTAGTTGGGTCACTGGGTGCTTACGTTGAAGGTTTCCATGGATGGCTTCTGCGAGGTTGGAGTCCTTTAGTTCCACTGGGTTGTCGTTGCGGTTATCCCAGGTTGAGGTGTTGATTGGGGCAGACCATCCGACTGCTTCGGCTGGAGCGTCGAGGAGCTCGAGCATTGATTTTCCAGTGCCGAATCCAGCGTCAACAAGCTTCATCAGCGAAATGCTGAAGCCGAGTCCGTTGAGACTTGTGAGGAATGTACCCTGGATCACGCGGACCATGTTGACTTGGTAGTCGCTCTTGAGTTGGCGGTAGACTTCATCGGTGATACCAGCCAGCTCGAGTGGGCTCACACCACCAAGGTTGTTGATCAGCAGGACGAACTGGTCTTCCGGCTTACGGGTGACGTAGCAGCGATCCGGGTCATTGTGGTCAAGGAGCTGAAGAAGCATTCCCTGCACCAGGCCGACCAGGTTGAACTTGGTACGGTGGGAACCCGGCTCATTGTGGATGCCCATGCCCACTTCAACCTCGCCATGTGGGATAGTTTCCTCGGGGACTCCACGGCCAGGAACGTGGACATGTTCCAGGGATGAGCCGAGCGATACCAGGTTCTTGTTGGCGAGCTGGGCCAGAGCATAGACATCGTCCAATGAGCCACTATCACATATTAATACCAGAATTTCCACAGATCAGTCATTGCACTTACCCAGCTTCAGCCAAAGCACCCACCATCTTCAAGATCAAGACACCGCCACCAATACCACGACGACCGACCTTGCCGCCCTTCACGCGGCCGACACCAACATCATCATTGATTGCAAAGAACTCGGTGCGGATTCCCGCAGCACGAGACTTCTCCGCCGCCATTCCAAAGTTCAGCACATCACCGGTATAGTTCATGGGAATGATGAAGACACCGTCTTCGGTGGGGACACGGTCGATCGCTGCCCGGCGGATCTGTTCGGCAGAAGGTGAGGCAAAGATAGTACCTGCGACCGAGGCATCGCATAGACCATGGCCGACAAAGCCAGCAAATGCAGGCTCATGGCCTGAGCCACCACCGGTCACGATGGAGACCTTGTTTGCTCTGCGGGGTGCATCTGGACGGCGGAAGATGATCTTATTTTGTTTGTCTAGAGCCAATGATGGGTTTGTGAGGGTGAGTGAATTCAAGGCCGTGACGACCAAGTGGTTGGGGTCGGAAAAGAAGTGTTTGGCTGTTGACGGTTAGACTTGTGCGGGGGGACCGGGTGGGGAACTCACTCTGCATGTTGATCAAAAGTGGTTCTCGGAGAGGCTCTTGAATAGTTTATTTTGCGGAGGTGAAGTTTGCAATTTGAGAACTCGAACTTAAGAGTATGTCGAGTCTTATATATAGAGAATGGTATGTTTGCCAATTGGAGTTATAAGAGTCCAAGAAACGAATCGAATACGCTCGGGTCTGTAACAAGAGGGGCAAGAAGAGATCCTATTTGCTTTCAAAAGTCAGTTCTGGGTTTTTGTCCACGTATCCGGGTTCTAGTACTCGCGTGACTACTCCAAGTTGAGTATGCCGGCTTGTACTGATCCCAGTAAGATCCCGTTGTACGAGTAGTATCATTGGTAGGGACCAACTCACTTTTGAAGTACGCGCAATGCGGAATAGAGAGAACAGCCGTCTCTAGAGGTACCATCTCCTCTTTATGGCCTCCTATTCCCTTGCAGGTCGACTTTCCCCATAAATTTTCTGTCTGCTCACATGAACATCGTGAGGTCTGGATCAGCGGTTCGGGTTACCCTCTAGGGATATCCCGCCAGGCACCGCATACCAGAAGGGGCGTTCTCTGTCGTCCGTATCGTCCGAATGAGCTCCCTGACCGCCACAGAACATTCGTGGAAGACGTGATGCATTGTACTTCATGAACCCGCCTATTACCCGTCTCAGAGCTGCAGGACCTCGGAAGTTAGGTACTTAAGTAGTACATAAGTCTGCTGGATTGAGTAGGTTTGCCGGCAGTCCGGTGCACCTACCACCTCTTACTTGTTCTACTGGGGTTGCAGTAACTACTTACTCCGTATAGTTGCCTATAAAGCAATTGTCAAGTTTAGAGCCATTCTATCTGTCTGCTCTTACTGTTCAATAGAACAATATGTACTTAAGTACATATTGCACTGGGCTTCAAGGTACATATTCAACAGCGGATGCCAATGCCAGAATCGATGCAATTGCCACCTAAGACTGGGATACCGCAATTCCAAGTGGGGGCAGGTATCATGAGACCTGAAAAAAAAGAAGAAAAAAAAGCAAAGAAACAAGGATTTACGGAGTACAGGGTTCGATATTCCGGGATCGACTGTCAGATCCAGGGGTGTGGGGGGAGGATAGCTTTTAGGGACTTTGTTAGTGGCCGAGGTCATTTGTGTCTGTATCACATCGTGGTCAATTGACCTGCACTATGTACTTGGGACACGTACTACAAATCTGCAAATATGCAGTACCAGGCTAGTCTAAAGTTGTGAATGGTTCCTGTCCAATTGATGTTCCAATTCTTATCCAGTCGTCTACAATGCACTACCCCTCGTGTACGAGTACACGTACGTAGAATGTGGCAAGTTTCTAAAGTTCTAGTTATTATTTGATCTCTACTACGAGTAGTACTTCGACTACTTAAGTACTCGTACACTACTCGTACTACTCGTACTCTTAGTAGAGGTCTTACTCTGGACAAAATCAAAAACACGGGACATTCTGTTGATAGACCGGACTAGATCTCAGCCAGCGGAGTAATCTAGTTGAACCCAAATAAGTAATAACACGCACTCAAATGTGCTCCGCGCTTAACTTTAGAACTTCATGCCACGTAACTGTACTGATTATCATCGGTACGCTCAATGTAATCTTTCTCAATCAACCTAAAAATATCAGTTAGCCAAGCTTCAATCCCAAAAACAACCAAATACATACTTCTCAATGTTGGTCTTAATATCCGCGGGCTGCAGAGCACCCAGTCGTTTAGTAGCGGTGATCACCTCCGAGACAAGCCCAGGGTGATTAATGACCTTGCGGCTCTTCATGATACGCACGATGGCGGCCTGGGTCTCGAAATGCCGATCGGCTGCAATGCGCTCGTGCGTGGTCTTGGTCTCCTCTTTTGTTTCCTTCAGTTGGATCTGGTTGATCTTGATCCGCTTTTGCTTATCGGTGAATTTGGCATTGTACTTGAAGGTGTCGGTTTTGTTCACCTCCTTGCCCTTGGGAGTCTTGATGAGGATTCGGTACTTGGCGCACGCCAGAGATTGGAGGGTTCGCACTAAGTCAGGATCCGCTGTCATTTGGGGTTAGTTTCTTGGATCTGATTTTTCGTTCGGCGTTCAGATAGATCACTTACATAGCCCGGTCGCTGTTTTAATTTCCGTGTATGTGAGACTCTCACCTTCAGCGACATCGTTGAAGAGGAGGAGCACAATTGCCTGGAATGAACTGACTACCAGGTTCTTTCTGTCGGCGTCGAAGTTGGCATTCAGCTGGCAATGATCTAATTGATGCTTCCAGGCTAGAGCGCGGCCTTTGTGCTTGGTTTGATAGAATGTTTCGAATCGCTGAACAGCACGTGCAATATTCGATGGAATATGCACGGGAGTGTCCGGGTATGTTGGCCATGCGGCGGCTGACAGCACAGTGGCGTCGAATTCGAAAGAGTGTCTCTTCGACATTTCTGATGGCGAGTTCTTGAAGGCTGTCATTTCTTCGGCGGCGGTGTCAATGTCATTGAACATCGACTCGAGGTTGTGAGTGAAGTTCGATCCGCATTCTGACCAAAATCGTTAGTTATACCATTCGGCAGCAGAATAATTGAGTACGACAAACCATTCTTCAAACGAGCCAGCATGCTCTTCTCCGCATCACTACTTGCACTTCGCTTCATCAGGAGGCGGCGGGCAAGGTCATTCTTGTAGAATGCTTCAAAGACCGTCTTGCCATGCACAAATCGGAAGAGATCGAGCACTTGATCTAGCTGTCGGTCTAGCTCTGCATCGTCGGAGATGAGACTTGTTTCCTCGGGCTTGCGACCAGGAGGCAGCTTGTAACCACCCTTTAGGAGTCGATCGACGTATTTGGCAATCATTTCACCAGACTTGGGATTGTCGGTGCCGCCCGTGGACTCCATCTTCTTTCCACGGTTCATGAATGCACCAAAGGCTTCGCGGAGAGTGATTCTGAGCCCTTCATTGGAGTCAAAGGAATCAACTACGATGCTATCCACTTTTTGCTTGAATTGAAGCAGATAGACAACCATGTCAGTTTCCTTCTCTTGATCAAACACAATACCTTCGCCCTCCTCAATGATGTAACTTTGGAATGCAGACTTCAAGTCCAGGGCAAGATCCCGCCGGCTCAGTAGACTGTAGAGCTGCTTCAATGCACTCTTATTGTCTGCCCGTAATAACTCAAGCACATCATTCTGGTTGGTCAGGAGATCGATTTGCTGGGTTATCAGAGTCTCATCAAGAAGCTCGGAAAGCTTCATCTTCGTGCTCCTGTTGAAGGCAAACAATCCGCACCGCTCAACCTCACGCTCAATCAAGCGGTGGGCGTTTTGGACGTACGATTGCAGAGATCCAGATGATTGCTGTAGGGTCCAAGCCGCGGTAAACTTCTGAGACTCGGTCAAGAACAGGGGCTCGAAATCGCTGTTGTAGACATCCAGATTGTGGAAGAGATCCATGGCCTCCCTAAGCAGAGTTGAGTTGGACGCTGCATTGGTATCGCCCTGTCGATCAGCATCAATCAGGTCATAAGCGCCCTTCAGGATCTTCGGCTTCAAATTGACATCAGCGAAGATGTATTCCCGGAATTGCTTTAGTCCCAGATCGCGGATCCCAGGGTGTTCCTTGGAGTGCAGAAGGAATGACTGGTCGAGGTAGTAGAAGATCCATCGAACGGTAATCTAGAGTTTCAAATGGTCAGCAGTGGGCATTTGAGATAAGTTATTCCGGCAACGTACCAGTTTGGAGTGCCATGAGGACCATGTCTCAACTACAGATCGTAATGTATCGACATCAGTGCTGCCCTTGGACCTGGTGACCAGGTTCTTCCGCATTTTCCCATCCACAAACTCTTTGCACCGATCCCGCAGCTTGTTCGCCAACTGTGCTGCCCGATCCTGTCGACAAACATTCTCTCCGCCTTTATATAGTTCCTCAAGCGAACTCTCAGGCTGCCTGCCATCAAAGATAGCCGCCAAAGCCGCATCAAACTGTGACCAGACCTTATCGAAATATGATTCCTGATCCAGCCGGGGTCCAGCACGAAGATTCTTAACAACAAGCTTCCTTGCACCAGTGTATGGAGTAAAGTTGTTTTGACCGGCGTTTGCATTCACTGGTTTGATGGAGCCAGCTGAGCCAACACCCCGACCAACAGGACCATTCCTGCCGGAAATCGGATACATCTTATGCGGGAGCGTTGGGGAAGGCAAATGCGGAGATGAAGATAAGCGGGATCGTTTGTGAGACTGGGGCTCGGGAGTGTATCGTTCGGAGAGAAGCTCGGCGACGGTCTGGCGCGGTTGCGATGGCTCCCCTTGATCAGGAAGCTTTCTCTTTCCGATCGATTGGCGCTTACCGCTCTTTTCGGTGTCGCCTCTCGAATTCTGCTGCATCTACCCGGTTCAACCCAGCAGGGATGGAATTAGTAGATGGATGAACTGGACATGACAAAAGTGTGTTGAGGGGAATTGACGTTGGGTCTTCGCTCCGCACGGCGATAAGATACGGAGGTAGACGTCAGCGCCTGAGAGATCAGGAGCCGAATATTATATACTTGGGCTTTTACTACTTAAGTATTATTTTGCTATGTTGAAGTTTTAGGGTTTTGTTGCTCTGGATTTGACAGAGATTATTGTCTAGCACACTGCTTCAAGCACACTGCTTAAGAGTGTGTCTATTGATTTACACAGTGTACAAGAAAGTTATCTTGAAAAATTATCAATTCACAGTGCGCAATGCATCGCTGGTAAATAAACATGTCAATATCTTTGTCCACAAGGAGTGTTCTGTTTTTGTCATCTGGAGGTATGTGAGTGCAATGAAAGAGAGAAAAAAAAAAAACATAAACAGGGCATAAACTCGTCAAAAACATCAAAAAGACCTTTCAGTCAACCCGGGGAGGACTCCTCGACTTCTTGCCCATTGGACTGGCACTAGTTCTAAAACTCCAAAGTCAGTATTTGATCTTGTTGGAGAACAGTCTCAGCACAATAACATACGATCGTCGGCGTTCGCCTTCTTTCCTAAACCCTTCAATGATCTTGGCCATCTCTTTGCGTGAACCATGGGCATCGACTTTCCTCCCACCGAGACTCATGCTGACTTTCTCATGTGCGCTGGCCATCAGTAGCCGCTTCATGAGAAGGTGTCGCATGTTCATGCATACGAAGACACCACAGTCACTGCCTCCATCTTGCTGGGGGGAGTCGTTCAAATGCATGAACCTGATCGGCATGTTTAGGAGATACCCGAATTTACGGGTAACCACATCAGCTTCCCAGACATTTCCTTGGTATAGAGAATCATAGTGGAAGGCAATGCGATCGACAACAGAGATAAGCAGGAGGGACCAATGGGTGCCACCCTCTGCTTGGCTGACATTGCGGCAATCGTTGATAGGCAGGAAGACATGTGTGGCTCGGGAGAAGTCTGGTAGTGCTTCGCGGAGAGTGCGTGGGTCGGGTGTTTGAAGGATCATGAAGGACATGCTAGGGCGGAGGAGGATGATATTGGAGGACTTGTATCGGGTGAGGAACTCGTGTTCAAGGTATCTAGAGCAAGAAGTCGGGAATCAGTGCCATGTTCGGTGCTGCACATTGAGGGACTTACTCCTCCCAGAATGAGATGATCTATGACATATTAGCTCGTGGCCCAGCAAGGGGGAAATGGTTCTCGTATCAAACCCACATTGTCTGTGAGCCAGTCGTTCTTGAGGGTTTGCATGTCCTCTCTCGTCACTACGAGAATGTCAGTGAACTGTTGCCTCGGTCAGGTTTCGTGGGGCTCTCATACACCGTACGTCATAGTCTGTGAACACACAAAGACTGCCTGTAAGTATGCTCTGTGTATGAACAACCAGGCTCATATTCCGGACACTCACAGCTCAAGAAAGCATCATCTGGGTTAAGCTGTGCCAGTTAGCAATTGTGTTTCGTGCCTCGACGTCGCGCACTCACCTTATCGCCAAACCGCCCGCGGACCTTGCGCAACATGCTGGAAAAAAAAAGGTTCTGTGGTAGGAGGTACTATGAGAAAAGAGCGCGACCGAATCGCAAGAAACACAGATGCGACGAAGATATGTACGAGTACCGAGCCACAGAAGAGAACGCGCAACCCTTGCCGAATCCTATCCAAGCCAAGGCAAACTAGGCTCCACAGATAGCGGTGCGGAAAGTGTAGATCTCGCAGCAGAAGTTTCACCGAGCCACACGTTCAAAATGGCTCGTGGCGGATTTATATGCAGTGGCAAGACGATCAAAATGCACTATTCCGACCAGACTCGTGCGCCGGGTTCAAGCGACGGCTTTCTGCGTTGGCAGAGTGGAAGTGGGACCGGTCGAGACCTCGGGATGAGGCGGCGCTTCGGAGGATGAGGCCGTCAGCCCTATAGGTGGCGGATATGGGAGACTCGGTTTCTAGGGCTGGTCTCAATGATGCATTTGTATGGCTATGTAACAAGGGAGATCACGATGATCACCCGTCTGTGCCTCGGTCTTGGAGATACAACCAACGCGGAACAAACAGGACAAATGCCAACAGGGTCACATGATACTTATACAACAACTTCTTAGGCTAAAGTGACGAACAATGTCACCCATTTTAGATCAAAGTGTGAAGAAAGTTGAGTAATATTCAGAGGAATTGGGTATCTAAACGTACGTCCCATCAGCACCCACAGCCCAGGACAGGACGACAGAAACTGAGAGATGTAAAAGGGAAAAAAAAAAGGAAAAACCAGAAACTAGCTATGAGAACCAATTAGGAAAACAGCGAGCAAGCAAAAGACAAGTAAAAAGAATCAGAAACTTCGAAACCAGTCTCTCTTGCAGTCTTGTTTTGCATCGGGTATTGTGGCAAATAACGAAAATTCGAAAAAAACATATGAAGACATGATCAAGAAGAGACGAGCGATATCAGAAGTGTGAAACACAGTATTGTAGCTGAAGAGTCGGTGATCTTTCTTTTTTATCGTATCATTCGAGCAACCAAAAAAAAAACGTAGCTCCAGAATATGAAATCATAAAATCGTGAATTAGCGGATATGGGCAAAATGCTTGTTCCAAATCCAGCCGACTGTACCAGTCGCATCATCCTGGTTTCGGGCGAGCCATAGCTCGCCCTTTTCACCAACAATGTCAAAGATATCCCCAGAGGCATAGGTCAAGTAAGGATATCCGCCCTCGGTGCGGGCGTCAATATCAAAATCGTAAAGACTGGCGGCGCAGAAGAGCGCAGCAGGCCCAGTGGGGCGAGGGCGGTCCGGCACAGCCTCAGGAGTACTGTCGGACATTGGCATAGCAGACGAGAAGAAACCCGAGTATCGATCGGTCGGGGATGCAGGCTGACTGTTGTGAGTTGAGTTAATGACATCCGCAAGGAACGGGGTGTCTAGGCTCAGTCGTGGAAGACTGGGGAATGGTTCCATGGTGGTGCTGTTGCGTCCCGAGTTGGGAGTGCTGACTACCTGCTGGAGCAATTGATTTGGGGTATCAGAGACCACTCGGCTGGAGAGGGTGGAATCAGCGCGGTAGCGGCTGCTCCGGCCGGAATGGGTTTCCATCTGGGGTGACTGGAACGATTGGCTTCCGATGCTGAAGTCACGAGACGCATTTGGAGAGTCGTCATTCATGGACCCGGGTCGAGTTCTCCCGCTGTTGACAGTGGAAGGACGACGGGGAGACTGGACGTGGGACCCGGTGGGTGACAGAGGAAGCAGATTGAGGGAGTGGCTGAGCATTGATCCGTTGCAGGAGCTCAGCTCTTGCATGCGTGCCTCCATCAAATGGTGGTCGCTGTTAAAGTCGTTGACGAGTCTTTGTAGATCACCAGGGAAATCAACATGGGTTCCAATCTTTTGCTGTAGGACACTGAACCACACTGTTTGGGTCTTGACAAAGTTTTTCAGACATGCTGATACCAGTTTGGCAGTCAGCGCATAGAGCTTGGGAAGCTCGTCTTTCAGAGTCTCGTTGAGGGCCAGGAACTGCTCCCCCTGTTCAGTAGTCTTCTTGTCAGGCTTGTCGCCACGATCCTTGATAGCCTTGTAGCGGGCGTATTCTGGGAGACGCTTGTCACGCTTGCGCATGACTCGCTGGGGGGCATTGTAGAGCCCAAGAACTTCAACCATCGGGGTGATGACTGTCTTGCGAACAATGTCGAGCTGCGGTGTATGTTAGTATCAAGTTTGAAGTAAAAGGCATTGATAAGTTGGAACGTACATGTTCTGGTAGTTCAGTTGTAACAACGTCTTGAACAGTCATCTTGAAACGATGCCACTTGGTCTCCAACTCTGGATAGGGAGACGGAGACATCCCTGTCATATCTCCCATTGCATCGGTGTATTCACTGAACTGGGTGACCCATATCTGGACATCGGAGGAGTAGCTCTCAACATCACGCATGACCACCTGCAACTGGAAGTAGCCATCTCCAAGCTTCTGAGCTAGCATATCATATGTTTTGTCCTCGAACAAATCCGAGAGACCAACTTGCTGCCTGAACTTCTCAGTGCGGCGACCAAATGCTTTGGACAGGCCGGCACGAACATCGGACTGGTTCCGTTTGCGACTTACAGCTTGACCAACAAGATCTGCACGCTTCTTCGACTCATTGATGCGATGAGAAACGTTGGTGACTTCTTCCAAAGCATTGGCAATCGCCACTCGATCTGGGTGATCGTTCGGCGTGGACTCCAAAAGGTCTTGCAGAAGCAAGGGATATTTCAGGATACGCTGTACAGGTTTGACAAGAAGGGAATCCAAGTCCCAGGCTGTTGTGAGATCAGAAGCGTAGTTGCGGCACTCACCCAACCAAATGCCCACATTTGGGAGACGCTGCAAAGCCTGAAGCTTCTTGTTGGCGGCGTCATGGTTCTTAAGATAGTCCGTGTATACCTTCTCCATTTGCTGCAAGTATCGAACAAAGACATGACCAATCCTGGTAGATCGATCCTTCTCAAGATCCGACAATCCTGCATACTCAGCCAGCTGGTCATCAACAGGAGGTTCGCTCTGAGGAGGTCTGTTCTCAGCGTTGCGTTGGCTGGTCCACCGCTGAGCTTTGGGGATGATATAGATACTTCGGGCCGCCTTTTTGAGGTCGTGGAGGAAATGATCAGAAAAGTCCGCGACTTGCTCGGAGTTGCCAAAGAGGATCTTGATATCGTCGACATCCAACACATCAGAGGATGTTTCCTTGTAAATATCCTCGATGACCATCATGTCATGACCAAAAGTGTGCTCGGTATCGACAAGCTCTTTAATGATATGCTGCCTCTTCTTCAAACGGCGTTGCTCAGGGGAAGGTGACTTCCTAGACTCAAGCCGAGCTGCTTGCTCCATGGAGGGAGCAAGCGAGGTAGAAGAAGAGTCAGGTGCTGCCGGAGACTCATTGGTCAAGATGCGTCGGAATGAGGAATCCTCACTGCTGTCCGGGCTATGACCTGTAGCCCTGGGCGCACCGGATCCAACCTGTGCTGGTGGATGGCTTGAAGCTCCAATTTTAGAAGAACCATCTTGGGAGAGGCCCGATGACGGCGGGATTGCCAGGGGATAAAGTCCCTGGCCACGGCCTGGTTCATGGTCCACAGATACGCCAAGACCGTTACTCTCGCCGACATCTTGCGCGGGAGGTATCACACGAGGCGTGAGCACTTCCTCACCAAAATTGCTATCGGCATCTGTGGCAGTATTCGCTGCCCCATCCCCAGCTCGTACCTGCATCCAGTCCATAATGGAAGGCGAGGCGTGCTCCCAGTCATCACGTCCAACCAAGCTGGCCGTATTGGAGAGTTTAGCCGATATTTGATAATCTTCAAATGCTGGAACAACAACCGGATCGTCTGTGAGACTATTGCTGTGTTCATCTTCACGTGCATTCGCGGGGTGAGACTGAGGCTCAGATGAGGATTGACCGGCTGAGCCAAAACTATAGCTTCGGCCTCGCGTGAGCTCCTCAAGATAGAGCTGAGTGACACGCTTGGAGTCCCATCCCCCCATCCTAGCGAGATTAGGCGGTGTATAGAACATGCTTCCCCGATTTCCGGCTTGCCGAAGGGTGTTGGGCCCGATCACACCATGATCTTGCAGAGGTTGTGATTCATCATAATCCGCTATAGAAGCCGGCCTCGTTGAAACGGCCGAACAAGTCTCAGTCGGTGGCTCTGTACCACGTCTTGAGAGACTGAGATCATCGTCACTCTCATCGCAATGCTCGTCGCAGGTGGAGTTCTGATTTTGTACCGAAGACCACGACCCGCCACCCCATCGATTATGAGACTGATGATCGACTGTAGGGGGTTGCATGGGCGGTCGTTGTGCTTGATGTGTGTTCCCACTACTTGAGGAATCGTAGAGGGCTGTACCACCAAGCATGATTTGAATCGACTCTTGGTCGGTCTCGGAAACACTACAGTCTTGCTCATCGCAAGAATCATCACTGGGACTGGACTCGCGTATATTCATAATCTGATTTAACAGAGTCCGATGAGAGATGCTGGGATTCCGTTGCAGCAGTCCGGACTGCGGCTCCGGATCGAAAGTTGTAACATGAGTCTCATCGGAATTCGCCGAGACAGCTGAGTTTGGTGCGTCGGTGTTTGGTGCATCCGTGTAGACAGGCTGATCTTCGCCTGCGTTTGTGGCGGTCACTTCCCCAGGGACTCCCCCAGGGAGACCGAGGGTCGGTGAGTCCATTGTAGTATGCGGCGCGGCCGTATCTGAAGTCGACAGAGACGTGTTGAGATGCAATCTGGGAACGACATGAGCTCCATTGATTGTCTGGTCGATTCCACCGAGCGACTCTGAGACCATAGTACTCATCTCGCCAGATTGTTGGGTGTTGGTGAGAGTCGGCGAAGGCGCGGTTGGGGAATCATTTGCGGGTTCAGCAGGATCCTCGTGTGATTTCTCACTGCGTGTTACAGGAGGACGTCGGATTTCCGTAGCAGGTGGCTTCTCTCTCTGCTCATGTTTGTTTCTATTGATGGCTTGTTGAATGTGTTGGCGCCGAGCTTCGAAATTAACATTGCTCAATCCTGGCAATTTGCGCGGTTGCGTACGGGATGACCGCGGGTTGCTGTCGGCGTGTTTCTGTAATGATGAGACCCTGTCCTCGATTTTGGAGCGTGGGGAGTCAGAAGCACCATGTGAAACAGGTTGTCGGGGTCGAGAGCTGCGCAGAGGAGGGGACTTCTTGGGCGGCGGCGCCGCAATGTAGGCCTGGAGCCGTCGACTTGATTCGGATAATTGATTACGGGTTTGGGCCGCCGTTAATTCCCGGCGGACACGCGATGTGGGCGCAAACAAGGCGGGATCATCTTGGGGCATGCGGGGAGGGCTGTATTTGGGTGACGCAATAGGAAGACGGCTGCTGCCCTTGGGCGGCGATGTAATGGCAGCAGACCGGCTGCAGAAAGTCGGATTGGAGGTTGGTGATAGGGTTTCGGGGCCGGAAGCAGTAGCAAGACGGTGCGAGGAGACAGGAATGCGGGATCTGGAACTGGGACTATCCGGGGGCGACTCATGGTCGGTCTTGGCCCGCAGCAAGGGGGCTCGTACTGCCATTTCGGAAGTCCAAGGCTCTGCAAGGGACCCCGAAGGGTTGTCCAAATCACTCTGAATTCTGCGATGTTGACCGTTGGTGATCCCCGCGTTGACGGCTTCGAGGGAAGCTGTTTGGCCTAGATACCATGCAGTGGGTGTGAGTGGTGTTTTTGCAGCAAACTGATCGTGTTGATCTAGGAAGGCTGGGTTCGGGCTTGGAATACTTCCGTCCGACCCGCGACGCTGCAAACGCGTGATAGGTGTGTTGTTGACCTGCGTGTTGATTGCCAACAATTCACCAAACAATGGCCGACGGGAATGGGACTCCGAGAATCGCTGCAACAGCGGTGGTGGAATGGCCCCGTTTGGATTTCCCGGTGGATGAAATCGACCGGTCTCCGGGGAAGACGGGGTGGAATCAGCGGGCGCCCGAGGATGACTGGTGATTGATCCTGGCAGAGAATCGCGGTACTGGCGACGAGGTGGGAAGGTCCGATTGCGCTCTCCATCGGCGCTCCCAGACGGACTGACGGTTCTGGATGTGGCACGCGACGAGACGGAGGGCAAGGGCAGGACTTGGTCGGGGGCGCTGTTGAATCGATTGACGAGATCTTTGAAGGAGGTCTGTCGTGCTCTTGCGCCCGACGGGGGGTGGATGGTGGAGGGAGCTAACGCTGGGGAGTCGGAGGTGGAGCGATATGGTTGGCGTCTGGTGCGCGATGACTCCAACATGTTTGCTGGCATGGGTGATACTTTCTCACCCCCAGCAGAACGACCGGCCACCGCCATATCCGGCATTACATTGTTGATTCCTTCTCTTACATTGGAGGGCGACAGGGCCCCACGGCGATAATAATCGGCAGGATCGGGAGAGTCCCGGCCGTGATGATCTTCCAATTGATCGTCCGAGGAGCGGTGATTGGAGGTGGAGTGATTATGGGGACGCAGTAGGGCGGACGGTAAAGGGGAATACGTGGTCGACGAGTGTGCCTGAGGGACAGGAGCGGACGGATCTAAGGTGTCATGGAGGGAGCTAAATGACGCGGAGGATTGTCGCCCAAACGGAGGTTCCTGGTAGACACCAAAACCCTGTTCGTCACCGCCAGACATGGTGCATGGCTTTTCCAGTCGACGTGGACTGGCCGTGGGCCTCTCGGTTCTGGGCGGGTTACGGTGCGTTGTTCCGGGATGTTCGCCCAACGGATGTCACAGAGGAGTCGACTTTTTTTTTTCAGGCTACAAAGCAATGGTCTCGGGTGGCGTACACCCATTCCACATTCATATTTGAGACACTGGAGAGTATTTCGAATCGAAGCTTCGGACCGGGAAAATCGGAGCAGAGAAGAAGGGATCTGCCCAGGCGAATGAGAGTGCGGCGGTTAGCGTTGGAGGTGTGAGGGGGGGACTGGGCCGAATTGTTAGCCAGATACAGGGTACTTTGTACTCTGTACTGGTACTCTGTACTTTGTACTTTGTACAGAGTTTTCTGAGGAAATCTGGGATGATCGAGGACAAAGAGAAGACATGAAATAGATCCCAGTGGATTTCCCTCTTTGTTAGGCCCACCGGGTATTTCGCTATATTTCGCTACGGGGTACATGTTACACGTCTGGGAAATTTGGGACTTTTGCGATGTTACTGGTATATTTGGTGTTTGGTCTATCATATCTATTTCTATACATATACATATTCTATTCTGTTCTATTTTCTATACTTAATACCTATAGATGTATCTATATATTCCATATATAATATACTAACACTTGAATCCTTCTACATAACTAAGTCACTGATCACAGGAACCGGGTCTAGACCGCCCTGTTCCATGGGTGGCGTTTAATTGGTTTGGTGCCTGAGCCCTAAATGTTATTAGCTGCGATACTCGTATACCAGTATCATAGTCCTCTGTCTACCTACAGGTATTTTGAATAGTATCGACAAAGTACAGAATACAGAGTAATACTGCCCTGGATAACTCATTATTGGGAGAAGCACTACTTTGTCGAGTGATGTTCTAACCTGCCGAGCCTTGACGCGTCGCGTCTATTCTCCATAAACAGAGCAAAATATCAGTAATCCAGACACAAAACCTGGGAAACCGGATTTGCCCTGCAAAATGGGAAAGAAGCGCAAGCGACCCGGAAAGGACCGTGGTCCCTCCTCGTCTCACCTCGGTATCACCACTGGTACCCGCCGTTTCAGAATCTCAGCCCCAAATTCCAGAGAGATCAGCCATCCGGTGATTTCCCTGTACTACCAGAACGTATTATCGCTCCGGGACTACCTACTTCAGCAACTTCCTCCAACATCCAAGTCGCGTCGGCGTCGCATCCGGACACTAGCTTCGCGACCCGACGATTCCCAGGCATTGGCCCAGCTCCTCGACTCCACTCTAGTCGGCGTGCTGAAGGACGCCTCGCCGGTCGTCAACTCCGAACGCCAAAAAGAATATTCCTCCTTTAATGAGTCGCAATCGCGCTCGCTCCTGGCGAGCACCGATACGGGGCCAACCTGCGCGCAGTCGGAGGTAAGTGGCCTGGTGGGGACGCGATGGATGGTGCTGACACTCGGCCCCAGGTGGTTGATTTCGTGATCTGGAAACTGTTCAATCAGAAGGGCTGGGGGAAACCTCAGCATTTGCTGGCCCTTGGCTTCCAGCGTCCGTCGAACAGAGAAGATGGCCAACAGACGGACATCCCCGGCGTCGTGTGCCGGTTCCCCAATCACAACGTCGCAACCCTCAGAAAAAGCCCATGGGCAGACGTCTTGGGTTTGCTCGGCAACAGTGGGGAGGACATCATGATGCATCTGCTCTTCGATTGTGGCGTGTTTGCCGCTATAAACGCACCACGGGGAGTCTACTATCAGCTGAGTGGTATGGTCTAGTCGAGATGGAAACAATGTCTCAAGCATGCTGATTTGTCGGTTAGGCCTGCCAATGTCGGAGCTCGAGGTTCTCAATGCTGCGCCGTCAAAGCCCAAGGAACTGGACGCACAGAACATGACCAGCAATACCGGAAATCAAAAACAGACAGAACCTCCAGCTAGGCCCGTCAACCCGCACGGTCCAAACAACATTGTATTTCTCCGTCGGCGCATCCTCTATGCGCGGGTTGAGTCTGGAAGAGGAACACCCTGTGGGCTGGGAAAGACACGTATGTACGCCGTTTGAATGCTGTTTAAACTCTGAGCTAATTCGATGCAGACGTACTCAACCGCTTTCCGACGCTTGACTCACCGGAGCAAACAGTCCACGTGATGAAGTACATGTTCCCTCGCCAATTCGGGTTACAAAGCGTGTTTACGCCGGGACCCGATGGAGCCAAGAGCAACATCCAGTTCAAATGTGGTACATTCCGCGAGAAGGAAATATCCCAGCTCGACTATGAACGACAACTCCGACGGCCCCAGCGCGAGAATGAATGCGATGCAGATGGTGGCGTAGCAAGTCTCAAAGTCCCCAAGAGACTTCGCGGCGTCGTCAAGATCATCCGGAAGTTACGGAATCGTCATGCACAGTGCTCCTATAGCGAGTTGCTGCGCTATTATTGTCCGACTGAAGTGAGACATTTTGTTCGTGTTTTTATGTTTGTCGCTGACCTTTTGCAGCAAACCGGACCGAGCAGACTTGGCGCATTTGCTTCAACGCCCCCAAAAAGCCAGCCTATCTCATCTCTCGGGTCAAATTTAGTAACACAGGTGCCGAAGCCCAGTGATGGCTCTGCGCAGGTCAGACCTGCGACATTGGAGCCGCAGCAGGCCGCAAGTGCATCTGACGGAGCTGGGCAATCGAGTCGAAACATCAAAATCGGGTTGACTGATTATGCGACACCACCGTCCTCTGTTTCGGCGTTCTGCCGAGCTGTTTTGCAAAAATTGATTCCTCGACAGCTTTTGGGTGATGGGCCAGAGGGCATTTCGAACTATAAACACATTCTACGACACGTCGATCGGTTCATTAAAATGCGCCGATTCGAGACGTTAAGTCTGCACGAGGCTTGCAAAGGTATCAAGGTTCGTTTGTTGATCTGATCATCTGAGACATATCCGTACTGATCGACACGCTAGATTACCGGCATTGGTTGGCTGGAGCCACCCCAGGTCCAGACTTCACGATCTGAGACAAGATCGAAGATCGCTCTGTCTGACTTGCGAAAACGCACCGAGGTGCTTCACGAGTTCATCTTTTGGATTTTCGAATCCATTCTCACCCCCCTGATTCGCTCCAACTTTTATGTTACCGAGTCTCAGACACACCGAAATCGACTCTTCTACTTTCGGCACGATGTGTGGAAACAGCTAATTGAGCAGCCGTTTGGTGAATTGAAGGCTGCTATGTTTGAGGAGCTCGAGCCAGAGCAGGCCAAACGGGTATTGGCACGACAGTCTCTAGGATACGGTGCCCTCCGTTTGCTTCCCAAGTCCACCGGCATCCGGCCCATCTTAAACCTTCGCAAACGAGCTCTGAAAGAATCGGGATACGCCAAAGGACGCAAGTACCTTGGCCAGAGCATCAACTCGAGTATCACGCCTATCTACAACCTGTTGAATTACGAACGCCAGCATGATCCTGCCAAATTGGGCTCGACGTTGATGTCTGTTGGAGAAATACACTACCGATTGAAGGCATTCAAAGAACAATTGTCCATCCAGTCATCGTCTCTCCCTCGGACATCCAAGCTCCCACCTTTGTATTTCGTCAAGCTCGACATCCAGGCTTGTTTCGATACTATTCCCCAGAAGAAATTGCTGAATCTGATCTCAGATTTGGTCTCCAAGCAGAATTACCGTTTGTCCAAGCATGTGGAATTCCAGCCACCAATTTCCAGAATGCAGAATGCAAAGCCAATACGCAAGTTCTTGACCCGCGCTGCGCCTACTGAGAACCCACAAGATCTGCCGGACTTCATTAACAGCGGGCCTTCTCGACGAAAGGCCAATGCTGTGTTCGTGGACTCTCATGGGCAGAAAGACGCAGACGTCGAGGGTCTGCTGGATCTTCTCCACGAGCACGTCCGCAGTAATCTAGTACAGATGGGCAAGAAATTCTTCCGCCAACGCAATGGCATCCCCCAAGGATCCGTGTTATCTAGCCTACTCTGTAATTTCTTCTACGCCGAGCTAGAGCGAAAAGAATTGAGATTCATCGACCCCAAAGACTCTCTTCTTCTCCGACTTGTGGATGACTTCTTGCTCATCACACCCAAAGCAGATGTGGCAATGCAGTTCGTGGAGATCATGATCCGCGGCCAACCTGAATACGGCGTCCGAGTCAACCCAGCCAAAAGCATGTCCAACTTCAGCGCAGCAGTCGACGGCATCTTCCTCCCCCGACTCGAAGGCAGCCCTCTATTCCCCTACTGCGGCACCCTCATTTCATCCCACACTCTCGAAATCCACCGTGACCAGGACCGGCTGCTTGAAAGCGGCCAATCAGCTGCGGCATCCCTTTCTGACACCCTCACGGTCGAGGCCACCCGCCTCCCCGGCCGCGCCTTAACCCGTAAAGTCCTCGCGGCCTTCCGCCTGCAGCTACATTCCATGTACCTCGACGACAGCCACAACTCCCGCGCCGTCGTGCTGGGGAATCTCTATTCCAGCTTCATGACTGCCGCAATGAAGATGTACCGGTATATGAAATCACTACGGGGCCGTGCGCACCCCAGTCTCGCGATCATCACGCAGACCATCCGTGAATTGATCCAGCTGGCAGCCGGTTCCATCCAAGGGCGACGGGTCGATAAGGAAAATTCCTTCCTATGCTCTGTGCAGCCATCCCAATTGAAGTTTTTGGCTGCTGCGGCGTTCCGGTTTGTCTTGAAGCGGAAGCAAACGAGGTATGTGGCCGTTCTGCGTTGGCTGGACTCACTGGCTCGAGAGGCCCGACCCACTTCAGATTCCGCAGCGCTGAAGATGACGCATGTGGTGAAGAAGGGCAATGCTATTTTTGAGCAATGGCGGTTTTGACCTTGATTTTGATGCGAAGGGGTTCATGTATTGTAGATTATCAAGATCTTGGAGTGTGAATGCCCAGCGATGCCAAATGTTGATTGCCGATGCCAAGTTGTGCCTAATTTCCTTAGATGGTTCCATTGTCCAATGAAATCGTCTCTAGACATCTTTCTCCCGTTTTAATGGAGACCCATCTGAGGGGGGAACGAGGTGCTCTGAGCTTTCACGCTTTTCAAGGTTGAGAGTGTGGAGTGTCAAATGTGTCTGTGTTCAGAGGGGAAGGCTGTGTAGGCTCATCCCTTCCAAGATCGGGGCCTTCGATGGGATACTTGGAAGGTACCTGTCCGTTGGCCTATTAAGTACTAGCGGCACGAGGTATCCCCGAGGTACCCCCCTGTTCTCGGCCAGACCGAGTGCGGCACTGGCCTGAGGCTCCGCTTGCATCACGGTTTCTTCGTTTCTTCGTCTTCTCTTCTTCTCCTTCATTTCTGGAATCTTGGGATTCTGGCGTCCTTCCTTTGTTTGCTGTTTGACATTCGTTTCTTCTTCTTTTTGGCTAATATCCCGCCCTCTCCTGAACTCTTTAATCGACTACACCTGATCTGGATTTAATCAACCTACGGCCGAGCCTGCAATTTGATTCTGAAACTTTCATATTGCTTGCTTCTTCTTTTCTATTCCTTTCTCTCTTTGTTAATTTTTTTTTTTTACGAAGTGTTGGTTGTGTTCTCTGACGGGTCCTCACGTCCAATCTCGACCCCCTTCCGGCCATCCCGTCCCTCCCACTTGGTGTGTGTTTTTTTTATCATCGAAATTTGCGGGGGAAATCAAAACAATCGGAACAAGTGCATGATACCATGACCGCCGTGGGCCCGACACCCAATTCTCCCCCCGAGCTCTCCGGGTCGAAATCCTCGAAATCCTCCTCCTTTCATTCCTCCCAGCTGGACGGCCCAGACAGTGCTTTCACGGACATTTCGAACTTCGAAGAGATTGGCCTGGAAGATGATGCGGACCTGTCCTACATGGAGTCCGCCGGCTCGTATGGTCGCGCGGGGGTAATGGCTCGGTCGCCCGCCGCTCGGGTATCCAGCAAGGGCCCTACGACCTCGACACGCGATTTGACCGCTACTCCGAAGCCCAGAAAACGAAGTCCTTTACCTCCGTTGAACGGAGCGAAGCCCCCTCATTCGTCCGGGTCTCTCATGGCCAAATCTGGGAATCGCAGAGACTCCGGTAGCACGCTGCACTCGCCCGGATTGACACCCTCCCAGCCTCACCGACCACGGTCCGTCTCACCACTTCGTCCGACCTCCAGTCGCTCCGCCTCGAGCACTAGCTTGGCTTTGTCCCCGCTCTCAGCGCGAGTCCCAGTCGGCAAACAAACCTGGCAGCCTAATCGAAAGTCACTGAAGGAATTAGAGGAAGAATATCACGACTCGGATGATGAGCTACCGGACGACGCGAGTCTGTGGAACATTCCTATCTCCCCACGACCAGCGCAAGAACGGGCGCCCTCTCGCTCCGCCAGCCCCAATGGCCGCAGTCCTGGCCGTCGCCCGCTTCCTTTCCAACACGCAATCTCGGATGACAAAGGGGCCAAACCCGAAGACACGGCAAAGGCATCCCGCATGAAGAGGATAAATCGATCCAGCTCCGCAGGACCGGAGCGTGGTCAAATTTCGCCACGCAATCCCCGCACCTATTCGTATAATAGTTATTTAACAGATCTCTCCGAAGAAGCGAAGATTATCACCGAGGCTCTGGAGCTACACGCCGATGATAGGGACCGCCTGCGCGAGGAAAATGTGCAATCTGGTGGTGCACGGAAGTCGAGTGAGGACTCACACCGGGCATCTCGGGACGCCACTGCTTTGCCGCCTCTTCAAAGATCTAATATCATGATCGATCCGTTACCAATCAGCAAAGAAAAAGAAAAGGTTCTCACGCGGACCCGCCCTAGCTGGCTTCCGCCCAAAGATCAGAAGGAGGAAAAGAAGCATTTGAAGCAATATCAGGAAATGATGGCCCAGTCTCGGGAGGCGGGTATGTACTTGAATCATCTCCTGTCTCAATATCAACATTCTAACCCCCACTCTTTCAGAGAAACGCAAAGCCGCCCAAGAAGCATCTGCGCAGTGCGCTAAGGATAACACCCGGTCAACGCTACAGAATATCTGGGATGAGTACGTGTGCCCACACTGGGACCGTGCCCTCAACGAGCCTCGAATTCGCGAGCTTTGGTGGCGAGGAATTCCTCCCCGCAACAGAGGAGAGATTTGGGGACGAGCCATTGGCAATGAGCTAGCTTTGAGCGAGGAAACCTTCACCAAAGCTCTTCAGCGAGCAAAGGATCTTCGCGGCAAAAAAGACGCCGAGAACGAAACAAACAAACGTTTCCAAGATTGTTTCGACGCAATTGAAAACGACGTTCCAAAGGCTTTCTCCGATCTGAACCTCTTCCAATCGGGAGGCCCGCTCCATGATACTCTCATCGATGTTTTGTTGGCATACTGCATGTATCGCAGTGATGTTGGCTACATCCACGGTCTTCACACCATTGCCGCTCTCCTCGTTCTCCAATTCCCAACCCCTGTCTCCGCATTCCTCGCCATGGCAAATGCTCTCAACCGTCCTTTACCAGTCGCCTTCCTGACCTGGGACCGCGGAGCCATGGCCCGATCCTACACATTGGCCTCTGATACTTTGCGTTACAAATCCCCGCGACTCTACACCCACCTCACCCAAACTTTCAACCTCTCCGACGAGGAGCTATGGGAGCCTATCTTCCGCTCTCTCCTGACAAACGGCCTGGATCTCGAACGCCTCTCCCGTGTTTGGGACTGCTGGGTTTTCGAGGGTGATCGCATCATGATTCGTTCAGCCGTTGCTATCCTTAGCTGCCTACAAACCCAACTATTCTCTTTCCAGCAAGGAGATGAGCAGACGCGTCTGGTGATACGTGACATCCTCGGCTGGGGACCCCGACATGTCGGGGCCAACACCCAAAAACCCAAAGATCGCCACAGTGCACCTGCCGCAGCAGGCTTTGGGGGAGGCTCGATCGAGAATCCCGGCGTGGCTGATTACTGGGTTCTCACAGCTGCCGGAAACGAAGACGGGTTCATGAAAGCTGTGCGAGAGGCTGGAAAGGTTCGTCAGCAACGACAATGACAACCTTAGATTACTGGCTCTGCCATTTTTCCATTCTTTGTTTCTTTCTCTTTTCTATCATACCCACATCATCCTTGATATCCACTCGCTACAGCACAGGGGAAATGTTAGCTCTTTCCTCCCAATTCATACGTTTTGCCTTGATTGGCTTTTGACCTATATCTTTTATTGGATGGACTACTTGTTTTTTTTCCCTGTTCAAATCATACCTAGCCTTTGATTGTTTCAATTTCTTTCTCTTGTATTTTTAGCCTGTCATGCTCTTTGGATGCATCTGCTTTTCTTGGTACCAGTGCCTTCGTTGGTTACAAGCAATTGAGATCGGCTTTCATCAATCTTTTTCTCTGGGATTTGCAGTAAAGTTGAACCCATCCGGTCAATACACATCTGCAGGCATCGACAATTACCCTGCTATAAATCTCACCTTGCATTAACTTAGAATTGAGGACGATGAGCTGTCTTCGACTATACTTGAGAATTCATATATTCAGGCATTACTCGGCATTTAGCATTAGCCAATTCAGCTTGGCCTTCTATTTCTCTAGATGAGCAAATACCACCCAGTCTCATCTTTAAAACACAATAATCACAACGAGAAACAAAAATCACCACGCAGCCCAAGCAGCAGGACCCTTAGGGAAAAGCCTTACCAAGGCCTTGCGCAGCTCATCCATGCAAAGCACACCCATAGCAAGACCAAGTGGAATGAGCCAGAATTCAATAGGAACCGAAGCCGTGCTGAAGATATTTTGAATGCCCGGGACTTCCGTGACAAAGATAGCGATGACAAGGGAGATGAGGATGGCAAGAGGCAGCCATGGGTTCCGACGAGCAGGCCGAATGGGATCAGCTTGGAGGATGGACATGCGTTTACTGCGGACGGATAGAACATTGCCCCATTGCATGATGACCAGGGTGACGAAGTAGACACACTGGCCTACGCTGGTGAAGTGGTTCAACTGGTCTGCTGTGTAGCCGTGGAAGCCATCGGTGTAACCTTCGAAGGCGAAGATGAGGTCTGAGAAGGGGATTCCTGCGTGGCGCCACATGTATAGGAAGAACATTGCGTGGGCGCTGAATGCTTCCATGACGCCGACGAATAGGTATGACTGGCCGTAGATGCGGAGGTTGATGAGGTGGTCTTTTGTTGGACGGCGTGGGGGGAGGCTTAGGAGGTCAAATTCTTCTTTTTCCATTATGAGGGATAGAGAGAGGAATAGGTCTGTGAAGACGCAGACGATGATCATCAGGAATGTGCTGAGAGGTGCTGGACAGCCGAAGAAGACATTCATTAGCACAGGCCAGATCTCAGACCAGCTGCCTGCTGGAAGGAGATAGGCAATGACTTTTTGTAAGTTCTGGAAGACCAGGCGTCCTAGACGGATTGCTTCGATGATAGAGTCGAACCGTTCCAGGAGGACCAAATCGGCTGCTTCGATTGCCACATCACTGCCAGATCCAACTGCGATGCCAACGTCTGCTTGGCGCAATGCTGGGGCATCATTGACACCGTCACCTGTCACAGCTACAACATTGCCACGAGCCTGAAGCTCCTTCACAATGCGGAGCTTCTGCTCCGGGGTAGTGCGGGCGAACACAATCTCATCATAGCCACATACCGTTTCCCAATTCTCCGAGGTCAAAGATGACAAGCTGGGACCTTCCAGGAGAAGGCTATGCCGGGACTTTGGAACTTTGGTCTCCATTGTAGGATCAAGGCCATCCATGAGGTCTTCAACTGTATCTGGCTCCGCTGATCCATTGTAAATCCCAATCTCGTGGGCAATAGCAGCTGCAGTTAATCCAAAGTCACCAGTCACCATGAAGAAACGGATACCAGCTCTGCGACAAGCAGCAACAGTCTGGGCTGTCTCCTCGCGTGGTGGATCAACAATTCCAAAGATACCGAGAACAGTGAGGTCCTGCACACCAGATTCCACGATTTCATCACTAAATTCGTTGGAACCTGGAGCTGATCGCGGTGCATACCGGCGTTTGCAGATAACAATCACCCGCTCTGCGCGGCGGGACAGCTTCGCCTGGAAGTTTGAGAACCGTTCGCGAGCTTCGGAATCAAGTGGACGGATACCATTGTGAACTGCTGACCAGTAGGTCGAGCAACGGTCTAGAAGCACGTCTGGAGCTCCTTTGACATAGAGATTGTACTCCTGGGTTTGGCCGGGCTCACGGTGCATGGTGAGCATCCACTTATTTTTTGAGTTGAAGGGAACCTGATGCACACGGTCATATCCAGTCAGTGAGCTAGGTGATGTCAATCCCACACTGTCACCGAATCGCAAAACAGCAGCATCAGTTGCATTGCCGTGGACAGCCCGTTCGTGAAGAGGCTTGTTCATGGTAGTGGGATCGAAGACGGCATCATTGCATAGTACCGATGCGCGGATCATATCACGCAGTCCATCAGGGAGCTCAACTGTACCAAATTCACCAGGAGCAAGGTCGTCAAGGTTGTATTCCCAGTCGACCATGCCAAGAGACTTGACGAACATGCGATTCTGAGTGAGAGTACCAGTCTTGTCGGAACAAAGCACATTCACACAGCCCAGAGTCTCAACGGTTGCCAGACCCTTAGGCAAGATATTGGTCTTTTTCATGCGTTTGGCGATCATCATGAGGGTTAGCGCAACAGCGACTGGAACACCTTCAGGAATAAAGGCAACAACACACCCCATGACATTGTTCAACATGGCAACAACACTCATGTAGGAAGGATGGTCCTTATGAAGCCAGCCCAGCCAAGTGAAAAGAATGAGCAAGGCCAGACAGACAGTGAGGACGACAATGATAGTGACAAAGCGATTGATCTCCCGTTGAATCAATGTTGTCTTTTGCTTCACGCCAGCCGTCACTGAAGCAATGCGACCCATCACAGAGCGAGATCCTGTCAGAACGACAACACCAATGGCATTGCCATTTGTCACGCCCGTTCCCATGAGAGCAATGTTGCGAGTCTCTAGGAAGTTGATCTCGGTGCACTCGATTGCACCTTCAACCTCGTCCGACTCGCCAGTCAAGATTGCCCGGTCAAAACGAACATCACCAGAGCTCTGGAGGATACGCATGTCGGCTGGGACCTTGTTTCCAATTCCAATATGGACAATGTCTCCAGCGACGAGATCAGTAGCAGGTATTTGGATCAGCTTTTCATCGCGCAGCACCATCGCCTCTGCAGGGAGGAGATCCAGAATGGAATTCATCACGCGCTTTGTGGACCAATCTTGAAAGGCTGAGAAGCTCGCCTGCAGGGCAATGACGATGAGAATCAGGACAGCCATGGCAAGGTTCTGAGGGGAAGGTGGGTTACTGAGCGGCTTCCAACAGATGAAGAAGATAACAACTCCAACCCAAAGTACAGAACAGAAGCCACCGAAGACATAGAAGAATATCTTTTTCAGATAGTTTTCTCTGTGATGGGCAATGACGTTTTTTCCATCTCTCTGCAAACGAGTGGCAGCAGAGTCAGAGCTGAGTCCAGTACGCTGGTCGACATTGAATTCTTGACACAGTCTCTCAGGAGAGACGATATGGAAGTCCAAGTTCTCAAAATAGTCCTGTTGTGGGTGTTTCTCTTTTGCGGGGTCGCTTATGTCTTCTTTGGGTGCGGCCTGGGACTCTGAGACGTGGATGGAAAGAGTTCGGAATTCGATGGGTAGCGTGGCAGCACCTTGCACACTGCTGTGGCTACTGCGGATTGTATCGCGGCTGACCGAGCGAGTGCGGGAGAGATGGGTTGGCTGGTATATCGACCGAAACCCCTCCGCCGAGGAAGCTTCTTCAAAGGTAATCCGCCCTGAGCGTCCCATCGGGTCCGAATCATCCTTGAGCTGATCATCTGACTCGACGTCCATCTCGGATTTGGGGTTATTTGAACTCATTATGAAGAGTTATGAATGTGCAGGTAGGACAAAGGGGAGGTATATGAAGAGAAGGAGAGCACTGAAGAAGAGGCTGAGATTGGCAGGAGCCTGAGAGAACAAAGTGCAGCCGGGTATAAAAGTGTTCGATACAGAAGGAAGCAGAGCAAACAGGCCTTATGTAGGGAATCTGTCTGATATTAAACTAGGTCCAACCTGGCTTAGATCTCAGCTGAAGCTGAATTGGGAAGGTGAACCCTGATGCAAGCAGCCACGCGACATTACCATGAGGGAGAAAGCCAATCGAGATGGAATTTACATGTATGAGTGAATTAAATAAAAGAATGGACACCAATGCTAGTGGGAAGAGCCAAAGGCCGTTTTGATACAGGATCCATGCGTGGCTCTAGAGCTATAGGATGTCAGGCACATGTCATGTAGACTGTATAGTTCCTACCTATGGTAAGTATAATACAAATAGAATACATATACCAATGGTGGTGAATTATTACAGTAGATAGCTTCCCCGGGCCAATCATTAACAGGCAATCCATACCGTTACCAGGGTGAAACCTCTTATTTTTCACTCCTGGACATAGCCTCAAAAGCCCTAACTGTGTTTCCCAGGTTCAGTCTCGCTAATTTCCATGGGAAAAGATGAACGGGTAAATATTGCTCATAGTAAAGTTGTTTGGAAATATCGCATATCACATCTGTCAGAATTTTCATATTTCACAGCCACGATTACCACGATGGTTGTTTTTTCCCGTGAGGGATTTATTCTCACCACCGATTTTCGATATCCTCCAGTACCACTTACTATCCGCTATAGGCTACCCTTTTTACTCGATCTGTTTTCAGCTTTGTATGGCTTTTTGGCTTTTAACCAAATCACTCAGATAATTAAGATCGTCGTGAGCTGTTTGTTCTGCCCTATCGCCAATTTTCTACGTTAAGTCCACGGCTGTTACCCGTGTGGATAGAGCTCCGGAAAGAAAAAAGAAAAATAAGCTCAACCAGAGAGACACGAGGTAATTGATTCAGTCAAATCCTATCCCTTTTCCACAATCCACGATCCATGGGCATTCTTGAGTTGTTTTTGTACCAGTAGTTGCAAAGTCTGGCCTTATTACTCCATTCCATTCCCGTGTGCATTGTATTATCTCTGGAAAAAATTATTTCATAGTCGCAGAATTGAACACTATGCACCGAGGCGTCGATCTGGCACCAAAGGCCCATAGACCCACCGACTGTACCGGTCAGAGCTTCAAGGCCCTGTTGCCTCTAACTACCGTCTCAACAGATCAGCGGCCACTCCTCAGACGAGACTCGGTGTTGTCCATCTCCGAACCTGCTTCCGATCGATCTTTCGCAATACGATATGGTCGTTGCCATCAGATTATTCACTATGGCACAAATAGCACCACACGGCTCCACAAAGACAAATCTCAAAATAAGACTCGGCTGCTAGCAATCAAGGTGTACCGGCACTCCATCTTGGATGAGCCATCATGCTCTTCACAATCCACCTCTCTCCATCCTGATCACCCAAACATTCTCCCCATCCTCGACGTGCTCCAGAATGAACGTTCAGAACTCTGTCTCGTGACCCCATACTGCGCAGGAGGCGATCTGGGAATCTTCTTGTCCCGAAACAGGCCTATCCCAACCAAAGAAACGGATTGTATTTTGACACAGATCTTACGAGCTCTGTCTTACCTTCACAGCCACGGCATTGCACACCGTGATATCCGGCTCGAGACCATCCTGCTAACCGCCAACGGAGCAGTAAAGGTGGCAGGATTCGGCGACGGACACATTCAACAGATATGGAAAGAATCCACAGCCTGCAAATCCCCATCCGAAGCAAGGGAGCGTCCACGCTCCCAGTCATACTCGGCTTCATCGTTGATATTGCCATGGCCACTGAATTCATTGTCTCGGCATATCGCCGCCTTCTCCTACCTCTCTGCAAAACCACACAAATCGGCTTTCGGGAACCTAAATCAGCCCTACATTCCTCCAGAAGGGTTTTGTCATTCCGTGCGTCGTGACAGCGATGGAAATAGTTACAATGACATCGACCCTCGTCCTGCTGATGTGTGGGCCACCGCAATGATATACATGGCTCTCGTTACGGGTCGGCTACTGTGGCGGAGTGCTCGTCCGCATTGCGAGGATGGACGGTACTTGGAATATCTAGAGGCTCGACATGATAAGGATGGATATACACCCATCGAAGCCCTGGGGAATGTGCGTTTTCTTAAATTTCCATGAATATATTGATCTCACTAACAACCATGGATATACATAGAGACGACGCGAGATCATTTATGCAATGCTTAATCCCCGATCATGGAAACGCATTACCACTGCAACCCTGATGCAGTCTGAATGGATAAAGGGCGTGGTGGTCTGTGAGGCAGGGGATAAAGGCTTCTGATCATGAATGCTCAAAATGAGAATCTCATAAAATAACTTATTTGGTAGCCAATACACTAATTTACTGATCTAGCGACAAGAATATAACCACCATCAAAAGCAATCGTCTGCCCATTCAGATACTGATTGGCGACAATGAACAGTATTGTGCTACTTAGCTATGTCCTCTTCTCTCCCAGGTCAAGCAACAGAAACGTCCTTGTATTCTTTAACAAGAATAACATTATTATTTTCTACAGGCGCTCAATCCGACGGAGAGAGCGACGATGGAGTAGGGCCTTCCCATTCTGAGAAGAGAGCGCGTATAGATGCGCCTCCTTCGAATCAGGATGCTGATGAAGAAGACGTGTGAGAAGCGAAGGAGGACGTGAAAGCCCACTAACCGAAATTATTGGATCCTTGACCTTCATAACTCTCCAGTTGACGGCGCGCCTTGGGATAACCATGCGGTCCAAGTGTGAGAACCACTATATCCAGGCATATGGAGAACTTTACCACTTGGCCAAAAGACCTAATATGACAAGACCTCGTCTTGTCATGCCTGGGACCGGTATATCTAGTAGCGCACTGTTGGGGCAGCAGCTACCGCAGGGGCGCGCCCTAACACTAAGAGCGGTCTATATGTAAATGCGCGCCGGCGTGTTCATATGTCAGAAACTGGATATTTGGGCACCTCTCACCTGTTGCTGGGGCTTGCTCTATGCAAAAATTTGAAAAACATCGTCCTGAGAGTATAGAAGGGACGGGTTCCTTATACCCGTTGCCAGCCATGCAGACCAACCTTGGAAGAATACACATGAAAGAGTAAAATTCTTGCACAACTCACTACTCTCTTTGTTAGGAGCCAAGCGCCCAGGTGCGCGAACCACTAGGCCAAAAGGCACAATATGACAGGACACCCTGTTCTGTCATCCCTGGACCGCTATACATGCTACAGACCGTAACACCTCGCAACAGAAAAAGAAGAGAGCAGAAAGAAAGAAAAAAGAGAGATAGCCGATCAATTATTGTTCGATGCAGCGATGCAGACACCTTATGCTTGATATTTCAGGCATGTAAGGGTTTTCATGCGCCAAGGTTGCCCAGGTGTTGTTGTTGCATTTAGACATCGGGGCCGCACCGGCTTCGCCGAGCTCCGTGGGGCGTGGGGGAGTGGCTACGGAATTTAACCCGGGAACGCACAGCCGCGGAAAGAAACTCAGATGCAGTAATGGTGCGCCAATCGAGTATAACCTCCGTTCGCATGGAGACACACGGTGTCCGCTGGAGATGAAACGTTGGGATTATAAAGGCGCCTCATGGCACGGACTTGGGACCTCAAAGAGAGCAGATGAGCGTGGGCTTTTTCTTACCCCGAAGACCAAGATGTCGATCCCTCCACCATTTGCGTGGTATTACCAAGACGGGTTGGTGCATGTGTAGGCGTAAATGGGGGCGCTAAGTGTAATTAAGAGAGTGAAAGCCCCATTCTTCCACCTATGAACTCACATGATTGGGCCTTGGCATCACGTGAAGCTGTAGTCGGAATACCCGGGCAGAATGAAGACCGCCAATCAATTCTGCCGAGGACCGCGTGGCTGAATGCCAAGACAATCGGTCCCCGCGGGGGGCCGTGTTCACCCGGCCACCGGCGTCATTATTGGCAATTAGTCAAGCCCTCTCAAGCACTCTCAAGCCCTCCGCCATGAAAGTCCATTTTGCGCTTGCATAGACCTCGCTCAAATCCCGTTTTTCTTTGTACAGTTTGAGGCAGGTTTTCCCGCCGCTGTATCCACCGGAATCACATGTTTGACTCGCCTCTCGTACGCATGCTGGTCAAGGTCCAGAAGTTACGTCGAACAATGCACGACTCAGCTGATGCAGTAGGCTAGCCTACCAGAGGTGGTTTGTTTGCGGCGCACCCATGCACTAGGGCCCACTGGTGAGTCGACACTAACGCGGCCTTTTAATGTCCGACTGTTGGTAGTTGATACACCCTCATTGGTCACCCCCAGAGATCCAACAACGGGATCCTACGAGGACCCGTCTCAATTCTTGTCTCAGGCAGATGTGTATTGTTTGGGGGGTTCCCACCTTCCCAATGAGGATTTCAAACCAATCCAGGGCTCAAACAAATTTTGCAAATCTCGAATCAAACATCCACATGCGAGCAGTGAGGCTCGTTTCATACAATCGACGATCAGGGGATCCATGATGTGCAAGGTGTACTGCGCGACACCGGATCGACTATATGAAATACTCCGATTTCCGTACCTGTTCAGCTCCGTCCTTTGGCACATCACGATACCAATTTTGCATAGCCCATTCTCAATGACCATACTCCCAAGACCTGGGCAAACCAAACATTGGAAAGTCCAACGAGGCCTGATGTCATTGCCAACATATGGTGGCTGTAAGCCAGACTTACACCTACGTAGTAATCGACGATGCTTATTCAAGCGCGACCGTTCTTCCCTCCACTTTCCGTTTCACATGACGGAAAACTCAGTTCTTGGCCTCGAAAAAGCCGCAGCCGCTCAGATGGAACTTGGCCGTCCATGGAAATACGCTCAACCACGCCATAGCACTACAACAACAGCGCCTAGGCGAGATTAAAAGCGGGTGCACTTGGGGGATTTTTTTTTTCACGCTTGGCGTGGGGACAAGACATAAGCCAAGAAAACCCCAGGAACCATTTGTAGTATGTTTTCCGGATGTATCTACCGGTTGGTGACAAACGGACCGGAAAATAACACCCGGCAATCAAGGTACGGTGTATCAGAAAATGGAATTCTACTAGGAACACATATCTGCAAGATCGGTTCATATTAACGAGAAGACGACGGAATAATACATCATTGCATATGGCGGGGTGCGGCGATGCCGAGTCGGTTGACCTGCTACTTAAGCATTCCGCATGAGTCGGAAAGCCGACTTAGCACAGAAAAGCAATTTAGCGAGATTGCACCGGTCCGTGTGCCTTGTGCCGCATCTGTGCCTACAAACCTTGTCCAACCATGAGCTACTTGGCGAATCGACGTCATGTTGGGGCGAAAACTCCTTGGCGATTCTAGGCACACTGTGATAGGATGTTGCATATGCACAATGTGCATATCGCGTCGAAGAGATGTGACACAAACTGGGTGATTGATGGGGGCCAAGGGTCAGCATTGCCAACTGAATTGTATTTCGGTGCTGATGCACATTGAATGTCGAAAATTGGGCCTCCCGTCGCGAGGTTGACTCGATGGAATTGAAACCAATTCGGACCCCGCCAAGCGCCAAGCTCTTGGCTCTTGGCGGGGGCTCTTGGCTTTCTCCGCGAAAGCCGACGTCGCCCGATGCGGGACCCCCACAGTGAGGTACAGGGTTCGCTGGACTTGCCCCTTTGGGGCCTGCTCACGGTTGCAGTATGAATCGGATAATTGAGCTAGCGTGGACTAATAGCCCCATGGAGGTGCGTCCTATAAGACCGACCGTCCCTCGTCCTGACCACGTTTTTGTTCTACGTCTTCCCCAACTTTTTTTTATACCCCCACAACTTGACGGATCTTTGATTTGAACCGTCAATATGTGGACGTCCACTAGTGGTTTGAGTGGGCGGGCGCTCAGATTGAGCATCACCTTCACCGCTGTCATGGGTTTCTCACTCTTCGGCTACAACCAGGGTATGATGGCTGGTATTCTGAACGGTAAAGAATTCGTGGATACCTTCCCCATTCTCAAGATGCCCGAGGATCCTACCGCCTCGCAAAAACACTACATCGATGTCATCCGTGGTGGTGTCACCTCCTGTTACGAACTCGGCTGCTTCTTCGGTGCTCTCTTCTCTATGTTCTACGGTGATGCACTCGGCCGTACTCGCCTCATCGCCATGGGTGCCAGCACTCTCATTCTCGGCGCTCTTATTACTACCGTCTGCTACAGGGCTCATTGGGAAGTTGGTCAGTTCGTCATTGGTCGTGTTGTGTCGGGTATTGGAAACGGCATGAACACCGCTACCATCCCCGTCTGGCAGTCAGAGTGCTCTGGTGCTCACAACCGTGGTTTCCTGGTTTGCTTCGAGGGTGCTATGATTGCCGGTGGTACCTTCATCGCCTACTGGGTGGTGTTCGGTCTATCGCACGTATCCAGCAGTGTGCAGTGGCGATTCCCCATCGCACTCCAAATCTTCTTCGCCATTATCGTGCTTGTCGGCGCCTTGCTTCTCCCTGACTCCCCTTCATGGTTCGTGAAGAGAGGTCTGGACAAGGAGGCTTGTGAAGTTCTCGGAAAGATCAAGGGTGCTTCCCCCGACTCTGACCAGGTCCTTTACGAGTTCAACTTCCTGAAGGCCGACGTCGAAAATTCCCAGGCCTCCCAATCTGGCTGGAAGACTGTCTTCACTGGTGGCAAGACCCAGGAGTTCCAACGTATGATCATTGGTTGCTCCGGTCAGTTCTTCCAACAGTTCACTGGCTGTAACGCCGCCATTTACTACTCCACCCTTCTTTTCCAGGAGAACCTTCACATGGGTGAATACCTGTCTCTGATTATGGGTGGTGTTTTCGCTTCCGTATACGCCCTTGCTACCATCCCGTCCTTCTTCATGATCGAAAAGGTCGGTCGTCGCAACCTTTACCTCATTGGATTCTTGGGTCAGGGTCTTTCTTTCGTCATTACATTCGCCTGTCTGATCGACCAGAACACCGAGACTGCCAAGGGAGCCGCTGTCGGAATCTTCCTCTTCATCGTGTTCTTCGCGTTCACTTTGCTGCCTCTCCCCTGGATCTACCCCCCGGAAATCAACCCTCTCCGCACCCGTACCGTCGGTGCCTCCGCCTCCACCTGTACCAACTGGATCTGTAACTTCGCCGTCGTGATGTTCACCCCTCTCTTCGCCGGACAGAGCCCATGGGGTGTCTACCTCTTCTTCGCGCTGTTCAACTTCATCGGCCTGATCTTCGGATTCTTCTTCTACGTCGAGACAGCCGGTCGCGAACTCGAGGAGATCGACATCATCTACGCCAAGGCCCACGTCGAAGGAAAGATGGCCTGGAGAGTCGCCAACACCCTCCCCAAGCTCACCTTCGAGCAGATTGCCGAGCAATCTCGCGCCCTGGGCTTGGAAGTCAGTGACCACGCCACCAACGAGAAGAATGAGCTTGGTCTCAGCAGTGGTGACAGTGGTCGGGAGATCGAGGAGGTTCGTGAGAAATGATCAACTCTTATATCTCAGTGGTGGTTGTTGAAGGTGACGATAATATGTGACACTGGATGTTTCCTAATTTATGTTTTCGATGTTTTTGATCTCGGTCTGCGTTTGGATATTTCGACTTTCCGGTGATAGACCTCGGGAACTGATGACTATGCCTTTGGCATGTATATATAAGACAAAGACTGGATGCCCTTTTGATACCAATATATCATTCTGCTTTGCTTTTTACTTTCTACTGCCCATCTTGTAAGATTCAGTAAATAACATGATACAATGCGCCTTCGCCTTCCATACTGCAAAAACATAGGGTTTGTTTCTAACCCTGATCACCCGATACGCTACTCTTGATATAGATAGGACATGTAAGGAAGACATCACATGATGGCGCGTTGTCTCCTGAATGTAAGAACACCCCGCACTTCGACTTGTCAGTACCTTGTGTCTCTTTATGCCGTACAATTACAAGGATGGATTCCACAACCTTCGGCGGCTCAAATTATGGTATTCAAGTAGGAACAAATTCTGGCACGATAAACCAGCTCAGCAACCATACAGGTACGGTGAAAGTGGTATTGTAACTCAATGAACCCCCTAACACGATCCAGACCCTTTGGACAAACTTCCAGCTGCGCTTGGGGCTGAGTTGAATTCGTATGAGAACCAGCATGAAGACGAGTGTCTTTCGGGTACTCGAATCGATCTTCTCCACAATATCGCAGAGTGGGCCGCATCAACGCACGGAAAATGTATATTTTGGTTGAATGGCATGGCTGGAACAGGGAAGTCAACTATTTCCCGAACAGTCGCAAGATCCTTGAAAAAGGACAAACTGGTGGTAAGCTTCTTTTTTAAGAGAGGCGAGGGCGATCGAGGCAATGCCACCAAATTCTTCCCAACGATTGCCAGACAACTAGCATTTTGCATTCCTGATCTAGCCGCAAAACTCAGGGAAGCACTCTCCATTGATCCTGATATCCCAACAAGATCACTTCGAGAACAATTGAACAACCTAATTCTACGACCGTTGCAAAGCTTAGAGCAAACAAGCCCCCAGATCATCGTCTTGGTGATAGACGCTTTGGATGAATGTGATAACGATAATGATATCCGTTATATACTTCAACTTCTACCTCGAGTGCAGGAGCTGAGGACCATTCGATTTCGAGTTTTCTTGACCAGCCGACCGGAATTGGCAATCCGCTTCGGATTTGCAAACATGGAAAATCATGAGCATCAAGACCTTGCCCTCCATGAGATCCCCGACGAAGTTACCGCAAAAGACATATCGTTGTTTCTTGAAGACCGGTTCAAGAGGATTCATGATGTGAAGAATGTTCCTGTGAACTGGCCGGGAGCGGATGTAATTCAAACTCTTGTCAAAATATCCACTCCATTATTCATTTCAGCAGCAACTGTTTGCCGATTTATCGAGGTGAAACTCGACCCTGTGAAATGTCTTGCCGATCTCATCAATGATCAAGCTAATTATGCCACACGAATGGAGAAGACATATCTACCAGTTCTAATGCGACTATTACGAGATCAAGAAGATGAAGAAGAGCTTCTCCAGCTGTTTCATCAGGTGATTGGTCTTATAATTGTTCTTGCTATTCCACTTTCTGCGAATGCGCTCGCAAGACTTCTGAAGCTTGACGCAGCAGTTGTTATGAATTTATTGGATCAGTTCCAATCTGTCCTCAGCCTACCAAGCGACCAGAATATTCCTGTTCGGATTTTTCATTTATCATTCAGGGATTTTCTCCTTCAAACTGGGAGCAGATTCTCTGTGGACGAGAAACATATACACAAAGAGACCACAATACATTGTCTTACTACTATGTGGACTCAGCTTAAGAATAACATCTGCAACCTTGAAAGCTACGCAACAAACAGAACCGAAATCGACTCCGCATTGATCAGTCAGTGTCTGCAGCCAGAGCTATATTACTCTTGTCGTTACTGGGTTTATCATCTGGAACAGTGTACAGATCAAACCCAGATAGTGAGCCTGGCGTTTATGTTCCTCGAAGAGCATTTCCTTCACTGGGTAGAAGCCATGAGCTTACTAGGTGTTATATCAGAAGTGATCAGGATGATCGATGTCCTTCAAAATATGGCACAAGTAAGTTTTACTTGTGGATATTCATATTTACCAAGGGTACTAATAGAGGTAGGATAGCTACGATTCACCAAGAATTGCTTTCCTACATGACGCAAAACGATTTGTCCTGAAAAATCAGCAGGTTATCAACGAAGTACCTCTTCAGCTCTATTGCGCAGGACTCGTGTTCACACCTATGGCATCAATCATCCGTCAAAAATTCCAAACAGAGCTTCCTGCTTGGATATGCCTGTTACCACAAGTTGAGAAAGAATGGAGCGCAGAGTTACAAACGCTCGAGGGCCATTCGGGTTGCATTAAATCAGTAGCCTTCTCGCCCGACGGCCGGCTGCTGGCGTCGGCCTCTGAAGACTGCACCGTGCGGCTCTGGGATACGGCCACGGGCGCGCTGCAGCAGACACTCAAGGGTCATGAGAGTGGGGTCAGCTCAGTAGCCTTCTCGCCCGACGGCTGGCTGCTGGCGTCGGCTTCTCACGACTGCACCGTGCGGCTCTGGGATCCAACCACAGGTGCGCTGCAGAAAACACTCAAGGGTCATGAAAATGGGGTTAGCTCGGTAGCCTTCTCGCCCGACGGCTGGCTGTTGGCGTCGGCCTCTTACGACTGGACTGTGTGGCTCTGGGATCTAGCCACTGGCACACTGCAGCGGATACTCGACGGCCATTCGTGGCCGGTATCCTCAGTGGCGTTCTCGCCCAACGGCGGGCTGCTGGCGTCGGCTTCTTACGACTGCACTATACGGCTCTGGGATCTAACCACGGGTGCGTTGCAGCAGACGCTCAACAGCCATTCGGGGACGGTATCCTCAGTGGCGTTCTCGCCCGACGGCTGGCTGCTGGCGTCGGCCTCTCACGACTGCACCGTGCGGCTCTGGGACCCAACCACAGGCGCGCTGCAGCAGACGTTCAACAGCCATTCGGGGATTTTAGTGGCATTCTCGCCCGACGGTTGGCTGCTGGCGTCGGCCTCTCATAATGGGACTGTGCAGCTTTGGGACCCAGCCACGGGCACGCTGCAGCAGGCGCTCGACGGCCATTCAAGTCGGGTTACCTCAGTGGCCTTCTCGCCCGACGGCTGGCTGCTGGCGTCGACCTCTGACGACTGCACCGTGCGGCTCTGGGACCTAACCACAGGCGCGCTGCAGCAGGCGCTCGACGGCCAATTAAGCACAGGTTGGCTCTCGCGTGCGGTTAAATCAGTGGTCTTCTCACCCGATGGCCGGCTGCTGGCGTCGGGCTCTCGGGATGGGACTGTGCGGCTCTGGGACCCGGCTACAGGTACGCTGCAGCAGACGCTCAAAGGCCATAAGAATGGGGGTAAGAATGGGGTTACCTCACTGGCCTTCTCGTCCGATGGCCAGCTACTGGCGTCGGCCTCTGACGATTGCACCATACGGCTCTGGGACCCGGCCACAGGTACGCTGCAGCAGACGCTCGGCCATAAGGGAGGGGTTACCTCAGTAGCCTTCTCGCCGGACGGCCGGCTGCTGGCGTCGGCCTCTCGCGACGATACTGTGCGACTCTGGGACCCGGCTACAGGCGTGCTGCAGCGAACGCTCGAGGGCCATATGGACGAAGTTGAGTCAGTGGCTTTCTCGCCTGACAGCCGGCTGCTGGCGTCGGGATCTCAGGACGAGACTGTGCGGCTCTGGGACCCGGCCACGGGCACGCTGCAGTGGCATTATGCTGTTGATACAATCGCAACCAAAATCGAATTTTCTCATGATGGATCTTACCTGAAGACCAATTCAGGCATTTTTCATGTTCAGTCCAAGCGTAACACTCCCATGCTTGATTTACCTCAAGGAAGCCCTCAAGTCTCCATCCATCAGAACAACTGGATAACTCTTCGCAACAAAAACATTGTATGGCTTCCACCCGAGTATCGGCCTACATGCTTCACGGCCTACGATAGTGTACTTGCAATAGGACACAGTTCTGGTCGTGTTTCCTTCATGGGCTTTCAGTTGAATAATGAATAATGATTCGGTTTTCCTTCCCTTCCTCTATTTTCTAATCTCTTTCATCAAAGAAAGGCCTAGCAAGAGTATTGATTTTATTCGTTTAGTATCATTACATTTGGCTCCCAAACGGCCGATGAAATACCAATAGCCAAATCAAGATTGGCTTGTCAGGTGACTAGGGTTTAAAATAATATCCCTATATTCGCGGCATAGAAGGCGAAAGCGCTCGGCACTGTAGTCGATTATCGGGAAGTCTAGACCTTGTCCCCGGGGAGTATGCAACTGCACGAATTTTGAGGATTGTGAATCCATGGATGTCAGAAAATCTCGACGTGGGAGGAGGCTCCGGGGCTACTAGTTTTGAGATGAACTGTCAAACCTTTGGGCTTCGGGGGGTTGATAGAGAATACGTTTACAGGAAGAAGAATGATGATGTAGATAGTATACTCTCATCAAAAGCGGATGCGGAAAGGAAGGAGAGAGAGAGAGAAAGAAGCCTCTATCTACTCTATCAAACAAGCCCTATCATCCCATATCAGGGTCCGCTGACCAAGTAGACCTGACAGAGGTCCTAGTATACTTCGGTCCACAGAAGAACGACTATAAAGATGTCCTGCTCAACTGGTGTCACTCAGTAATTAGTATCTGAGCTTGGATTCTCCACCTGCGGTATCTGGAATTGCCCAATGGCACCGAATCCGTACACGGTGGACTCTCCCACCACCTACCACGAAGGAGTAGAGCGGCCAGGTGAGATGAGGCCCCAATATGCCTGATTTCTGTCTGATTCTTGCCTTGGCTGGCTTCTCACAAGCAGAAAACAGAGGTGCCTAGATCACCATTACATAGTCTATGAAATTCTTCGTCTTGGGAAAAAAGAAGAAAAAAAGAATTGCCCGGTCCTGGATTCACCAGGGTCTCTCGAAAGGCAGGCCACCACACGGTTCAGAACCGGGACGGCTTAGAACCGCCCCCGCAGCGCCTTTCCCACTGGGCCAACCAGGCTTTTTAAATTTGGTACAGGTGGATCTTGTCACATATCCAACCAATCCTCGCCATTTCCAAGCTTCACTGCCCCACCCCTATCCACTGTTGTCGACATGGCCGCTCTGCCCCTTCGTAGACTACACTATGAACACAGGGCTCCAGGGCTGTAGGTATGTTTGGGGAATCTGGAACATTTGTTCAATGTATTCTCCACGGTCTCCGGATTTTTCCAGGGATGAGGTCCATCTTCGCCCCGAATGACAAGGTAAAGCTTACGATTTGGATGTATAATCATTTGAGATTGAAACCTAGGAGGTGGAATAACATGTAGGTCCAATTACAGATTGCATATCTACCCTGAGTCCAATCTACTAGATCGCGAACAAAAATTGCTTCCAACAACTTTGGAACTATGCACATCTATAGATGAGCATCATTCCTCCATCACATGCCATTGATCACCAACTCTGAAACCTTCTGGCCATGGGTCACTTGCATCCAAAACCATCTGTTTGAATGAATTGATCCAGGCACTTCCCTTAACTGTCGGCAGTATAGCGTCATATTCACCCAGCTTCTGCGTACCACGGATATGGCACTCAAAAGTACTTCCAATAATACTGCGGTGGGTAAATTTCTCGCCAACAGCAAGCTGACCACGCGCATGAAGGACAGCCATTCTCGCACAGCTACCGGTTCCACAAGGACATCGGTCAAATCGACCAGGTGATACCACAACTGTGTTCGTAGCTTCCATGCTATCCCGGTCAAGAGGCTCGGTGAACTCCAAGATAGTGACCCCCCGAATATTTGGATTTTCTGGGTGAACCGGAACGAAGGGAGCGTTTTGCACTGCATGTTTGATACGTTCTCCGTAATCAATCAATTTCGGGCCGTTTTTGTTGTTGATTTTGATTCCAAGCGAAGTGACGTCGACAATGGCGTAGATCATACCTCCCCATGCGATATCGACAGACACAGTACCGATTCCGGGAACCTCGACTTTGTAATCCAACGCGAAGACGAACGAAGGCACGTTATCAAATGCAATGGATTTGCATTTTCCATTCTCACAATCGGCAGTGACGGAGACCAGTCCTGCTGGTGTTTCAAGTACCATCTCAGTGGTTGGCTCTGTCATTTTAACCATGCCCGTCTCCAGGAGAACTGTAGCTGTGGCGATGGTATTGCCTCCTGACATGGGTGGGTACTCGTCACTTTCCATGATCAAGAAACCGACGTCGGCTTTCGGGTCGCAGGGTGGGAGGACGAGGTTGAGACACATCGCGGACCGGCCACGAGGCTCTTGCATAAGGAGCTGTCGAATATGATCTTCCTTGTCCCGGAAGTGGACAAGCTTTTCGTACATGGTGTTGCATCCTGGGGGGTTCAAGACACCCCCGACGATGACATCGCAGGATTCGCCGGCGCAGTGGCAGCCCACCACGTTGATAGATCTTTGGTAAGGCATGATTATGGAGAAAGATCCAGAGGAGAGAAGAAAATCCTTGGAAGGCGTATCTGACGGTCTCAGTGAAAGCCGTATCCCCTCTTATAGCTCCAAGACATATGCGGCGCATGCACAACATCCCCTCATTTCTCCAATGTCAGGTGTCCGGACAAGGATCCACCATCGCCCGTAAAAATCAGGCGAAAGTATCCAGATCCAGGAGTTTGCTGTACTTCAGCACTGTGCGTCCGCTTCTATCTGTCAACCGGCCCCACAACGGACCCCCCGGCAGTATAACCGACCAGAGCATCTTGGACGCAACGACACGGCTGTTATCTCGATCTGAGTGTAAACGGCAATCAAATAGGATTGCTGATGCTGTATTTGGAACGAGAGTCGCTTTACATGACGCATGATCCGTAGTCGACTTGAGGGACATGGTCGGTGCTTGATTTCGTTCTAGAATCAGCACTCCGTACCTGCACTGACAAGCCTCACCTTCTCTGCCACTGTGTCACACTTCTCCAGATAGCTTTATCATGTGTCATGAGATCTGTTAGCATGATGAAGGTGCAAAAGTGGATCCAGGAGAGGATTGGAGAGTCGGCAATGCAAGCGACGCGGGGCCCCACTTTTCCCAGTATATTTCTCGGCAACACTCCCGACTTCACCTTCTTGCCATTTCCCCGCAAACTCCAAAGCTCCGCTCGATAAGCTGTGTTTCTATCAGTCAGAGACCCTTGTCAATCTTTCTGGGGCGATTGCATCCTGATTGGCCGACTCCGTCAAGAACCCCGCGTCCCCCCAGCATTGCTGTCCCGCCCGCTGTTCGCTCCGTCATCCGTTCCGACCAACTATAGCCGCAGGCAAGACAGAGACACAATGGCCAGTGTTCAGAAATCGCGGAAACGATCACTTAATGTGTAGGTCGCGGACAAAGACGGGCTTTGGTCGTTGCTGATGATCTGTTGGTAGGTGTGTGCGGTGCAGGCGGCAGAAGATCAAGTGCTCCGGCTCTAAGCCGTGTGACAGCTGCAGCAAACGTGGCATGTCATGCGTCTTCAATAACATGGACCGCAAGGTTCGGGTAACGCTGGGGTAAGACAATTGAGTATTTGTGTGCGATCTGTGGTTGACGGGGAGGTAGATATATCTCACAACTGCGAAAGCAAGCTGCAAACACAGACACAACGGCGGAGCAACCTGGTGATCACCCTGACTCGGACTGTGAGAATGAGATCGGTTAGTGCTTGCTGAGCCTGTCGAGCGACATTGGCCAAGATTGACATTCACAGATTCTGCCGATCGAGAACAATCACCCGGAAGTGATGTGTCAGATCTCCCTGATGATACACTAGATGATCAAGAAGCAGAGGACCCGGGGACCGCACTGGTGAATCCATTAGTGAATGGTCCTCCTACCTTCATGTCATCGAGCAATGGAAGGATGTGTGCGTTTGTATCACAGCCTCTCGACGTTCACGTCTGACAATTTCAGTTTACTTAGGAACCTCTTCGAACTGGTCATTCACTCGCCGTGTATTGAGTATGGCACATCAACATGTGTACCAGGAAGTACTACCGACAGATGCATTGATATTTGAAGGCTCCGCCTACGACTTGGACTCAATGGAGTCGGAGCCAGATTCCATTCTCAAGCACCCCATCATCCCGAGCATGGACCATGCTCTACATCTCATAAAAACTGTGAATTTCCGCTGCGGCCAAATATACCATATATTTGAGGAGTCTGAATTTATGAGATCCGTTCACGAATTCTACGCCGAAGACGGAGCACAGAGGAGAGGGCTTTGGTACATCCAATTTCTTCTCATTCTGGCATTTGGGAAAGGCTTCAGCCAAACCAAAACAAACAATAGTAGCCCGCCCGGGATTGATTACTTCGCAAAGGCCATGCAAATGCTGCCCAATCACAATCGGCTTTACCTCTCCCCAATAATATCAACCGAGATTTTGTGCTGCATATCTATATTCTATCAATCCCTTGACTGCCGGAGTCCAGCACACAACTATGTACGAGTTCAAAGATTCCAAACACATGGAGCCCCACCAAAGGGAAACAGCTAATATTTATTCCAGATCGGCCAAGCTATGCGACTGGCCATGAGTCATGGCATGCATACCTCGATGCCAGCCAGAGAACTAGGTATTGACGTTGTTGAGAGATGTCGCAAGATCTGGTGGACTATCGACATCCTCAACAGACAGATGACCTGCGTTCAGGGCCTGCCCCAGTCCATTGACGATAAATTCGTGCAAACGAGTCTGCCGTCCTTTGGAGGACGCGCTTTGAAAGTGTCAACGCTCGACATGCACATCAAGCTGAGCCGAAGTATTTCTGATATCAACAAAAGTAGGATAGTTTACAACTTCATGCCGTGATTTATGCTAAAGCAAACCAGCGGTCTATGCCATCGACGGACGGATCAATCGAAAGTTCTTGCTGAGCACCAAAAAGGCATTATCTGCCTTGGCAGGTCTCGCCGATGAGCTCCGGTGCAAATTTCCACTGGATCTCGATGGGAAAGCCAACGGTATTCCTCGAGCATCGGCCAACTTGCACCTATTCTATCAGCAGGTGAGTTCCCAGTAATCCCAAAAGGCTCTGCCGCAGACCACATGAGCAGCTGCAAGAGAGTTGAATGAGCTGACAATACCAGTGTGTGATAGTAGCTACAAGACCCCTTCTATTCTGCTTCCTCAAAGTCCGATTCGAGTCGCCAGAGACATGCACAGAATTTCTCGGCAAGTCACACACCGTCAGAAATCTCATTCAAATGTGCCTGGAATCCGCACAGCACAGTATCCGCATTCTACTCTGTTTGAAATCTCAAGGACTACTCGGTAAGTACATCGAATAACTTGAATGCCCCCTAGAGCTGCCATTGCTAATGCCAGGGCACAGAAACCTTCCTCGCTTTCGACTTAGAATCAATCTTCACCTCCACCGTCGTCCTACTAATGGGACCAGCGATCGATCCCAAACTACCCAACGATCGCTCATGGTGGCCCGAGAAAGCTTACGAAATCTTCCGAGAGATGGTCGAAGCAGGTAATCGGGTCGCCAGACTGCGGTGGTCAGAGCTCCAGCAGCTCGAAATGACTCTTCACGACATTCCTTCTGAACAACCCCAGCCTCCAAGGCCAACTGTTACAACTCGCCAGAATGCAGCACCGACTCAACTGCTCTCACCAGACCCGAGCTACGTCCCTGCATCTGTGGACCAAAGTTATCAGGACTGTGTCCCCTCGGAAGTAAACCAGCCGATAGATGCAGAATATGGATTCGGATTCAATTCGCTGTTGAGTTCTGCTGAGATGACGGCCATGGCGAACTCGATCGAAGTCTATGATGCTGAGTGGGTTTCAAATGCTATGGTAACGCATGGGATATGGTAGCCGTCTAGCGATACTTGACACTAAGGAATACATTACGTGCAACGTATTGTGGAAGCAAACTGTGTAGTCTGTCAATATCAGAAACCGCCAAAGGGAATCATTTTTTCAAGCTATCTCCCAACCTGATGTTGGAGCATCAAAGCAAAGAGGAAGCTCGTCGTCATCGAAAAGTAAGAATTGGAAGGTGATAGATCGCGGTTTTGGATGAGCGAATCGCCTTGTCGCAGAACTTTGGTGGCGAGAACGACTCGGAGCGAGGGAACGAAGGCGTGATCTCATGAGAGATGCCTTCTCGCCTGATGAATGATCATGAGTCAGTGATCCAGACCCAGTAATTATCCTCAGGTTCATCCGGAGTTTGATCCTCGGTCGGGTCCTCAACTTCAGTCTCTCCTTTAGCGGGACATCCAGCGCGGTATCTGGCGTGATATCCATCACGATAACCATCATCACATTGATCAGAAAATCCACCGTCAGCTCGGTCATCTTTCTCATCCTTGGGGCTTCCCTGTATAGCTCCAACAACTGGAACGACGGCAGTGGGCGTTCCCTGCTATCGGTTGTCTTGACCGTGAAAATATGTCCAGAGAAGATACTGAAAAAAGAATCAACGAATAACGCGTGTAGTTGTGGGGGAAAGAAAGAAAGGGACTCTCTATGTGAGGCCAAAGTAGCTGGTACTTGTTCGTGAGGGGCATCGGAGCTGCGACTGTGGTAGAGAGCCAATGAGAGAGCTTTATTTGGCCAAGCCTTTGCGGGAATGGAGCCTCATCACGTGAGAGTGGCGGCCCAGGGGAATCCCTGCGGGTAGTGCAGATCACCCGCGGTCCCACAAACTCTAAGCGTGTCGAACTTCCAAAGCCCATCCAGCATTTCACTCTGCGTAGGATGAACCTTGGAGTTGATGGAAGGAAGGAAAAAAAAAAAAAAAAAAAAAAGAGGAGAAAGTAGAGCCCAGGGGGCCCAAATTCGTAGATCGCAGGGATCGAACCGGGGTGCCCCGTGGTGTCAACTTTTGGGCTACCAGAGGGTCATCTAGCTAGCATGTGAATCCTCCCCCCTGGCAGGAACTGGAAACTCCACAGAAGCTTCCTAGTAACCAGCCCTGCCCTTGAGCTGTGTTTGACCACTAGACCACCGGAGCTCTACACCAGATGTTGCCATTCTTTTCCTTAAATACTCCCCAAATCACGTGATTTTAGTCTTTTCCTTGCGAAACCTCAGCATTTACTCAGCACTACTCCCTTTTCTACACGGGTATTCCATTGATATAGGTCCACAACACCACTGCAGCTCACAGGCTCAATTATCATACTATCTATTCAGACCTCCAGGATAGATATTGAGTGAGAGGGAGTGACAAAGCCATGTATGTATGCAAGACTGACTTCTCAAATACAAAGTATGCATTCTGCTACAAGGGCGGTTTTATTCCGATTCGAAAAGTCTAGGATGATAGGTGAAGCTGTACAGGCATGGATCATATGACGGGATTTTGTTCTCATTTCCTTCTCAAGATAGTGCATTCCGGCATACTTTTTAAGACGACTGAGACGGAGGAAAGCCATTCTCTTGATGGCTCTTTCCTTCCATTGTTGCGATGCGAGTCAAGAACCACATCAGCTCCAACAATTGGAAGGAAGGTAAGGGCCTTTCCTCCACATTGGTTGTCTTCACGGTGAAGATATGCCCAGATCGAACGGCCTCCCACGTCCTTCCACCCCCATAAACAATGTAAACGGGATGATTGTTTCCGTGCGTCATGGTAGGTCGGAATCTCGGCTCTTCCAGCGGGTTTTGAGTTAATGGGACCAGATCCGTTCGTGTCATTTCCCCAAACTCTTTGGGGAGAGGAAGCCAGTGTAATGCGATTCGCATCTCAGTTTCGTCCTCGTTGACAGAAACCGGTCGGAGAGCGGCAAGCCCGCAATCCAGGTAGTTTCGCACATCCAGAGCAACGGTGAGCAGATTGTAGATCTGATGGGCATTTATCACAGAGTCCCGCATCAGCAAGTCTCGCCATGCCTGTACTTTCTGTGTGCCCCAAAAAAGAGCAAGCCATTGCCATGCCCTCCCTGGATCTTTGCCATGGAGAAAGGGCGGCATGATATGTGCTTGGGCACACCGAGAATTACCTGCTCCGGTTATCAGGCAGGCGTGCCCGTCTCGCTCTCCGGCCTATCGATGGTGTTAGTATGTAGTGGGAATAATATGTCCTCTGATATCTCCAAAGCACTTACCTGCCACGTAGCCTGGTCGACGGCTCGGGAATCTAGAGACAAAGGGTCTCCCTCCATATCCCAGAAGATTACATCCGAAGTGCGGCCCCCTAATTTCGGCACATAGGTCAACGAAGTTTAAAATTCGACCTGTGGACTGAAAACTCACAAAGTGATGGCAACCGTGACTCCCGGGTCAGTTTGACCCTCTTCTTCACTTCTTCGGCCCTATCCTCGGTAGGATCGGCTATCCACTCTAGGATCTTGATGTCGGCAAACCAAAGGGGAAAAAGACAAGTCCGGCGGACGAGGTCGTCCTTGAGATATCGGGCATTGATCCGGTCGATCAGGCACTTACGTGCCGGGTCATCGAATTCCGTGAGAATGTTCAGATCATCGTGATTGATCGACATTTTGATTCGCTGGATTTTCGGTGTTGGGAAGGGAGAGTAAAGATGAGGTGAAGAAGATCAATCTTGCTTGTGAGGACGAAAATGTTGGGAGAGGAGAGTAAAAATGAGGTGAAGAAGATCAATCGCGCTTGCGAGGATGAAAATAAGGAAAAGCAAACAAAGTTGTAAGCCACGTTCGTAGTTGTAGTAGTGGGACCAAATAGACAGGCGCTAGTTTACTACGTGGAATAGTTCCACATGGAACCGGGAAGCTCCCGAATTCTATTTGTGGTGGTATCTCATTGGTCGCCATATGGACGTGTCGTAACGCGCATCTATTTAGAGAGCCTGACGAAAAGAAGACCGCGGTAAAAATAGGATCAGTAGAGCAATGCCCTTGGCAATGGGGCGCAGGAGGAAGGAACGAGTCTCCCAGTGGGATATAAAGCAAATTCCTCCCATAGTTTGAACCTTCTCTTCCTCTTTCCCCTTAGTTTCGACCAAAAAGATTGTTTATCATTTCTTCAACAAAAAAGCAAACATGTCAGCGCCCTCGTGCCTTGTCGCCGGCGCCGGCTCATCGGCTCCCCCGCCCCCTCCACCTCCTTCCAAGGGCTCCTTCCCCGCGGAACAACCGGGCGAGACATTTACCGTCTGCCAGAAGCGCCGAAACAAGGAAAAGGACCGACAACATCGCGCCGTAAGTTTTCCATTTCTCTCCTGCGCTATATAGCTATAAAGCACACGAGAGTGTTGGGATTGGGAGCTGACACATTTTATGTGCTTCAGCAGGAGGAGGAGGCCGCCCGAGCCGACCCTGTTGGTGCCAAGCTCGCAAATATTGCCCGCCTCAACGCGGCGCGCGCCCGCGCTGACCGAGCGCTTGCCCGGTTTCTCATGTTCGAGGCCCATCTGCAGTACTTACAGGTAGTTCATACATCTTCTTGATATTTACGGTTGTCTGACCTCACTTCCATTAGACTGCGGACTTACTGTCAGAGAGCGAAGACGAAGACTCCTGCGAGGGCAACGCCGGAGAGATAAAGGGCAACGCGGGAAAGGTGACTGCTCGCGAAGCAAAGGGCAGAGAGGCTGCTGCCGCCTCCAAAGGCACTGATGACGCCAACCCTTACACGGGTGGTGAGGAAGTAACGACCCCACCAATTCCCTACAACGACGAGGAGACCGAGACCATGGAGTGCTCAGAAGTTGGTGATATTCTATTAGCTAGCATGATAGGTCAGTGGGCAATGATCTCGGTATCTCCATAGCGGGGTTTCGGAGACTCCCTTTAGAACAAGGATCAAACCTCCACGATACCACACTGATCAATGAGGCACCGCCAAGTCATACAGCTCTGACTCCTCGTTTGACGATCGCGGAAGTGTTTGAGCCTTTCAACCCCGACGAGGAGGAATACCCATTTGACACACCCGACATATACTGTACAAGAAACTACGTTGAACTGGGGGATCTCGAGCTTCATCCTGCCAGCATTAATGAACGAGGAGCACACGTGAGGGATGTTTGGATACATATGGAGTCTGTCCAAGCATGGTCAACAATGCAGGCGCTGCGCATTCTGAATATTCGAATCGACGAATAGCTCCTCACTGAAATAGCTCGAGGAAGGCCACTGGAATCCGACGAGGAAATAATGGCGCTCTTTCAATTGCTGGGATCTTTTGGATATTCTATCATACAGTATTCAGAAAAAACTGGTTGAACCACCGCATTATTGCTTATTCTGCTCGAACAACCGTATTTATTACAACTACGGTGGTTCTGCCGTCGGACGGCCGCACTAAATTTTACTGAAACCCCTGCATGGCCTTGAACATTGAACAGTCAGCAACGCTAAAAGGCTTGAGAGGAAAGAACGAATAGCTCAGTATCATGTAATGCGGCTTCCTCTTCTAATGTTGAACTTCCTTCCATTATTTCCCTTCCACCTTCTCCTCCTTCATCCCCTCTTTCTTCTCCTTCTCGCTCTCCTTCTTGCCTTCCTCTTCGCTCTGCTCTCTTCTCTCATCTTTGTGAGATACAAGCGGCTTCTGTCAAAACATGCGATAATGGCGCCCAGCACCAAAGTTGAAATGCCCCATGCAGCCTTCTGATAAGCCTGGTAAAGAGCCCACCGTCTCCTGAAGCAAGCGGCTGGAAGGGAATGCATGTTGATGACTGACCTGTTGTAGTATATGAAGACCGACATCAGTATCGGCTTCCAGGCAGTTGTTGCACGTGCAATGGAGGAGCCAGACTCGTCGGACCGATCCATCACCAGGGTCAACCTCCCTCTCGCCGACAGCTTCTAGTCCTCCGCCTTTGTTCACCGAAAGAACAACACTTGTCAACATGATATTCACGGTCACCAGTGTGCTCCTCGCGCTTTGGAGTGCGTTCCGACCTGGTATCAACAAGTTGAAAGAAGACATGAACACCCTGCGACAAGATGTGAACACGCTGAGACAAGAGGCAAGACAGATCCCCCGAAACCGGGAGGACAGCATGGTGGAGGATGGGATAGTGGAGGACGGCATGGGGAACCTCTGAGACTCATATCTCGTCTCAGAGTGTTCAAGTCTTCTTTCAGCTTGCTAATAAGAGCACACTAGTCACTGTGTATATCATGTTTACAGGTGTTGTTCTTTCTTAATCACCGTATAACTAAAATATTTGCTAACAGTATATTCCCTAAGGCAATTACTGCTATAAACCAACACTCAACAGATTCAATTTCAGTACCTAGGTACCCGACATAGAACCGGCTCACTTTCAAGTTGAGGGATTTACGTCAGGGGCGATGGAGCGATTCTCTCCCGTAAATCACGCGAATAGCAAGAGCATCAAGGGGCCTTTGTGAAGCCGAGGAGACCCTAGAGGCACAGTTTGCCGAGTCCGGAAGGCCAAATTACAACCGATTATGTAACCAGCTGCACGCCCGTTGCGAATACCCGCCCAGATGATAGAGGCTTATCCCAGCTAAGACACCATGTAAAATGAACAGGGCCCGCTATGGCTATACCGAAGGCCAATGGCCTAGCCCAGGCGAAGAGTAGCAAATTGAAAAGAATTACCCAGCGGGCTTTCATCTTCAGGTTTCCACATAGATTGCTCAAGGGTGAAATTCGAGGATTTCGGCTGTTCAGAGGAGTCGAATGGATTGTAGAATCTTGAAATAGCCGTGAAATAGCAGATGAGAGCGAGGAATTACTTGACTGCCTCGATGACCACTGGTTGACTCGATGACTGTGACTAGGGCTGGGTTGTCACGTGATATACCCGCGACCCCCTTCCCGATTAGGAAGTGTAGGGGTCTGGATGAAATGCGAAAGTTACTTACTTTCTGATATCTAGAATGATAGGCCAGTGTGGAAGTAAGCCCAGTATTGGAATACCGGGGGTTCGAAAACTCCCCTTGGAATAAGGATCAAACCTCGAACATTGACACTGGAAGCTCGGGAGGAAAGAACGAATAGCTCAGTTTCAGATAATGCAACTTCCTCTTCTGATGTTGAAACTCCATCTGTCCCTTCCGCTTCTTTTGCTTCCCCCTTCTTCCCCTCCACCCCCTCCACCCCCTCCACCCCCTCCACCCCCTCCTCTCTCATCCTGTCTCAGGACAAGATTCGAGAGGAGGGGGTGGCTCACACGCGCAGTTCAAAAGTTTCTCGCAAGATATATGAATATTCGTCAGCTGGAAGACAAGACAGCTGAGCTAGAGGCTGCGGAGCCGGAATACCCATCCGTCCCAATCACGAGCCTGACTTTGCAGGATGTTGAAACATGACGGATAACCCCCCCGCGGAACTCGTCACGGCATCGAAGCCATTCATGACATCCGCTCGACACACTTCCGGACATTTGAAATTCCTCGAGAATCAACGCAAGGCCTTCCAAGATGATCTTTGAGGATCTACCGCCCGTGAAGCGTCAGCGACAAGGCGAACTCGACGTCGAATTTCTGGAAAGGGCACATCAGTATCGGTGTCCAGGCAGTATTCGCAACATAAACTCGAGAGTTGTCCATGCACCTCATATCAGAACCGATGCCACTTGTTGCACGTGCAATGGAGGAGCCAGACCCGTCGGCCCGATCCATCAGCAGGGTTAACGACTGCGCGGCCTGCGTGCAAGTCTCGAAGGTAGGCTTACTGCCATGTATTTCATTCATGATTGTCTAACATCACTAGGATTTGGTAACAGGCACCCTGTGCTACCATCCTAGCGCTTACCGCGACTGTCCACTAGGACTCGACCCCGGTGGTGATGCCGTTCCTGAAAGGGAAGATGAGCTGGAATCCCGATTCTGTCATCAAAATGGAGAGATACTCCTCACAGATCTGAATGATGGTGGAGGCGCCGTCACCTTTCAGAGTTGTCAAGGTTTGACTTCGAATCTGCCCGAAAGTCAGTAACCGTCAATAATGGAAAATCTGAACAAACCGTGGCTGCGTTGAAGAGCTCAAGTGGGAAATCCACATTGAGAAGAACTTAAAGGAAAGGAAGGGGTATGGGTCCTGCAACCGACCATTCTCGCACATGGATCGGAGTTGATTCCAGACAGCGAGTTCTACTTCAAGCTAGATGCCCGCGGGGTATCCAGTCTGGTCGGTAAGCTCCAGCATGAGCGCATCAATCACATTGGCCAGAAGTTCGGGTTGGACGCGGCTCAGTACTTTGCTACGGTTGCCATGAAAACATTCGCAAGGGAACAGAGGTTTGGAACATAGAGCAACGACAACAACGTGTCGCTTTAACCCTGCAGCTTGACAGCTTGAACGGGAAGACATTTCAATGTGGTACTGCTGGCTGTGCCAACACGATGCTCGGTCTGGGAGGCCGTCACCGGCATCAACCTGGTAAGAGAGGCCAGGGAATGGCAAAACACGTACCACTCTCTTCATGATGCTGATCCTCGCTAGCCTCTTACGCCGATGAAATGGATCGAGAGGTTGATATTCCAAAACTTTTTGAATTCAGTCACTCTAGAAAACGTCTCGAGGCAATAGCAATCGACAAAGCCCCGGAAACATATGGCCAGCTCAAAGCCAAGATGCTTGCTAGACGACGACCGTCAAAGGAGCTTAAGCAAGGACGAAGTCAATCCCATCAAACCGCGATTGCAGGTAAGTTATTTCTTCACACGAGATGAAACGTTCGTGAAGTTGGCTTTCGCTAACTCATGCCCCTAATAGGCCTTCGCCCTGATGACTTCCAACTTCAATGCCTCTCGGGCGACGAGATGGCTGTTTGGGCATTCTGAAATCAACTATGCCTCGTTCATGCTGTGAGAAAAACTCGGCATCTGCAGTATCGTGCTCTGTAAGACTAGATCTTACCCGTTCTAGCTCGCTCTCTTTATGTGGTACGGACACTAACAGCTTGTTTAGATTTTTGTTGGATATCGAACTGACTTGTGATACCAAACTTAGAAAGAAATCCCTTAACGGAGTGGATGAGCTGATAAATGCCATCGAAGATCCCGCTTTTGTCATCTCAGATGAGACTTGGGCCCTCCCGTATCGCGTCAAGATCGACTGGATACTCACCTCACTGGTCATCCAGGAGAAAATTCCCGAGGAAGTATACGGAAGGCTATGCCCCAGCCTGTGAGGTTCTCCTCAGAATGAACAACACTTGTGAACATGGTGTTCACACTGCCGAGTGTACTATGACCCGGGCTGGGGCTGGTACAACCTATATCTCAAAAGATTCCATATTCCGTTCAACCAAATTTGCGTTTTGTACTTCTACTTTCATTGGTTGAATGTTGAACTAGGAAAACTTTCGTCATTGCAGAGCGCAGCGAAGCTGATAAATCAAACCTCCCATATTATCCACCCTGTATGTTCTCATATCAAAGAGGCGACACTAATAGAACCGAGGCACAGGCTGCCTGGCATTTCCCAAAGGCTGTATTGCAAGCGATGATGGAAGCAGGCGCGGTTGCACCCAAAGTAGCTCCCCAGGTGAAACCTGCTGCCGAGTAACAAGCCATAACAACCCCTGAACAGCCTGATTGGCATATCCCGTAGCCGACTGGTCCAGCAGATACAGCGTAGGTGAAGACTAGCAAGCTCAGGGTAGTGACCTGAAGTGCTCTCATTGTCTATGGGCTTTTGAACAGATTGGTGCTGTTTGGAATTCGAGATTCGGGTAATCAGCTAGGTTGAAGATTGTGAGAATGGGTTGAATGACAGACATGTGTCAAAGCATAATGTCTTACCTCCAGAGCATGGATAATTGCTGAGATATGAATTCATTCAAGACAGAGAAGATAGACGGAGTGAGAGACCAGAGAGACCAGAGAGACCAGAGAGAGGCTATATAGTAGTGCTGGTGGACATTGCAACCAGAGCAAACACAAGCTAGAAAATTCCAAGCTGAGCAAACTACCCATGGCAAACTACATTGATGTGGTTTGACAATAGAAGACACATATCCAACGTCACGCAAATAGTTGTACTGCCCAGGTGAACACCTGTTGACCTGTTGACTATGAGTGGGGGTATCTGTCACGTGATATGGTCCAGATCCACCTTCCCGATTAGGAAGTACAAAGGTCTATAAGAAATGCAAAAGTTGCTTATTTTCTGTGAGCTACTCCGGTAGCTCAGTGGGTTAATGAGTTCAGGATTTAAATACCGCGTACTCTAAAGCTCCCCTCTGGATCCTAGGGAGCACCCGCCGGTCTTAACAGAGGGGGGGAGTTCGATCCAGCATTCCCACCTTTTTTTTTTCTTTTTTTCTTTTCAGCTCACACATCTTTTCTCAAAACCTCAATTCACGTGCGCAAAGTAAGCCCAATGAGCCTTGCTTTACTGATCTCCTATCAACCAAGACACTTCCCTCGTCCCCTTGACTCCCCCGACCTCTTTTCTTCCACCCAGCGCCTCCTTCATACATGTGTCCTACGCATCTGTCATGTTCTGTGAGCCACAGCCAGAGCCCAACCGAAAACCTGACGGTGAATGTTCCGCATCTACGAAGAGAACCATGCTGAGCAACAGAAACGCCAGATAGGGAGGGATAGGAACATAAAGGGCAGATCTCTGCATCTTCGCAATGACTTCGGATTATTGAAAATTATAATATTAATAAACGATCCTATAGGGTGATTCAATGAGTGGCCGGCAGCTCTTGGGCCTCGCGAACACGGGTATCACCCATCTCTGACACCGCTTGTCCTCCCAATTCCTTGCGCGGTTCACCACTTCCAGCTTCCGAGTATACCGGTGGTGATGGCAACTCGCTGTGTCTCTCATGCTTCGATTGCGGCGTCGCCTCGTAGGAGTGTTGTTTCCGACGGCGCATAAAGAAGAAGAGGATTGCAGCGAGGGCAGCAACACCGACGACACCTCCTACCACACCACCGGCAATGGCACCTGTGTTTGTGGAGGACTTTGCTGAGCTACTCGATGCAGCTTCGGAGGTTGTCGAGGTGGGTGTTGAAGAGGATGTGGGTGACGATGATGTTGATAAAGTCGCAGTCGCAGTCGAACCTAAAAAAACATGTCAAAAACACCCATGAAACAAGAATGTGCGCTGGACTAACCGGCAGACAGGACATCCAAAATCTTGAAGCTCGAATTCCCCGGATTTTTTGACTCAGAGCAACCGACCAAAACCCGATCTTGAACATAGAATCCCGAATCATCTTCCTCGCAGCAAAAATATCCCCTCCAGTCAAACAGATTCCATTTCTTGTTTGCGCACGAGGGAGATTTCGCAACGCTCGCCGTGCAATTATAGTCGTTTCCCTGCGCGCAACACATGATATTGGGAATGCCGGTGTCGGAATCATAGCAGAATGAATTCCCAGGACAACAGGCCTGGTAATCGCCCCATGTCGGGCCATTGTTTGTGCATTTCTGTTCATTGGCGGCGCATGACTCGTTGCGACGAATCGCGTAGCCTTCCACATATTCTGACATTGCGACCGATGTCAGATGAAGAGATGGGTATCAACGGGGGTATGAACGGCAAGGTGAAGGGCGATATTGGGTGGTTGTAGGATGGTGTTGATGAGGAGGAAATGTTTTTAAATTGCCATTGAAAGAATCGGAGGGTGACGGAGTCGGTATGCGACACTAGTAAGCTAGTCTGACGATGCAACAGTTCTAAATCTGGTTGATGCCGATCACTAACAAGGAGGGGGCCGTGACGGCGGCGGTGCACGAGGGCGGATATTTACAGCTAGCATGACCCAATGGCGTATGTAGCATTGAGGCGGTTGGTCAAGATAATTTTCAAAGGAATTCGTTATGAATCATTTCGCATTAGAGTAAGAGCCTCAGGATACAACGGATGCTAAGCCTTATACTTGTCGCTGTAGCTGTTCCAAGGTTCCTTGGCGGTCCGCATTTTTGGATGCCATGTGGATCGCTGCCCAACATGGTTAGACTGTCAACCTCCACCAATCATAGGCCTTAATCTAGCCGAGCCGGGGGCCGCCCCCATATTCCAAGGTTGTTTCGCGTTGATGAAAATCCCGCTCTTTACGGAGTACCTCACCAAGAAATTGGCCGTGGCTTGGATCGGAAATATAAGGGATATGCATTTCCCTGCTGGACCCATTGATCCATGACTACACCATGTCAATTCATGACATAATGAAATGAGGAGGCCATTCGCCGACCGCATTTTGAAGAGCAGTCCTACAAGTAAGGGTACCATACCACGTACATCATCATTCATTGGAATCTAGGGTCCTTGACTAAGGTAAAAGTGATTGCAGCTAAGCACTTGACACAAGATTGAGGTGATCATCACAACGCATTATTCACAGATGATGCTGCTTCTTCTGCCTGAGCGCCAACACAGCCTGGCCAGCCGTCAAGTCTGTCAGGCTCACCCCAATACTCTTGTAGACGACGAAGCCCTCTGAAATGAAGCGGTTAGTCTGCTCAATCTGTACCTTGGTGACATTTGCAGATCTCCCGCTCTTCATCGCGAGGATGTGGCCAATCTCAACCAGATCACGAGCTGGAAGCTTGCTTTGGACCACCTCGCCCGAGTTCGCCAGCGCGTTTTCGCGATCGTCGACCAACACAGCTCCTTTTGACTCGCCGCTGAGAGGATTATATCCGCCCTGGGCGACAGTGGCATGCTGTAGCAATGCTGGATCCAGTTCGATCATGTCCGACTGCCAAGAGCCAATCGCCGAGATGAAGGGCTGACGGCTACCGCTTCCTCGCTTTGTCAGGTATGTAGAAGGGAAGAGTGGCTTTTGAGACGGAGTGGTACAAAAGACGCAGTCAACGTCGAGCAGACGCTTTTCGATTTCGTTCTGGGACTCCGCGGCAGCGCGAATGAAATTAAAAGAGCAGTTCGACTTCCAGTGAGTCGCGTTCTCGCGAGATATCGTCTCGATCAACGTGTCTACCTGGTCTTTGAACGGACTGATAAAAGTGATGTTCTTGACCTCATCACCCCGCAGACTGAGTATAAGTCGAGAATGCCACAAGGCCTGCATGCCACCACCGAAAATCACAATGTTGTCGACATTCTTCCTCCAGGAAAAGGGAACCATGACGTTCATGGATGTCCGGTAACCAGTCACTTCTTCGGCTCCGAGGATACCGGTTGGATTCCCAGATCCATCTAGAAGGATGAGAATCCCACGCAAGGGGTCCTTTTTGCCGTCTGCTTTAGTTGGGGGCTCGACTACGAGCTTTGCACCAACGCTGGAATCGGATGTAAACGGTCGGAAGAGAGTTCGCGCGCCATTGGGACGGGTCACGGCGTTGGGGTCGGGTTGGTAGCGGCGCTCTTCGCCGGCAGAGTAGTCTTCTAGGGTTTGCTCGATGGTGGCTTTGAAATTGATGATCTCTTCCTTCGTGAGGCTGATCAGTAACCGGTGGATCGTGTCGTTTGAGAGGTATTGAATGTTCTCCATGTTGAATCGCACCAGGCCTGATTTGCGGAGCGTAGGATAGTTGAAGGTCTGACGAAATTGACAAGAATACAAAGGACTTCGAGTGAATTGAAAACACAACTTGTCGCTTTTTAAAAAAGATAACGATCGAGCTGGTATAGCAAAAAGTGGAGCTTTAGTGGGTCTCGGGTAGCTAAGCGTGGCATGGCAACCTTGGAACTCCCGAGATCGCGGTTAAACACCCGAGTGGCGACGCATGGCATGGCCCATGCATGATACGCCGGCGCGGGGTAAATTATGCGATAGGCGGGGTGTCGATTGTTCATAGTTGCGAGGTCGCTGGAATGAACCGAGCGTCGATGGCTTGGACCTACCACTCGCCGTCGAATTGCGTGGGATCTTCCATACCCCAGATCCATGCCTGCTCCTGATTCAGGTTATTGCTTGGTCCGTCGAGATCAGGGAACAGGGGGTCGAGAGAAAATTGAAAGTCGTTATTGAATAACACTGCAGGTTGTGTAAGTTATCGCTACGTAGTGAAATATCAATTGGTCGCTTACCTTGATCAAGGTCGAATAAAGCTTGCGAAACGCTGGTGTCTTCAACGATTTCAGGCATTGTGTGCTCAAATGCCGGTCCTGTGACTTGACCTAATTGTGCATCCAGTTGGACCTGGTGGCTACTCAGCCATGTTTCCTGTGCTTCCAGTTCTGTCTGCCCGCTCTGGGGGCTGGGGTCACCCCCTTGACCGAGAAGTTCTTTCAACTCCTTTTCCATGATCAAGCGAGCGAGTTTCTCCAATATGGTCAGACCTTGGGCTGACAAAGTGCACGGTGATTTGGATTTCAGCTGGGCCTGCATACTGAGGATACGCCGGAGTCCTAGTTTGGACTCCTGTGATTCGGGGGTTAGGGACTCAATGCTGTTCAGAACGCAAAGCATCACACCGGCAGTGAACGTCTGAATGCTGATGTATGCGGCAGCATATGTTTCAGCCGCGAGAGAGAATATGGCTGACTCTCCAACGTTGGATGTGTTCATTGCAGCGTCCCGACAAGCCATCAAAGACAAATGAGATGTGTTGTTTAAGGGATCTGGAAGACCTTCCGGGACGTGATCATGGTTCAACTTCGCTCTGTATGACATGAGAGGCCTATGGATGAGAATCTTGGCGTTCTCGTATGCGAGAGCCAAAGCAAGTGCTTGAAGTTGATATATGTGAGTCTCGAAGTTCGGTCCTGAGGCACCGATATCACGGTCGATTTCCTCCGCAGAAGCATACCTCGCACGACTGGACTGGTCAAAGGATAGAGGCCCTGGAATTTCCGCCTTCCATCGTTCCAGTCTGCTATCTAGTTCAGGGACCTTTCGCAGAAATCCTTCGAACTTCGAAGACGGCCGACGCTTCTGGTTGTGGGTTTGGTGAGAACCGATCCCGTAAAGCTCAATGAGAACGGTTTTGAGGATAACCGAAAGCTTGGACATCAGGTATTTGTATGAAAGCAGAGTCGCCGGGCACATGTGTGCATCATCATATTTGGGAGGGGATTGATCCTGCGATGTGGCCAATGGGTCCAGCAACTCCACAGTACAGTCGGCATCAACAATACCATGCGGATAACCATATGAAATCGAACAAAAGGTCTCGATCTCGTAAATGGCCCACCAGCAGCGCTTTCGTGTTTCAATACGCTGCTGTGACTCGGCGGAAACTGGTCCTTTGGTCGGCAATCTGCGATGTAATTTTAGTGCCTGTGCGACACGAAGCCCGCAGCCACAGACTGGCCATGCGAGGTTGGGACTCCCGTGATAGAGGTAATAAGTTCCCAAAAGAACGCAGGTTTGCACAGCCTCTATGGACTGTGATGCAACGATATCGAGCAGTTTTGAGCGGATGACAGATAGGATATTCTCTTTCAGCCAGGTTGGATCAACGTTGTGTGTCCGCAAGAGTTGCTGTCGGTGAGTTCCGCTGTACTGGATTGCGATCGCGATGACCGTCAAAAACGTACTGACCAGTCCAGGGTTAGGATTTGTTGCAAGGATGCTTTCGATCGGCAAATCGTAAAGTGTCTGCCATTTCATTCTAAAATCTTGTTGGTGAAAGATCAGCATGAACCAGTGCACCCGATCGAAATAAGTATCAACCAGCAAGACGGCAACTTTTCGCGAAGGCAACAGCGAAAGGAGCTCTACCACCACGGATTTTGACTCTCGCAGAAGTGGATTTGGAAGGGAATTATTCTCCGGCTTAGGTTCAAGTTGGGGAATGTCTGGCTGGGGAGAGTCTTCCGGGGCACCATGTGGCTTTTGCCCTCCTGGCATTGCTGTGGTCAACAACGTGTCTGGTGTAGCAGAATTATGCAGCTCGAAGGCCTGTCAAATTTCAACAAACTGATCACTTCTTCAATGTTTGCAGACTAACCCCTGCTACTAAAGACATCGTCGAGCTCGACCAAGCTTGTTCGGCATTCCCGCCATCTTCAGGCTCTCTGTCCTGAGTGAGATCATTTGACCGCCGAGAGCGCTTTCTCGGCGGTTCTTGAATGGGTGCTTGGAACGCACGGAATTGATCTTGAGGCCCGGTTTCACATTCAGTGCCTGCATGTACACATAGTGTGCACGGGCGCTGGATATCGCACTGCGATGGCGTTAGCAAGGCTAGTGTCTGGGCCTCGGACGGCACGTGAGATTTGACTGACTCTGAGCTTCTGGCGTCGACATCTATCACAAGCTCGTCCTACTCTGGTTCGTTTGGCGCGTGTGATCATTTTTCGATTTGACGCGTCGCTGCAGTCGTGGGTGTGAAAAATGGACTGCAGAATGATTTCTGTCCCAAGTGGTGCCCAAAGCGGCCCAGTGTCAAGGGGGAAAATGAGGATTACCTCAAATCAGGTTTGATGGCATAGTTAGGTCCTCCGGGGACGTGTGGTGTTTGGGAGAGACCCCGGGAGCCGGAACCCCCGGAGCTCAGTGTTCGCCCGCATTGCCCCCGCTGAGTAATGAGTCCAGCCCTGCGGCCCTCGCAAGCGGACTTCTCACTACACATTTGAGTTTTTTCTTCTTATAGTTCGCTTTGAATAGATTCTCCTCGTGGATTCCCTACGAATATTTACTCTTTGCTTAATGAAACACTGCTACTGTAAACTTTCATCCATGGATACCCATTTCAGTTATATATTTGACTGCGGGAAACGCGTCCTAGGCTGACTGCCTTCCTCCAATTTTGAGAATAACTCATCCGAAGGATTGAGATGATGTATCATTGTACTGACACTGGGCTCCAGATCAGCCACCATGAAGAAAATTCAGAAAAAAGAAAATTAGACAGCAATGGAGTGTTCGAGAAGGAAGAAATGCCTCCCCAGAAAGAACGCATTTGCGGGTCCGCTGTTACAGCCTTGACCCCGGGGAGCAAGTGCCTTCTACCACTTCAAATGTGGGCTTGTTGAAATGTCTCCATCGCAGGGTTCAGACCGCCATGGGTAGATAAATGTTTGCTTGCCCCTCCTCCCCCTCCTTCTCGCTCTCTTCTTCCGTCTCCCCAGTCGCACTCTCAGCAGTGGCAATGCGCCCCCTGCTGCATTCCTTCGCTCTTGATACGATTCCTCCGCTGATTCTATTCTTTTTCTCTACACCGTTCTTCCGGAGTTTGAACAGCGCCTGGAAAGGAATTCGCCATCTTCCACAAGTCGTCCATTCGGCGAACAATCCAACTTCGGAAAGGCTAGAACGCTTCAAGTCTCCCATAACTTTAAATCAGCAGAGTCGTCTTTGCGCTGCAATTTCAACGAATAATGGCTCCACCCATGTATAGCAAGGACGAGAAGGTCCTTTGCTTCCACCACGAAATCCTTGACGATGCCAAGATCCTGGATGTTCGTCATAAGGATGCCAACGACGAGAAGAATAAACATCAGTCTAGTTCCGAACTGGGTCTCATCATGGGGAAGTGCTGGATCAGGAAGGCCTGAATACAGGAACGTAAACAGATGAACATTGAAAGTAACTAAATACAAGAAGAAAAGGTACATGAGTCAAAACCAAGATATTAATAGCCACCAGCCTTCTCAATCATTGGCTTGAAGGAGGCAGTCACTGGCTCCTCGCCAATACCACGGGCCTTGGCAGCATCAAGTATAGCGATGGTCGCCGTGGCTCCGATGCGAGTGATACCCATGCTCATGACATGCAACAGGTCATCTAAAGTGCGAACGCCACCTGCAGCCTTGACTTGGACATTAGGACCAGAGTGCTCCCGCATAAGCTTGAGGTCCTTGACCGTAGCTCCGAGGTAGTTGTAGGAGCCATCACTTTGCTTCACGAAACCGTAACCGGTAGATGTCTTGACGAAAGCAACCTCAAGCTTGGTGCAGATCTTGCAGAGCTGAATGATATGTTCGGATTGGAGGTAGTCGTTCTCGAAGATGACTTTGAGGATAGCGCCACGACTGACGACAGCGCGGTTGATGACGTCGATTTCGTGAGAGACATACTCCCAGTCGCCGCCAAGTGATTTGCCAATGTTGATCACCATGTCAATCTCAGCACCGCCTGCTTCGGCGGCAGCGATGGCTTCAGCGACCTTGATTTCGGTGGTGCTGTTTCCGTGAGGAAAGCCGATCACTGGGCAGACCTTCACGTCGCTGCCGGCAAGAGCCTCTTTAGCGAGTGGGATTAAATATGGCTTCACACAGGCAGTGGCAACGTTGCTGTCTCTGGCAACGCGAAGACCAGAAACAATGTCGGCGTCGGTCATGGTTGGGTGAAGAAGAGAGTGATCGATCATCTTCGCAATCTGAGTCAGAGTGACAGTAATGGTGTTGTCAGACATTTTGGAGAAATGAAGCTTTGGACAGATGATATGGCGTATGATTGACTAACTGCAAGTACTGAAGGAAACTTGGAGGTTTATATAGAGATGTGTTGGGTTGTTGTCTAAGGTATCTTGCTCCGGTGGAAAGATTACCCCTTCGGGGAATTTGTGGGTCCCGCCACTTCCGGCGGGACACATTCCCCAGCCTGATATTTTTTACCACTGAGCCTTTTTGGAGATGATGATCAGATCAAAAACTACGATGAAATCAAGCACGAGAATCCCTTGTATCATCCTTTTGCGGGGCCGATCCTTGTGTGTACTATTTCTGACGGCAGTCATTCCATCCCGCTCCGCTCCGCCCCGCCGTCTTCCGCCTGTCGGTACCCCACGTTGTTCTGTGTGTTCAATTTCTCATAGGCAACCGAGCACTTCTACCAGCATCGTCACCAAAGTGTTGTGGGTTTTGTCATTCCCGGACAAACCTTTCACTAGGTTGATTCCAACTTCGGCCTTGAACACCGAACTGAAAACCGCGTCTTTCTGCGATTTGTCGAGCGAAAAATGATCTTGAATTTACTTCGCTCGCTCGTCAATCCTCTCTGGTGCTAACTTGGAAACTACACTGGCGCTGAGCTCAAAGTAGAATAGGCTTCTTTCACCCAACTCCCCGCCATGTGCCAGGATTAGCCGTTGAAGCGAAAAACCCTTGCCCTCGCTTTCATCGGAATCATCATAGCTCTTGGTTACCCCCGCCCTGTTTAATGCCTCAATCTTAAGATCGGTAGGTTTCACATTGACCTCGACAGTGGCCATCATATTTCCTGTCTGACCGTCCAAGGCAGGGTTGAAAAGAGATCGGTTACGATAGCAAAGTCCGCCCTGCTGGATTGGATGCAGATACCATTCCCAGAGACCAGCTTTGAGCCTGGCTGGCCATTTGGATTCGGAAATGCCACGTTGATCTTAAACTGCAGTCGGGTATCTTCAGGGAGGGCCGGAACTGGTTCCGCATTCATCCAGACATGCACTTTCTAAAGTTCCAGTAAATCTCCCTTGGTGATGCACACTCGAATATCACATTGTGGAAAGTCCGCTCACAGAAAATTTTCTTGTACGTGGACCACGTAATATGCTTTTCAACGATTACGGCTTCGGCCAGTCGCGAACGGTGGTCCTGCTCATCGAGAAAGAAGGGGGCAGTAAATTCCCATGCGTAGTAGTTTCCCAGATTGTCGAAGAGCCATGGTGTTAGGACACGCCCCTGTGGTCGGCGCTGCCCCAACAGTGCGCTACTATATATACCGGTCCCAGGCATGACAAGACTAGCGTCTTGTCATATTAGGTCTTTTGGCCGACACGTACGACCTCGTGTGCCTGGGCGCGTTGGTCCTTACACATGGCATTCTGAGTCTTCGTGGAGCTTCCAATCCTTTTGGGAAGGGGTTTCGTTCAGCGTACCAGAATGACCGTTGCGTACTCCGCACTACGGAGTACACCTACCGGGGACACTGTTTTTTTAAAAAAGAAATTCTCCACTTTCAATTGAGGGAAACCCCCCCTTCTCCATGTCCATGGCTCCGTACCAAGAAAGCAGAAGAGAACGGGCAGGATCATCCCCCGCCCCCGACCATCCCCCCAATTGACAGAAACTGAAAACATAAAAAATAGAAAAAAGAAAAAAGAAATAGCACCGAACTGCTCCAAACTATTCCTCCACAGGGCCCATGGCCCACTCCACCTCCGCAATCTCCTTCCCCTCCCACTTGAGGTCCCTCAGTGATAGAGATAGGGATCTACTAAGAGAGGAGATCACAGAACGAATATCTCTGAATGCGTGAAGAGAAGAAGAAAGAGAGAGAGAGAGAGAGAGAATGAGGGGAGATAGAGATGTATGTCATGTGACCCAACGGTCACGTGACCTACAGTCTAACACTCAGACTCACCCTCGCTCTCCGTCATGAGCTCCGGGTCGACCTCCATGTCCATCCCATGGGGAAGCCCCATATCCACCGCCGGCACATTGATGCCCGCCAGTCGGAGATCCACGTAGGCAGAGAGGCCTACCTGCTCTACGCCCATCAATTGGCGCAGAGTGGGAGGGGTTTCCTCCCGGTGATATCCGTCCGCCGGATCGAACTGGATCGGGGCAATGAATTGCCCGACGGCGGGGGACGGCGACCATCCAGCCGCCATGGCCTGTGTGGCCGCGAGATTTAGGGCTCCCGGGCTTGGTGACTCCCGGGCTTGGTGACTCCCGGGCTTGGTGACTCCCGGGCTTGGTGACTCCGGGGCGTAGAAATAGGGGTTTTCCCCAGGGGCAATTTGAGGGGCCACCTGGGGGTTGTACCGTCAGGACGAAGATGTTGGCGGACAACGTCTCCCATGTTGGCCATGTGTTTCTGTGTTAGACGGAATTCTTCAAAACGGTCGTTAGGCAGTTCGGTCCAGATGCAAACCTTTTTTCCAGGCCATTTGACAGCCTTGAGCATTTCCTATCGGGCTAATTGATATTGATCCAAGTTCCAGAACGGGCCAGCGAACACGGGTCCCTCAGACATGTTCAATTCAAAGAAACAGGCTTGATAACCAACTTTGTTTTGTGTTGCATATATCTGGTATGCTTCCATAAAGTCATCGTACTCAGGAGATGTGCCCTTGATCACCAACTTGAAGTGTGCCCGTGTGGCCGAGAAAATGACGCAGCCTTTGCCAAAATGAATATGAAGCTATGGCTGCTGAGAATCCAAGCGAATTCTGAGTGAAGCTGGGATGTACTTCGCCGTCGTTGATGTTGATAGTGGTTCTTTTGGTTTGATTATGGAGCAGCTTTGGCCTATCACTCCCAGGGGACGGCCGAGGAAATCCGGAACATTGGCACGGGACGCCATCTGTAACTCAACATCAGGTCAGCCAAGCCTAGCAGGACGATTCCTTGTGACACTTACTGTTATCAGTACAGAGAGGTAAAGACAAATTTGCAAAGAGACTCGAGCCGCAGAGAGGACGAAGACCGAGAAAGCTGATTGAAAAGCAGAATCGACCCCACAAAGGAACGGCGAACGACCAGGCTGGTTAAAGTAAAGGGTCGAAACTGAAAGACGCCGGAGATATCAAAGCAGGAGAGTCTGGTCATCAGAGATGATGCAACAGACGGGGCAGGCGGAGTAAGAAACGATGAGGGGAGGGCGCCAATTCCAGGTTTCAAAATCACGGATGCGTGGTTCTCTAGACTAGAGCATAATGGGAGTGTATCTGGAGTGAAGTGAGGAAGTGAGATGAAGAAGCGAGATGAAGAAGCGAGAGGAAGAAGCGAGAGGAAGAAGCGAGAGGAAGAAGCGAGAGGAAGAAGCGAGAGGAAGAAGCGAGAGG